TCAATGAGGCGAACAACTCTTAACATTAAATAATTTTTCGCCTTTTGTGCTGCTCTTCTTTCGCTCGACGTTCCTTTTTTTTCAAACGTGTTGGACACTTAAAACTTGTTTTGTACATTTGCGAAAAGTTTGCGTATTAAGTGCAAATAATACTTTTCAACATTTTTTTTTTTGTTTTGGTTTTTCTTTGTTACCTCCCTCAATGGACTAAACATTTCGATTTAGGTATTTTTTTTTGCAATTGCTTTTCAATCGCCTCTTTATTTTTCTCACACTCTGCGCTCCATACTAGTTCTGTGGTACTTGGTTGTACGAAAAAGTGCTAAGTAATTTAGAAAATTGAATTTCTTTACGGTTTCTTGGCGATTATTTAATATTAAAACGTCCCTGAGTTAGTTCGTTTAACCAGAGGTGGAAGTGGAAGAAATGAAAAAAAAAACCAATGGGGTAGCGTACCTCATTTATTTTAGATTAGTCTTATGCGAATTGCTGTTGATTTTCAACACATTAGTTAAAAAAAATTAGAGCCTAGTCTAAGTGACCTTCTCATTGCGTTAGAAGGTTTCCCTAGCGGTATGGTATTTCCAGTTGCAGGAGGCGGCCCCCTTAATTTTTGCGCTTCCAGGCACAACAAGTTTTACAAGCAAAATTATTATGTCTCTTAGTTTTATTTATATTTAAAAGTATACTTAAACTGCTTAACACCTTGACTTAAATTCTTTTCCAGTTTTGATTGCAACGAACTTTGTATGTACAAAAATACCTGCGTCCATATAAAATGACCACCTTTCGGTCATTACATTCGTAGTGGAAAAATTTATTTCTTGTTTGTGGTAGTAATTAACTTTGTGGCAATAAATTCTACAAGCTTTGGGATTTTACGTTCATTTCGTACAGCTCAACGTTTCCCGCAAATTGTGTCACGCACACAGGAAAACAAAAAAAAAACAAAAAAAAAAAATATATATATATATATAATACAATATAAAAAAAAATGCGACTTCCCATAGCACTGAGCAGCTAATCTCCTGTTGCAAATATTTGTATTTTTCATAAATTCAAGGTCGACCGAATTATTACTATTTTATGTAAATAATCTAAAGTAGTGTTAAAGCGCATAGCTTTAATAAACAATGAAAAAATTTGCACAAATTATGCAGTTGTTATAACACCACGCCAACTTAAATAATTTTGCAACGAAATTTCGTAAATAAGTTTTTTTTTTTTGCTAACGGTAAAAGCCTACAGCATGAATGTTGCTCTCTGACTGTTGGACTTTTCTAAGCTAATACTTAAATCCGCTTGACTTCGTGCAGTTCCCCACCCCCCTAGCATTGTTGGTATGAATAATCAAAGCTGTTTTTGCTCAACAACGTCGCACAGTGGATGAATTCTATGTTGTTTGGCACTGTATAAATTTGCTCGTTAGCTCGTGAAAGAAATATATATACTCGTACATATATTTTTTTTTGTAGGCAACTAATATATTTACAACTGGAAATGAAATTTTCGTATTTTAGCAGCAGTTTGAAGGCACTCTTTTTTTTCAAAAAAAATATCGAATTTGTAAAGTTGCTGCACTGTGCACTGGCTCTTTGCTACTTCCGTTATTTAACGTAATTGAATGTAGCTGGCATTGTGATTGCCTTGTTCATTTGTTTCTTCTGAGCTTAAGACAGAAACACGCTACTGCATTGCATGCCAACAGCTTGCAGATATTCATTCCTGCCAACAACTTCTTTCGTTCGCACTTTGTTTGTTGCTTTTCATTTCGATTAAAGTTTGTGCCACTGATACGCAATGGTGGATGAAGAATATTACTTCCGTACTATTTTTTTATATTTATTTATTTTTTTTTTTTTTTTTTTGTCATTTCATAAGAATTAATTAAGAAATGTAATGACGCTGCGCTATTTATTGAAAATATAGTTTTTGTATAAATATCGTTGGGTATAAAACTCAAATTTATTAACTAATTTCCTATGTACGTATATACAAAGTAAAGTGGAATGATAAAAAGAAGATATGAAAAAAATCACGGGTAGCTCCACAAGCTCAGTGATTCTGACATTGCTTTCGACCAGCAATTGATGTAGCTCAATACATAACTTAGCTATTTAGAGACAAGGCAAGGGTATAAACAACAATAATTCAAAATAAACATATTGGGAACTATACAATTTTATAGCATACTTGAAGCTCTGTGTTCGGGAGAGATTCATCGAAAGTATTTTCATTGAAACTAAATTCAACCTATATGAAATAATTACTTATTGTACTTAATCTATCCGGACCATATGACCTAGCCAGCGTAGCCGCTGCTTCTTGTTTCGCGGACTATATTAATGTCGCCGTATAACTCGTACAACTCATCGTTCTCCATCCTACGAAAAACCTTTCTCTCGAAATCTCCTAACACCGCCTCATCCTCAATGCTTCCGCACCGTATAGCAGAACGGAAGCGATGAGGGACCTGTAAAGTGATTCTGCGCTGGATTTCAAGGCTGACGTTACTATTGTTGTTAATGCTGGTTCTTAGATGGACGAAATTATTTGCGACTTCAAAGTTATGACCGTTAAAAGTGACGTGGGAGCCAAGTCAAGAATGCGATGACTGTTTGTTTGATGGCAGGAGATATTTCGTCTTGTCCTCGTTCAGTACCAGACCCATTCGCTTCGCTTCTTTATCAAGCCTGGAACCAGCCAGGTCAGAACTAACGGCGCGGTTGTTGAGGCCAATAATGTCAATATCATCGGTGTACGCCAACTACTCTTATAGAGGATTGTATCTTCTCTAGCAGCTCTGCAGCTCTTATTATCCTCTTCAGCATCAAATTGAAGAAATTACACGAGAAAGAGTTACCCTGCCTGAATACACGTTTGGTACCAAACGGTTCGGAGAAGTCCTTCCCAATTCTAACTGAGCTTCTGGTGTCGTCGGGGATACCAAATTCAGACATAGCGGCGTAAAGGCAGGCATGGTGAATATCTGGTAAATGATTGAATTACCAGGTCTGAAGCCACACTGATAAGGTCCAATCAGTTTGGTGACGGTGGGCTTCAGTCTTTCATACAATACGCGACCAATATAGGACCTTGTAGGCGATATTAAGGAGGTTTATTCTAAGGTAATTGGCGCAGACTGTTGGATCCCCTTTTTTATGGATTGGACAGAGTACACTTAAATTCCAATGTCAGGTCTTCACCGGATTCTCCATTCTCACTACTGTTCAGTAGGTTAGAGAAGTGTTCCCTCCATAAATTCAATATACTCTATGCATCGGTGGCTAGATCACCTCTTTGTGTCCTACAAGAATAGAATTTTCGAACTTTACCCTTGTTGGCCAGCTTCTCGAGCTCTTCAAACTCACGCATCTTGGCCTCTTTCTTTTTTTGGTCTGCAGATGCGTCTTGCTTCCTTCTTCATCTCTCGGTACCTATCCCATCCCGCACGTGTTGGGGTCGATCGCAAGGTTGCGAGCTAGGCAGTCTGTTTTCTCTCCACTGCAACACGGCAGTCCTCATCGTACCATCTGTTTTTGCGACTTTTACGAAATGCAATAGTTTCGTTTGCAGCTGCCCGTAGGGAGTTTTCGATGCCGTCCCTGTATACCGACTTGCTGCGAGTAGAAAATAGTTCGGAAGTCTGTTGTGTTTGCAGCTTCTCAACGTCGAGTTTTCCTTGTGTTTGTTGATGGGCGTTCTGCAACCAACAAGATAGTGGTCCGTTGGTATGAAATAATTAGCTCAATCTAATATTGCAGAGAACTTCAGGTCTGTTTTTTCAACAAAAAAAATTCTCTCTTACCTGAGTTGATGCCTTTAGGTTTAACAAGTGTACGACTAGTAACAAATTTGTTTCAACCTCCAAAACGTTCTTGAATTTCTATTGGAAACTTAACATACTAATAGAGTACTGAATAGTCAAGGTTCCGCACACAAAATCCATATGTTCATTTCTGTTTACACTAACATTAGCTCTATTAAATCACATTACACAGTTCACATCATATTTTCCATCACTAGCAAATAACGTTCAATTCGACACTTCATTTAAGGAAATAACACAATTTTTCCGCTACTAATCATACTCATTTACTAATGTTTCTGAAGCAACAAAGCATTCACATGCACATTAGCCGGTATTTGCTTCATTATGAGTGGTTGAAGCACATGCTCCTCTCATCTCTTCAAATTCACACAGCATGTGAAGAGCCTTCCCACTTTGCTTTCTCTCTAATCTGGCAAGCCTTGGCCCAGTCTTACTACATTCGTTTCGCATTCATTTTCACTTATTGCGAATGCAAATTGAAATTCGATTTGTTGTCGGGCAAATTGCATCACCATTAATGCCAACAATCATTCAATTGGGGGTGCAGCTGCTGTGGGTAGATTGCTATATGACTATGTCAGGCATGCAAGTATTCAACGCCTGCGAAGGGGAGATTTGCACGACAGTTTTGTTTAATGGAGAATGCAACAGTTTTGCCAACTCTTCAAATGTCTAACAAGTCGCATAAGAGCAAACCAATTGGGCATTGAAATGAAGCGTAGTATCGTGGGCCTTATGGTAGTGTTTATAGTTAAGGAAGAAAAAAAAACAACCTTGAGGCTAGAATAAATTTTTATTGGTTTCAAGTTTTCAAAATGTTCAATTTTCAAAAGTGTTCTTTAAGTTTTTAACACTTAGTTAAGTGGGGGAACGACAAAGAAATTAATGGGGAAAAATGTGTCTCATCAAGAGTTATCGACGAAACTTTGCTAAGTAAAATTCTTAGATGGATTTGCTCTACTAAACTCTTAATGGCATGAGGTAATCTAGTTGTCCTGTCAATACTTGAGCAATGGACAATTCACGAGAAAAGTTTTGTATTCTACATTTTTGATCAAGCTGCAAATTTTAAAAACTGATTTGTACCTTAATGTACAACTGTTAGTTACTGAGCTGTTAGTAGTTCATTGTGTTACTAATTAAATTTTCATTGTTTTCTTTTCCATAGACATAATTCACGGCAAACTTTTCCAAAATAACCGTTTTCTCGAAATCGATTACGCTCAAGGTCGCGACATACCGCCAGGCTACACCACCAAAATCGCTGAAACTCTAGAGCAGTGGGTGGAGTCCTGTAATACCATCTCCAATTGCATTGATGGGCAGATAACACGCGCCAACTATGAGAAGGCCAAGAGCTTGAAGAACAAGGAACACATTGAAGAGGAGGTGAGAGCAGAGCGTAATAAAAACATCATTTTGTTCACGTTCAAAAAGCAATTATGCGAAAATTCAGTCTGTCTTCTTTGTAAGAGTCGAAATGTTTCACTCAAATCATTCTAATTCTCTAACGGAAAGTCTGTGCAAATACATAAATATGTATAAACATATAAAATTCTGTCTGAATTATGCATTCATTCAGGCAAATACAATATTAATCATTCTAATTTATCTGCCTCGCTTTTTATACTCACTTCATTCGTTTTCAACCTAACTCATTGTTGTTGTTTTATATTTTGCAGATAATTAATTTGAAGAAAGTTTTGAAGACACAAATCAGCGACAACGATGATGCTATGCAAATCGATACACGCGAATCATCCAGCATGGATATCCGTCGCAAGCCATTCAAGACGAAAGGTGGCCGTCTACACAACCCCAGTTTGGGTAAGTTAACAGGCATGGCGGCATCCACGTCAGCCCCGAACGCAGGTGGCAATGTGGTGGTGGTCAGTGCGGCAAGTGATGCTGCCAATGTTACTATGGCAGCAGCGAATAGCAGCAGCAGCGGCACCTCCTGGCTAAAATCGTTCACACAAAGTTTCGACAAGGAATAGCTGCGGTGAAGCTGAAAGACACGCATAAAAAGCTGCAAATAAAATCAACTCTTCTCCACCCACCACCAGTAATAATAATATTCCCGCTTAACGATCAAACGTTCGTCAGTAGCGCGTGTGCACCGTCAACGAGCGTTTTCGAGACGACTAGACAAGTGAAGCGCATACAGAGTGGGAGAGAGAGAAGGCGAACTTGACAGCAGCACATCACACAGTTTCATTTAATTAAGCGGCTTCATTTTAATTTTGTTATTTTGTTGGTAGAAAGTTTTTAATTGTTTACCTAGGCGGCGTGCGGTGATTACATTCATTTTCATTTCCCTTCTTGCTTCTCAAACTCACTTTTGATTTTCGTTCGTGAAGTGTGCAAAGAACTTGAGTGAAAATGTGTTTTGTTTCTTTAGGAAATCACTTTGTTTAGCTTGGCTTCGTTTACTCGTTCACGTCGAGTGTTATAAGCTGAACTTTGTTATTTGGCAAGACATGTTGACTGCATTGGCTTGACAATTTCAACGGCTGCAAAGTGTTAATGTTAGATAAATGTTAAACATGTCGCTTTACTTATACTCACAAACATATTTACTAACAGCGCTATCAATTGTATTTCCATCTAATTTGAGTTTTTCTTTTCTCATTTACTTTTCGGTTAACGCACAACCCCTTGCGATTAATCCTAATGCCATCCTCTTCATGAAGACATGTTATATACAGGTAGTCATCGTTCGCCAGCACAGAAAAAGTCGGAGGCGCCATCTGGTAGCATGAACTACTTGAATTAAGAACACTAACGGTAAAATAGTTACGCGTGCAACAAATGTCGTTTTAATTAAAAAAAAAAAACTTTAGTGAAGCCGCTAAAATAAATACTAAACTTATGGAGAACGAATTCAACATCTACAGCCCACGTTGGTTTTCACTCTTAAACCTATACTTACTCACATTCAATTATATTTCATAACTAATAAAAAATAAATATAGAATTTAATGAGAATTAAAAAAAATGATTTTATTTTTAGATTTAAAAGGGAATAATAATAAAAGAAGAAATAAACACGCAGCCCCAATGAAAAGCCATCTATGATATTCTCTGGCTTAGACAAAGGTCAGAGGGTGGGTCTAGTCCTGCTTCAGGTTATGCGGTTGTGTTGAAATACTATACCCTATCCCTAATATGGTGTCCTTATTGCGCTCCTAGGGAATGTGCGAAATGCAGTAATCAACCCATGTGGAACCTTACGATAAGACCAAAAAAAGAGAGTGGAACTACTCTGACATATTCGATTTGTTCGCTGGAGGTTGCTCATTGTGCTTAGGTCACGTCAGGTGGGAGCCAATCTGATGAAAAATAGTCAAAAACCACGGCTGATAACCGGTTAGGGTTACGTTCATACTGAATGCTGAGAAAAGCTTTGCTTCGTATCAATTAAAATATTCTTGCCAGATCGGATACTTCGGATAACCTTTTCTTAGAAGGAAAGGCCTTGTACTCCTCCTATGGACTTAATTTCAACAAGCCTATGCGCATTTCCTTTTAGTTAGAACCACAACCGGACCTACATTTAAGAAATACGAAGCTGTTCTCCTGCTCAATATTTTTTTTATAAAAGAAGAATGGTCAAGAACTCATTTCATTCCTCTGCAACCTACAGAGGAGATATTTACACACAGAGCCTGCTGTAAGAACCTTTATCGGTCTCAAAGCACTCGTATGTTTGATCAAAGTTTCAATACATTAGATGACATTCAGCCCAATAATAACTCTGCTTTGATGTAGTTAGGTCGACAGAGTCGCCCACAGGGTCATTCTTATTGACGAGCTACTGGATACACTGTATCAACGTGATTGTTAGAGGCTTTTCTTGACGTTGGGTGATTCCAGAACAGCAATCGATAATATTTGGCAATTTACGGAGGAGCGGGATATTAGTTTAAGCTTGTAGCATGGATGGACGGACCATCTGTCCGAGTTATAAACACACTGCTATATGACACGAGACCTATTATCCTATAATAGTCCTACATTGGCGGTCAAAACTCGGCAAAGAGTGTCAACCCCTCCAAGTGTATTTCTGATATGAAATAAAGATCCTCGTAAACACCCATCAGCCGTTCTGAGGTGTCTTAGTATAACACGGATACCGCAAATTGGAGAATCGCTTCAGCGCTTAAAAAGCGCCGAATATATACACATATTTTTCTGAAAGCTCTGCACAATAGCTTGACATACGTAAGTATAGCTTTAAAAGCTTGCACCTTTTCCACAACAAATATAAGTTCTTTTTTTCTTGTATACAATTTTAATATGACTAATTTTTATATTTATTTTATTCTAACGGCAGCTATTGCTCATCCATAATTGTTTTAAAGAATTTCCCCTACCTAAGACTCTTCTTTACCGTTATACATTGCTAGCAGCTCAACGTCTAGACACTTTTTCGTATTCCTTCGAGTAGGCGCCTGAGTTATCAGCTTGATATACACCGGCTGCGTCGGGATGGTAGGCCCCTTGTGCATCTGAAAAGTAAGGAAATAGAATGCATACACATTTAGAGACCTTTACAAAGTTTTAACAACCACAACTACAACAACCAGCACAAACACTGCACCAAAGCATCATTTCTTTTGTTTGCGAAAAAGCAATACTTTAAAAACTCGTTAACTTTGGGTGTATTTACCTAGCGCCGGATCATAATTGCCACTAGTGTCTTGCGTCCATGCGCCGCTATTATCCCGCACATAACGCCACATTAGATCATCATGGTAGACACCCAAGCCATCAGCCAACCATTTTCCCTCGTCCCCGGCCGGTTGGTAAGCACCTGCATTGTCCTCCACATATTGTCCCGAATTGTCAGCTACATAATCGCCGCTTGTATCGGCGCTGTACGAGCCGTCGTTATCGGCAGTCTTCTGGCTCTTGTTCGGCACTGCACAGATAATTTCACCTGTCAACAAAAGCAGTAGCAGTGCTGAGGGTAACTGTAAAATGAAGTTTCATAAATAACTTTGTATTGACTAACGGTACACACGCATTAGTATTTCGGTTTTCTAATAGTCACCAATCTCGATTTCGAATATCCTTGCATTGTGTATGCGATGGCTAGATGAAAGGTTGCTCTGTCTATTAGCACGTCTGCTGCTCGTGTGCTCGTTTGCTTTTTGATTGGTTTGACGTGGTTATTGCTCGCGGCGTTTATTTGATGTCTCTACTAAAGCCTTCCAACAATGATGCTTTTGCTTTTATACCGAACACAAACCTTTAGACATGCGAGAGTTCGTGGCCGATATGTAAAAGGCTCTTCTGCATGTGTATGCGTGTATGTGTGTGTGTATATATATAATTTTAAAGCTTTAATAATATTCCTCGAGCTGCAAAAAATTTACAAAACTAACCAGTTATTATTAATGTCATTGTTTAAATATTCAAACATTTAACGAACGACGAAAGGGAAGGTGGGGATGTTTGCGGTGGTGAGGATGGAGTAAAAATCGTATAAATTTTGCAGAAATTTAGTTTATTAGTTCATTTTGAGTAATTTCAGTTGCCCAAAGTGTAGCACTCTCAAATTTCTGTACGCGGCCTATATTACCGAGAAGATTGTTTGTGAATTTGAAAAATAAAAAAATAAAAAAATAAAAAAATTCTAGCTCATTTCATTGATATCAGTTCATATTGCTGTTGCGCTGCTTTTAACCCATGCAATGGCGCAAAGGGTCATTTGGGGCTTGCTAAAATTAAATATTTTCCTTCATGAGTTTATTGCCATTTAGGGAATTCGGAAATTTACAAGCTGTTTATATATAAATACCTCTGACTGGATATATTTAAAAAATTTTTACAAATATATTCGAGTAGAAAATTTGATTATTGCCCTAATTGAAGATGTATAGTAAAGCCCATGTTTAGAAAATTAAACTATACTTCACAAAAACAATAATTTTAAGTGATTTGGAGTGAATTACTTTGAAGAACAAAAAAATGTATATATATTTATATGGTTATTCGGAAAAATAAAAAAATGTAATCAACTCTGCATAAAACGAAGTAGATTTGAGGATTTTCAAAGACTAATTGCATACACTTAATTGCGTCTGTATGAACACTTGCCAACTCAATTTAAAACCATTCATTTTCGATTGAGAAAATATTTTTAGATTTAAAGTAAAACAATTGCTTGGGAAATAAAATAAAATAATTAAATTGGAAACAAAAATGTCAGGAAATTGAACATACGAGCAAAAGAAAGGAGGGGAAAAATAGCTTAAGTTACCTTTCAAATACTAATTGCATGTGCTTACAATGAAAACTAATTAATTAATTTCTATTAAGAATTTGTTGAATTGCCAATCGCGTACAGCACAAGCGAAGTGACCCTTTGAAGACTTATGGTCTGATATAGTAACATATCGCTACTCTCAGCAACTTAGGGTTAAGCGAGCTCATTACAAATATACCGCAGCTGCCATGAATGTGCTAAGTTAATTTTAACGTAAGAAACTCAAAAGACGACAATTTCGATGACACCTCAATTTCTCATTTCGCTTACATTTTGTTCGCGTATAATTAATTTCAATTCATTTGCAGCTAGTAAATTTTGCATTTTTTTTCACTGTCTTTGACTATTGCATACAAACAAACAAAAGAAGAGAAGTGCGAGTAAAGTGAAGAAGAACACAAGCACAGAAAGCTGCTGACAGTCTTTAGAAATTTTGCAATGAATTTTGAATTAACTTCAAAACAAGTTGCATGCGAACTGCGTCAAAAGCTTTATTAAAAAATAATTAATAAATAAAATTATTATTTTGCTCATGATCAGCTTGATTTTTTTTTCATTTGCTTATATTAATTAGCTGCTTATTTGCATTTCTATAGACTCCATTGACATTTGCTCAACAACTGGGCTGAGCGGGTAATCAATCGCTCAATGTTGTAATATTTTATAGTTTTTTTTTTTTTTTGTTTTGATGTGGTAAGCGTGTGAAAGTGAGGGCGCTCGTTGCCTTAGTCAGCGTAATTAATTTTCGAAAATTCCGCGCGCGGCTTTTATGGAAAATTAAGCGGCATTACAACTAATTACAATTAAAAATGTCATTAAAAATCAATTAATCTCACGACAAACAATAAAAATTTCGTGTGTTTATGCAGTGATGCATCGATAAATTCCAAAATTTCTCTGAGAAAAATGTACCTTTTAGGCTGATTAAAAAAATTTTTTTTTTTTTTGTATTTCTTTGGATTGATTTTATTCGTACACGATAAGGCACTTAGTATTTGAAACATACGTGCATACATACCTGACCTAAATTGAAGCTGAAATAATCTAAGCATTAAGATTTACAGGTGTTTGAACCTCTGCAGAGACCAAGGACACATTAGCCACGCAAACAAACAAACAAACAAACAAACACACTCACATCTGTGCGACAGCAATAATTCTTGGTTCTAATAAAGCTGCGCGAAAATGCCATAAAATGCAAATAAAGGAAAAAACTGATCTACCAAACCCATAAATTGGTCAAAAACGAGTTTGGCAAATTAAAATAAAACAAAAAAAAAAACAAAAACCAACAGATGAAAAAAGTCAGTTTGATTATTTATTTACAGTTTAAAAATGTATTTACAATCTGAATTGCATTTTGGCTAATCAATAATATTAATTGCGGGTTAATGCTTATCCGGACGATTTAAATTATAATAATTTCGTGTAAATGCCGCATTTTTCGTTTCACTCGTTTAGCGATTATTTTGCGAAATAATTATTTTATTTGATTTGGAAAACCTTTGCCCATATATTTATTAGTTACCTCGTGAAATTTTATTTATTTTGAATAAACAAATGAGCATTCAACTGGAAAATGGCATAATTTCAATCAAGAAGTTTAACAGTAATTATTTGTGTAAATAGTCATATTTGTCTAAATCTTTTAAATTGTTTACAACAGTGAGCTACCATTTGAAAAGGAACTTTATTTTCTTCAACTTCATTTTCAGAAAATATTATTGAAATGGCGCGCCACCTGGTAAATTCAATAAAGGTGTTAAGCCATACAAGTCAGTACACAAAAAAAGGCTGAATAGTGCCTATACATAAAAATAAACATTTCTTTACAAAGGTTTCCACTTGTTTGAAAATTAGCCCTTAAACAGAATTTCCAAATATGGTGCACACATTTTTTAATTTTTTCCTTGTCGGATAATGCCAGTGAGCCTCTTCTTCCTTGGTCACTTATGGAACTACTTGCGTACTCTTAAATTTCTTCAATTCCTCACAGATATCGCGGAGTGACCGTTTCTATAACTAAAGCAAAATACTTCCAAAAAGCAACAAATAGTGGTAGTAGGAAAATTACTAAACAATTAAGGTCAGTCCACAAAATCAACCATAAAGGGTAGTGTCCAAGCAGCTAAAGAAATTATTTGCAAAATGAAAACGAGAATCGGAATAGAGGCGAGGGTCGACTCTGACTCTTGCTAATACAAAAGGTAGATTAGGAGTAGAAGCAACGGTTGACTCTGGCTCATCGATTCGAGATTAGAAACAGAGCGGACGACTCTGTTAAAGATACAAGACTAATATGGAACTCTCGAAATTAATAGAGAACAAAAAAACGAAGGTTTCGCTCCAACGTATGCCGGAAGAAATATACAAAGGTGTACAGAACACTCTGCTGCCGCTTACTTATGGAGGGACATTTGTGTAGTACTCTTTTCCATGGAGTGCAGTGCTATGGAATAATTATAATTTAATATATTTGCTTATCAGGCCCTCGTGTAAGTGTTAGTTTAATAAATTAATGTTTCTAATTGTCTGACATACATAAAAACATCGCCATTCATTCATGGATACATCGATAACACGAATTATACTGCCTCGCGGAGTTATTAATAATAAAAATATCATCATACACACAAACATAATCGATTGAATTGCATACAACAATTAATATACGCCTAAAAGTATGTTTCACACAAACCAATCAAATGGTAAAACATACGTGCATAATTATTTAACTAACCGCATTCTACGCTCTTAATTGAATATGTTCAATTATTTAGTGGTTATACTCAAAAAACACACACATACAGAAATATATAACATATAGTCGTATGCATGTATGAGTACATGACATTGCCTTTTTAATGGTTCAGTGGTTTACATTTCCGCTGCATGTTTTTGGATAACTGTATATACGTGTATGTATGTATGAGGCGCCATATTTCAAATTTATAATTTATGATTTTATACTTTTAACATCCGCTGTGAGAGCGGAGAGCTTGCTGATGACTGTAAACTAGGAAATTTGCTTACACGCTAAGTCCACTAATTTATTTAAATGCAAATTATCTTATAAATTCATATATACAATACGAGTGAGCAATGAATATTTAAATATTACTGTAATTTTATGTACAGTTATTTAACTTTACTTAAGCAAAGTAATTACAGCAAACATTTCAAAAATTATTTGATTAAATTGGATTAAATACTTCACAGTGAGCGACTTAGGAATTCACATTGAGAAGTATTCCTTTGTTTCATATCTCTTTGATCTGATTCTGCAATGTCTATAAGCTATTTCCAAAGAATATTTTACACAAAAATGTATGCAAATCTAGATGCCCAAATAGAGAAGCAGAACTAATGCATAGTTGTTGTGGCAAATTATTTGTTTTGGGCTGCTGCAAAGAGAGAGAGAGAGAGAAAGAGAGAGAGAGTGAGAGAGAGAGAGAGAAGAGAGCGGACAACCGGTTTGACTGAAAAGGTTAAGTAAATGGCAATGGCAAATTATTTATACGCTAGGTGGTGCCTGAGTCGAAGCATTGTCAAAATCTTTTTTGTGGCGCATTTGGCTTATATCAGAAACACAATTACTTGCGTAGAAGGTAAAAAGAAAATGCAAAAAATTGTTTTCAGGGTCAAACATTTACTCAAAATCGAACCGGATAATTAAATTATTTAGCATCATAAAGCTTTGAGAGATTTCAAAATAATGATCGTAATAACCATATAAATCAGAGATCTGTTAGGAATACCTTTGCTATATTTATAATAGTGTCAATAAAAATTAGTGTAGCTCAAGACCTGGCGGCAGCAATAGCTGAGCATTTAGAGGGTGTCGAAATTGAACTAGTTCCGGACTAAAAATTAATATTTTAAAAAGCTTTTAGTTGCGGTCGGTACACGGTAAAAATATCGTCCCATACGGGTTTATTTATGATGCATACAAGCATCTCGTAATTCATCAGCTGTTCGTATGCGGTTACGAAATACAATAAGGTCAAACCATTTATTTGGAAAATATCCAGAAATTCACCACAAATTATAGGAGGAACTTGGTCAAGAACCACTTGAGTGCGCAATTAGCTATATTAAATAATCAAGATCTGTTGCACAGCTGAACTGGCTATATATGACACCAGTCTTTTGCGGAAATGGGATAGAGAGATTTTGATTATGTGGGAATTTAAGCAGATTTAAGATTTCCCTCAGGTTTTCATTTCAATAAATAATTAAGTCGTTATCGCAAACATTTAACAGCTGAGCTGGAATGAGTCTCATTTTCTTACTGATTTCGCCACAATCTTTAAAGAAAGTGATCTACAACAGTTGCTAACAGAAATAATATGGATGGGATTATCAGTAAGTGCAATTGAAAGGACGTTGGTCAAAGATCACTGAAAACAAAATATCAGAAAACAGAAGTGTGTAAGTGGGCAAAAAAGCAATCGATCGAATTCACAGACAACTATGATTATTATTGACATTCAGTTACAATAAAATGACGACTTTAAGATTCATTATAGTAATTTTTCAATATCAGACTAATTAAATTTTACATTCAAGCACGTTTGAGCTGATGAGGGGCTTCACAGTGCAAGTGCTTTGTAGTGAATCTTTTTGTTTTTAAAGGCGAAATATTTGAAATTTTCATATGATTAATTTAGCCTCTACTATATTAGTTCTTACTAACGCTACTATTCCGAAAACTATTTGGAGATTTTCAGCAGTGCTGAGTCACTCTGCAGTGCTTGTGAATACCCCCGCCTTTTGTTTGAATTTCCTACAAACAACAAACAATTAGCTATTTTTAATCAATAATCAAAATTGCAATTAGTATTAATAGCTTAATATATGTCCGATTGCCTTTACATACATACATATGCATAAATATAAATATGCCGACTAGCTTAGAGAGATAATAAAATGTGATTGCCAGTGTTAAGGGAGCAATAAATAGAGCGCATTTAGTAAGATGATAAATTTTTTCCCACAACAACATGCATATTATGATTGCATGTATTAAGTTAGAGTATTTAATTGACAAGTAATAGTTGTGAACAACATCATTTTTTTAACAGTAAATTTTCATTGAAAATTATTTTATATTTTCATACAGTTAAAATCGCTTAGCAGATCAGTTTTGCGATGAACGCAACGCAACTCGGTGATTCGTGTTCGAGACGGTGATTTAAGATGGAAAACGAGCTTTACAGCTAAGGCAAGGATTACAAAAAAAAAAAAAAAAAAAACAGCAGACAATAGAGAATTAGCGAAAGCTCGAGCTGCAATAGAACTTACTTACTTACTTACTATTTGAATAAATAATTCGTTTAGTGTGAATTAAAATTTGTAAAACATTAGTAACCATATCAAGTGCAAAAAAGTTAAAATCGTTAAAGAAAATTGTTAAAGTTCATAAAATTTTGAAAATGTTAATATTAATTGTGTTGTCCACCGTTTTGGCTAGCGCCTACATTTACTGGACATATGTGAAGTATATAACTGGCTGGCATTTACTTAAAAAAATACCAGGACCTTTCACATATTGGGTTTTCGGGAATGTGCCGCAATTGGGCTTAAAACCGGAAGGTAAGTGGTATTTTCCAACGAAAAGGATTTGGGGAAACTCTGAAAAACTTTAAACAACTTTCAACCAGGATTTATTAAAAAACGAAAATATTAGAAATAAAAAAAAACCTATAATTTAATATAAAAGAGTTAAAAAAAAATAAATAAAAAACAAATTAAAAATACAGCATAAAAATATAATTAAACATAAAAAGAAATATTAAATAAATTAAAATAATAAAAAAATGATAAAGCATAAAACTAAGTAAAATAAAATTACATGTAAATGAATTAAATTTGAATAAAAATTAATTAAAGTAGAAAAGACGTAAAATGAAATAAAATAAAAAAATAAATTAAATAAAGTACAAAAATAAAATACTTTAAGAGTATTATTTAAAATTTTGTGCACAAAAACCCAGTCATTAAACAGGATGCTTCACTAATATTTGTGCAATTAATTATTTACGAAAATTAGTGAATAAAAATTGAGCATAGAAAATAACTTAACCAAAAAATATTGAATTTTAAAATTTAACGATAATCAAAAACAAAAAAAAAAAAGAAAAATTTGCAAAAGTTGTATGACAAACTGTTGTTCGCACCAAAGCTGTCAAAACTTTTTGGCAAATACATAAATTTGCATCTACACGTATATTCAGCAGACAGCTGCATAAATTTGCTATGAAAACAGTATATGGACAGAGAAATAAGAGAGATGAAAATTTCGGACCGTTAATAAATATAATTTAATAAAATAAATATAATTAAATAAAATAAATATAATTTAATTAAGTAAATATAATTTAATTAAGTAAATATGCTTTTAATAAATTTAACTTTTTTTAATTTTCTGCTAAATGAAAATAGGAAAAATTAAAGCACATTTTTATTAATTTTTATTTATCAAACTCTTTATATTTTCATAACCACATACTGCACGTATTTCGACAATATTCAAGTTAGTTTGCGAAAAATGGTTCTATTTACGTTTGCATTTGTATTGTAGCTACTGTTGTTTTATTTACATTATTTTTAAACTAATCCCTTGTGTGGGAGAATAGGATTAAATTAAGTTTGGTTAAATGTCATTTCGTTAATAGAAAGATGCCAAATACTAGTTCATTATAAATATATTCATAGGATTTTCCAAAATTGTACATACATGAGCAAAAATGAGAGTTTGCATGCATATGTGTATATGTGTGTATCAATTTAAAATCGTTACTGCTGCTAAGCTGCAAGTTTTTTGATTTCTAACAGTAATTATAATTGTATGGAACGAAATTAGAACCGAATTAAATTTATTATAAAAAAAATTAAGTACTGTTTGAAATTTATTTGATTTTTAACAAGTTTTCCAATTTTAAATTGCGCACTTAATAGTTGTTGGTTAACAGTGAATTGAATAATACAACAACAGATTATATGGCTACCATCTTTCTTTGTTGTATAAGAAAATATTCATACAAATTCATGCAAGCAACAGGCAGGCCTTTAGTACACCTAATACTTATAACAAATATTATAAAATTTCTTAATTTAAATTAAAATAAAATATTTTAAATTTAATATAACGATATTGATTTTAATTTGGGTTTTAAATATTGTTTTCTGTTACGAAAGTTCAAACCTAATTTTTTACATTTTCTTCTTAACGCTTTAAAATTAAATAAGATAAATAATGAGCAGTCATTTACTGTTATTCTAATCCGCAAAAAAAAAATAAATAAATTATACATCGCTAATAAAGACTCAAATGTCAACAGTAACAATAAAAAACTACAACAAAAATAGGTAGTAAGACATAGTTATAAAATTCATCGCGGTTAACCAGTTCGAATGACATTCGTGAATTAAACGTGTTGAGATTCAAGTTCAACGTCATGACAACAATTATAAAACAAAACAAAAGCAATACAAATTAAATAGAAAGTGTGAAAAAATCCAAGTAAAAAAATTAACAGTACATACTTGAAGCATTTTAAAGAAATATAAACATTAAATTTACATACATTTGATAGAGTATCTTTCTATATATCACTTTTCTAGTTAAGCTTTGAAGACTCTGGAAGATTGTATTTCATTGTCGCAGTGCTTTTGCTTAGCGACGCGCAGCATTTAATTCGTCAATAACTACAAACCTGTTTTCGAAACTACTCGTATAGTATTATCATGATTTTTTTGTATTTTCATGCCAATTCAGCCAAAAACATTCATTATCTTTGCACTTAGACGTTTAGCATATGTATTATCGCTTCTGTTATGGTGCCGCTTATGCACCGTTATTGCAATTAAGTTTTTTTTCATCGATATAAGGTTGGACAATTTTATTCATATGAGTTTTCTATGAGAATCTTTTCGCTATTTTGGTTACAGTTTTGTTTAAATTATATTATTCTTCTGGAGGCTTCTTTTAATGTTGCGTAATCTGCCGCAAAGAGTGAATTCTCGATTTCAATTTCAGTACCTCTAGATGTCTCGCGCTGGAAATTTCTATAAAAAATGTATAAAATATTCCGCTTAAGGGAATTTTCCGGTCGCATAACTTTCTCTCTACGGTATGGTACGGTGCACCACCATGAGCTCACGAAACTATCATTGTGAACGAAATTCTGACTTATATTTATATAATACTCGGATAAGTGATATATATGATATCACTCCGTGCAACAGGAGACATAAAAAAGAGTTTACAGTTAAAGTTGAAATTGATTGAATATGTAAAAAAATGGTTAAATGATAGAATTATTTATTCGTTGACATAAGAAGGGTAAGATAACTTCCCAGTACGTTTTTAATAGAACGTGTTTTCGCAAAGACATACATACATACATATGTGCATGGGTCCCGTGCGACTATGAAATTTAACATTTATAAACAATATGTTTAAAATTTGTCAGAAAAAATTTATATATCAATAGTGCGACTTAAGAGGAGCCAAAAGGGTAGTTGAAGGTGGTTTTTTCCTTTTTTTACAAATTGAACGCAGTACATTTGTCAAAGTTAACTTGTTTGTTTTCACTCTTAGTAGTTTATATACAAGTTCAGAGATCAGTAGTTCATCCCTTGATTAAACCTCAATTTGTCAGATTCGTAAGATATGCCTGTTAAATTACAGGCGTTTCGCTGAAACAAGTAATTCCACTTAACTGAAGCTGAGATTTTTAATGTGAAATGAACAGTATATGTATGTAATGTATGTATAAGTACATATGTAAGTATGAAAGTAAATACACGTAGTCACCACAGGTAATGCATTTTAAGTCTTCAAGACCATATCTTTTTTGGAAATAGTGAACAAAAATTACAACAACAGTTTTGGACGGTAGAAGTTGAAGCTGCTATTTCAGAAACCACCACGTTACCTCATCAGATTTCTTTGTCCAGACACCTTTGTTCGAATTGGATTCGAACTTGAGATGCCCACAGCACGAGCCAATAGTTATCCCATTAAGCTACTTGTTAATTCCTCGAAGCCTCTCTTCTAAACACCTCCTATACATATACAAAGCCTAAAACAAATACAATTTAAGTGCAACAATTTGCTGGAGTATTTTATTCACATTTAAACAATATACATACATACGTGAGTATAAACAAATGGAAAAATTAAAAATTAAAAACAAGAAACTGAAAAGTCAAACGAGCATCGCCGCGAAAGGAACTCCTGCGAGCTCCAAGGTAATAATAAATATACGAATACACACATATTCATATTGGCGTCCAAGTCATCAGCAACATAAATTCAAGATCCAATTCAAAATCAATGTCGTCATACCAAAATCTTTGCGTTACAAAGTCAGCCATAATTACTCGAGAACTCACGTTTAGTTCTTGCTTTCCTTTGAGGGATGGGCGGCAATGTATTCGAGCGCCTTGAGAATGGCAGCTGGAGTTGGTGGTGCGGTGGGCAGGAGCTCACTCTGTGGATGGTAGCCACTCTCGTCGGCAACATAGCTCACAGCGATGTTTTCACCTTCGGGCGACACGTATGAGTAGTCACCCTTGATGTTGCCAGCGGCATCACCAGCCTGGAGAACATGAATGTGGTTGGTTGTTTCCAGCGCGCTGTTGAAACCATCAGTAAAGACTTCCAACTTTTGTAGGGTTACTTCAGCATGCGCGTCATCATCAGCACCAGAGGCTGCGGCGTATGCGATGCAGGCGAAGAGTAGAACCTATGACCGAAGTTGAGAATTAAATAAGCCTTTTTAACATTTGTCCGTAGCGATTTGTATTTCTGTGCTACTTACGTATTTGAACATGTTTGCTGTGGTTTGTTTGGGCAGTGATATAAATTGAACTAGAGCACCTGTTTGTTTCTGATACTGTTTGCTAAATTTGGTAGCGCTTTTATAATCGGAATTCTTTTTCCAAAAACAGAGCATGTTCATTTCCATAAAATCGGGAATAAATTGCACAAGCTAAACGATTAACATATGCGCTTGTGTGTGTATATATATGTATTGCCGAGTATTGCAGTTCTTGCTAATTCCCGTTGCGTTTACTGTATTTTCGTCTAAATGCAAATTTGTCGGCCGTTAAAATCCAGATTAACTTGTTTCAATTGTAGGCGAATACACATTTTGGGATATAAGTTATGAATTATTTCGTCATCTATTTAATAGGATTTCTAGTAAATTTTGCCTATACAACAAAAACATATAAATGAAATTTATGACTTTGGCATACAAAGTGATTTTTTCATGAAAAAGTCTACCAAAAGCACTTTGCGAGTTCATCGCCCAGACTGTCCTTCAATTTGTTGCATTTGAGTGAAGAGTTCTCAAAGATCATCACGAAGACTCTGACCAAATCGACGCATTTGAGATTGAAGCTATTTTTTCTCTTCCCCCTTTGGGTCTTCAAAGAGGTAGAGGTTACTCCGCAGAAAATTTTTAAGGTTGTGTCCGTCTGGACAATATGGTCTGACCAGCATGGATGCTGCCTTTTATTTCAAGGCAACATATTAATGTTCTTTACAACTAATATCTCTCATAAATCTCGTGTAAATGCTTTTCTTGCAAGCTTTTAAATCTAAAAAATAAGACAAGAAGAAAGAAGAAGCAAGAAAACTCTCAATTATCAGAAATTTCGATTCAGTAATATTGCTCTGGATGCAAAAAACCCACTTAACATCGCGAGTTGGTTTTGTATATTGGATACAATGGTGATTATGAAAGCTCCTTACTACCATGCGAAAGGTCATGGATTGGAGTCCCGGCTCGATCAACATCCAAAAGTATTGAAAAACAACTTTAATACGAAAAAAAATTAGTTAAATTTTCTAATTGCATTCACTCCTCGTCGGTTTAAAGTCATATCCTCCTAGGTTACTTCGAACATAAATAATTCATTAAAATCCATCAGGAGCTTATAGCGGCTTAGAACGAACAAAAGGACCTACGAACCATTTGCGGGAAAAAATTGAGAGGAAAATTTCAATGCACATAAATTGGAAAACGGCTCGGTCGAAAATCGTTGTGCGGCTATGAAGCACCAAATCAAAATACAATATGGAGTTCACTGACCAGAAATAGAAAATTGGAAAAAGTGAAAGGCAACAGAGCTTGGCCCAGGCCCGCAATATAATACCTCGGTAACATGAACGACAACCAATTATGCTAAACAAAAATGAGTACGCGATACATAAGGCTGAAAAAGTCTGCGGGAACCTATCTAGTATTATGCCAAACAACGGTAAACCAAGGAAACCTATAGTTATTATAAAAGTTGAAATGTTCTATTCTCTGATACGTTGCATCAATTTGGACTAAGGTGTTGAACAACAATAGAAAACTGACTGCTCTTTTTCGGCTCAACTCGATTATATTTATAGGGGGAGAGTTTGTTGCCAAACAAATGCCTCGGGGTAGACGTGAGTGGCGAGAGAGCGGCAAAAGCCCTGGAATAGCTCTGATAAACGCAGTTGGGCTTATAGGCTCATTTATTGTTTAAAATGGTAAATGTGCTTCTTTCTGACTCAATTTCCCGAAAACACCTTTACAGATTCGGTCTTTCTGAGAAAATGGAAAGCAAAAAATTTCGTTACTTCCCTAACTACAAATTCACTAACGTAACAAGGTGCTGAAACTTGGACTTTACTTTCCGCATCATAGTTTGATATAAATAATGCTATTCATCTTGACTCTTCATCACTACTTCTCTATCGGTCATCCCGGAAAAACGAAATTCGTAAGTGAGATGGCCTAAAACTATTACAAGATTTCTGCTACTAGCTGACAATTGGAAACCGGAGAAACTATCTCAATGAATTAAAGAAATATCATTCAGCTCAAGCTGGGCTATAATAGCGAAGTTTCTCTAACTTTTTGGAAACAATAATTTGCTTGCAGTTGGTGATCTTTAATTTGAATGGACGAAGCTCTAGAAAGTCCATTCGTCCATTTAAAAGGCGGTTGCGAGGTCTCTATGTTTGATTTGAAACAGAAAATTTCTACAGTGCGATTTCTTTAACTTACAGCTAAATAAAAATACGAGTCGCTGAGATAAATAGAGAAAGTGCGTCTTCGTAAGGAAAACCAGATTAACCTTTTCTTAACAAGCAAAGATCAAACCCAAAATGTTCGTTCGTTCATAATAAGGCACTGAGCCCAAAAGAGCACATCATCCAAGGAAATTATCTTATGAGTCTTCCAGAGAAAGGTTTGGCGTAAGAACTTTGAAGGATATCGATTTATTCCAGAAAGTTGAGAATTAATTGTTTTTCTGAGGGGTTTACTTGGAGGTAAACTCGCAGCTTTGAGAGCTTTTCATGCAACTCGTTAATTATGCTTCTACAAAGGGGTGGATCAATTGACCCTAAGGTCAGATAAAACTAGTGGTGTCGAATAAAATTATTGAAAACAACAATAATAAAAAGAAAGTAGGTTTTGATTTTTTACCAGTTTGCTGGAATATTTTACTTGCATTTAACACATACATACGTATTTACAAAAAAAAAAAATTTATATTAAACTGAATTGTTGGCAATGAGCCTGGAAAAATAGAGTCTTCGCGAAAAAGTCGAATATCTAACTTCGACCCATTTATAACCAAGTCAACAGTATCCTCATTAGTACGTGTCCAAAATCAGCCGATCCGTTCATAATCCTTGGAACACAAGCAATTTAGTGTTTCTCCTCCTTTGGTGGATGAGCAGCGATATATTCGAGTGCCTTGAGAATGGCAGCTGGGGTTGGTGGTGCGGTGGGCAAGAGCTCACTCTTAGGGTGGTAACCACTTGCATCGGCAACATAGCTCACAGCGATGTTTTCACCTTCGGGCGAGACGTATGAGTAGTCACCCTGGATGTTGCCAGCGGCATCACCACTCTGTACAACGTGAATGTGGTTGGTTGTCTCCAGTGCGGCCCTGAAACCATCAGCAAAGACTTCCATCTCCCGTACTGTTATTTCAGCGTGCGCATCATCTTCAGCACCATTGGCTGCGGCGTAAGCGACGAAGGCAAAGAGTAGCACCTGCGGAGTGTAGAGAGAGAGAGAGAGAGAGAGAGAGAGATAGATAAAGGTGTAAGTTTTGAAATTACTTCCTTTATTTGACTTTGAATCTATTTACGTATTTGAACATATTAGCTGCTTTTTTTTTGGTGAGGATTAGACTAGAATACTCGATTGTTTCTGATACCGTTTGCCAAATTTGGTAGCGCTTTTATAATGTCAATATCGGCGATTTTTGAGACCGGGAATATTTGCTGGACGCGCACGTATGAAATTTCTATCTATGTATTTGTGTACGGTGTAGGCTGCTGCTGCAATTGCTTAAAATTCCCGTTGCTTTTACGGCATGTATATATGTATGTTAGAGTATTTTCATTTGCCGCCCGTTAAAATCCTGTCAAACGGGTTCGAATTGTAAAAAAGATGTTCTGATTTGAATTGTTTTGTCTCCAAAATTCTAGCACACATACACACATACACAACTTAATGTGCTAAATTGTTTCTTTCATTTATAATGTTTATTTGCTGCTTATAAGTATATTTAAAAAAAATAATAATAATTGCTTCATTATATTTTTTTTGGGCAACTTTGGAACTGACTACTTTCGAGTTGCTCTTTTTATGGTTAAATACCACTTCTCTCGTATACTAAGGCAAATATTGTTACTCAAAGCACATTAAAAATTATGGTTTTAAAATTATGACAAATAAAAAGACAATTCTGTATAGGTGAAAACAATATTAATAACAATGTCCAATAACCTGGCACTTAAAACTAGAAAAATTTCTTAAAAGAAAAAAAAAATAAATAAAAATGTTAAAATGCAGTTAATTTTGAGAAAAATGTACATGAACATATTTATACATACTTTTGTATATATGTATTTAAATTATAATATAAAACGTAACTATATTTCCATAAAGATTTATTAGTCTTTCGGTTAAGGAGAGGTGAAAGAGAGAGAATGGGGCTACGTACATTATTGAGGCAATCATGGCCTATGGAGTCGGTCATAACAAATTGGTCATTAGTACCATGAATCTTTGGATAAGCTTTTAGGACTTGACCTTGTGTTTATTAGTGAAGAAAGCACATGAAACATGGTACTTGCAGATCTTGACACCTTCATCTCATCCACAGTCTTTCTCTCTCCTTAAAATAAATAGATGAGTTATTCCACTTGAGCTTAATGGTTTTTCATTAGAATAGTTTTTACAAAAGATTTTCTGCCTTCAAAAAAAATCGTATCCGCTATTTACAGTTATGACTTTAGAGTCGAAGATAATTTCGGAATCAGTAGGGAATCGAGTAGTAAAGTCCCCTCTAGACGAACAAAGACTAAGCTCTATAAATTCCGGGCCATTCCACCGCTCCTGTATGCTGCAGAGGTTTGCACGATGCCAAATTTCGATGAGTCGCCATTAGGGGCTTGTGAGAGAAAGGTTTTGCGGAAGATTTGTTGTCATTTTCGAATTGGCGATGGACCAATAAACTGTACGTTATTAGCGACGCCATTTACGAGTACAGCAAATAAAGATTCAGCAGTTTCGCTGGCCTCATCATATCGGCTAATTGAAAGAAGATAATCTATCTTTGACGCAGTACCCACCGGCGTAATCAGAGTGAGGAGCCACCACTTGTTGAATGAATGAGGTGGGGAGGGTCCTGGCAGCATTTGGAGTCTCCTCTTGAAATAATAAGAAATTTTTCACATGGCAGATCCCAAACTGATTAGGCAATATCAAATTTTTTTTGCACCAATATTAAATTCCACGGCGACATTGATAAAGTTTAGCAAGTCTGGATGCAAGATGAAAAATGAATGGCTAAATGAAGCAACTATGTAGGTGAATTTGATACTTCAAGTGTAATCTCTGCTCTTTAAACGTACAGCGGGTTGGGCCAGTTGTAACCACTTGACTGACAGCGGAATGTTAAAAAAGTACTGAAGGTTTGGGCTGGCAGTACGCTTGATAACTGGTTAGTGCCGAAGAATGACAGTTTCAGTAATGATAGCGGTGATCGACCGGTCCTTCGTCGCAATTCACCGGAAGACAGCAGCCAACTGATTATTGCCATGAAGCGCTCTTCATGTCATCTAAAAAATATGCATATCCGCTTGGAGGCGAGTTAAAACTATGGGGTTAAGACATTAGTAGGAAAACTTCAACAGTCCCAATCGTAAACGTCAGTTTTTATATATACAATTATATATATGTATATGTAAATATATAATTGATGTGATTGAGTGATTTGTAACCATTGAAGCGATTTTCGTCCGAACTCCTCCTCCCATTTGTGGTTGTGCGTCTTGATGTTTTTCCAACAAAGGGAGGGACCTACAGTTTACTGGTGGCTCTTCATGGCAGAAAAACACTTGGAAAACACTGCCGAGGAAATATAATTTAGTTTTCTATAATTTTTTGGATGTTAGTACGACACCATGATTTGAACCCGAGCCTTCCGAATTGCAGTACGCAATGCTAACCACTCGGCTCGCTTTAATACTTTACTCATGGTCTACGGCAATTAGCACACGGGAATGAATTTGTCAAATTGAATATCTACCAAGCCAAGAAATTATTGTTGTATAATATGTATTTAGTTGCGTGTGACATTTCAGCTTCAGTGAAGCACTTCTTCTGGGCAATAAAATGCAACGTACAGATTTTGAAATAATAACTCTAAACGAAATCAAGTTTCTGATCTGAAGTAATAGAAGTGGCATTTACATATTTATTATTTTTTGACTAATATTTTTTGTTTACCTTTCAATAAAGATTCATATCTGCCAATGTCAGATTTTTAATTTTTATTTCACTTTTTTCATTTTCACTTTTGTTTACCATTATTATTAGTATTTCTGCGATTCTGCCACAAGTTTGTGATCTTTTGAAACACGTAATGAATGTTTTGTTCCTCTGCATTTTCGTATGTACATGCATACATACATACATACATAAACAAGCTTAGCCGTAATGGAATATTGAAACAAAATAAATAATATCTAAACGGTGTTTTGAGTTGTGGGCGCGGCTGAATGGCTGTGAATCAAATTTATTAGCAAAATAGAGCAAAGCTTGTCACACAACTTACCCAGTGTGCTACATCCCTGCCTTTAAACATACATATACTCAGAAACTCATTAACATATTGTTCCGCTCAGTGCGGACGCGCTAACCAAATGTGGTCTCGATATCTTTTTCTTTTTAAAATTATTTAATTTTTTGGCGATGACAAGACCTACCGTTGGGACGCACATAAATCTGCTGGCTCTTACCAAAAAAGAGGTGATACAAATAAATTGCGAAACATTTTTTTTTTGTCGACAAAAAGCCAAACTATTTCTTAGTATAAATACGAAGGAGCGTGTGAGCAGAGAGCATTCATTTGTTTGATTCCCACAAGCGATTACCTGGAAGTGATTACAAAATGTTCAAATATGTAAGTGTTAAGATTACGCAATGTATACAAACTATACCGTTATAAGTGATTTCTTCTTTCATTGTCTCAACTCTTCTTCAGCTCGTTTTCTTCGTCGCCATCGGGCTGAGCACAGCCGCCATACCACATCGTCCATTCTACGGTCAAAATAGCGGTGGTCGCAGCAGTAGCTCTCGTGTCTCCGGTGATGAGGCACACGCTGAAATAAAGGCTATGCATTCCGATGTACGCCCGGATGGTTTCGAATATGCTTTGGAGACTAGCAATGGCATACAGGCCGCTCACTCGGGTGATCAGCAAGGCAATGCGCATGGCGATTTCCAATGGGTTTCACCTGAAGGAGAACATGTGCAAATCTCCTACATTGCCGATGAGAATGGATACCAGCCGAAGAGCGATCTGTTGCCCACACCACCACCAATCCCAGAGGCGATACTACGCGCACTTGAGTACATACGCACACATCCACCTAAGGAGGAACCCGAGCGTCGTGCTTCATCCTCGTCCTCTTCATATTCGGCACCGAAGAAGTCGCCAACAACTAGGAAATCAACTATCCGACGCAAATATTAGAGAGAACCTCAGCGAAAATCTGCATCGACGCAATGAGATTACTTTAATTAATATTGTGTTTACGATTTAGTTCGAAAAGAATATTGAATAAATTTTTTTGTTTTTTAACAGAGATGAATTTTTTTATTTATATTTTAAGTGCTAATTTTAAAGTTTTGTAAGGATAAATATAAAATAACACAAAATAAAATTATAAAAATTGCACAATATAAACAAAAAAAATTATATATATACATAGTATATATATAAACAAATAAAATAGACTATTTTAAAATAAAATTAAAGAAAATAATATAAATGAATGACAATAAAATAAAATAAAATAATTATAACAAAATTAAATTAGAATAAAATAAAATAAACTTTATTAAAATAAAATTGACTTAAACTTAATAAGAAGTGCAAATGAAAAAAGCGATTAGCGACCGAACAAAAAATTCAATGTTGTTATTGATTGTTGAGTAGGTCAAGTTTTAATGGCTTTGGCTGATAACAGTGTTATTGTTTGCCTTTTTTAGAATATTTATAATAATTTTTACTGCATTTGCAATATTTTTGTAATCAGATCAAAACTAAGCCGATGGAAGGAAACGTTAATTTTTACTCAATAAATATTTCTCTCTTAATTCCATCAACCAACGACAACGGCAGCCGCTAAGCAATAACACACAGTGGAGTGAAGTTTTCCATTTTTTATATGTGTTAGTTATCAGATTTTTCTTCCCTTCACCGTTTTTCAAACTAAAGTGTTTAGCTGATTATTATTTTTTAAATAATTTTCTGATTAAAAATTTTATCAAATTGCGTTTTCACCCTTTAGATCAAATGAGGGCGATTTGTCGCTGGGCCCAGGAATATGAGCATGATGTGGTGCGGATGTACGGGGGCGCGCAGCCTTACATAATGATTACGAATCCAAAAGCTATGGAAGTAAATAACTGAAAATCTGATATGATAATAAATAAGTGCTCTAACTCAAATTGCGATTTGTTTTTTTTTTTTTTTCTTTTGATTTCAGCAAGTGCTTTCCAGTAATGTACTCACATACAAATACGATCCTTACAGATTCTTCTACCCTTGGCTGGGTCAGGGTTTACTCACATCGAACGGCAAACATTGGCTAAATCATCGTAAAATGATCACACCCTCTTTCCATTTTTCTATTCTACAAGATTTCCTAAAGATCATGAACGAAACCACAGATCGCTTCATGGATTTGCTGGATGGTTATGCGAACAAGAAGGAAATGTTTGATTTCCAGGAAATCGTAACACGCTCCACGATAGATGTGATATGCGGTTTGATGAGCTCAAAACACATTTTGAGAATATTTTAACTAAACGAATAAACTTTTCTTTTGAATTGCAGAGGCCGCCATGGGTACACCGGTTAATGCAATACAAGGCCCTACTTCGCCGATAGTGCCAGCGATTTCTGAGTAATTATTTTGTTATTAAATTATTTAAATTTTTTAATAATTTGTTTCTTGAATTATTTATTATTTTGTGCTGCTAAAATCTTTGTTTCAGAATTTGTGATGTGATGCGTCAGCGTATCTTCAGTGCATTGAATCGTTTCGATTTTCTCTTCGTCTGGACGGAAGCTTATCAGAGGCAGGAAAAAGCTTTGGCGATTTTACGTACAGAGCTTTCCAATGTATACAGCGACCACCCTGAGTGATTGATTATGATGTATTTATAATATTTGTTTTATTGTTTAGATTATAGACAAAAGACGCGCTATTCTGCAAGAACTCAATCGCGAACAACTAAAGAGAGATGACGAGGGTAAGCGATCGAAAATGGCTTTTCTTGATAACTTGCTGACAGCCGAGGTAGATGGTATGCCACTAACGTTTCAAGATATTTTCGAAGAAGTCTCAACGTTCGTTTTCGAGGTAAGTATACCAATAGACTGCGGCCGCAATAGCCGACTGGTTAGCGTTGCTTACTAACATTGGGAACCCAAGGTTCGAGACGTGGTCTGGCCAAGCGGTCGCCCCTCGCCGAGTGAATTTCTGACACGAAAATCAAAACTCCTCATAAAAATGCATCAGCCGGCTTGAGGCGGCTTACTAAAAACTGTAGGTCCCTCCATTTTTTTGGAAAGCGTCAAGACGTACACCACAAATTGGAAGAGGGGCTAGGCCGGAAATCACTTAAGCAGTTACAAAGCGCTAATTTTATAAGAATATATACATAGATGGATAGGATATGCAAATAGTCACGTGTGACTCAAAAGCAGATACATTTTTCTTAATAATTTTACAGGGTCATGATACCACTGCTAGTGCTGTGGGTTTTGCAGTATACTGTCTCTCGCGTCATCCGGACATACAGGCGCGTGCCTTTCAAGAACAGCACGATATTTTTGGCAACGATCTGCGTCGTAGTCCCACATTCCAGGAATTAGGCGAAATGAAATATTTGGAGCTGGTCATTAAGGAGACGCTGAGGCTATTTCCCAGTGTGCCATTTATTGTGCGCACTCTTTTGGAACAAACTGAAATAGGTGAGTTCTAGGTACATATTTTGAAAGTAACTGATTATTATTAAGCCGGCTAATTGCCTCTCTCTCCCCCCCCCCCATTTAGGCGGTTATCAGATTCCCGTTGGCGCTTCCATCGGCTGCAGCATTATCACGTTGGGCACAAATCCCAATATCTTTTCTGAACCATATTTATTCAAGCCTGAGCGATTTAAGGATCGCAACGCTACCAATCCGTACGATTATGTGCCGTTCAGCGCCGGTCCACGGAATTGTATAGGTAGGCAAAGCCATTCAAACTTTTTGATAGAATTCAACAAATACTTCTCAATATTTTTATAGGCCAAAAGTTCGCAATGATGGAACTGAAAGTGACAATCTCGAAAATAATAAGACATTTTAATATTTTACCGGCGGTAGACGGACTTTCTACGGGCATACACAATCTGGGAGACCCCAATAACAAGATAACTAATCCTTATGATGCACGTTTGGGCTTCTTTCTCACACTAAAGTCTGTAAATGGTCTAAATATACGGCTGAGTCGTAGATCGTATTGAGCAAAGAGCTTATAATGACAGCGTTCATTGATGATGCGATAAAAATCGAGATAATTGGAAAATAAAGGCTCTTAAATATATATTTTATTTAATTAATTTAATATTAATTTTTATTTATCCAAAAAACTTTGTTTTTATACATAACTTTTCATTTCGTTACAACTCTACTTTTTTGTTTGGTGGCGTTTATTCTTCTTTTTAGCCGCAACTGTATGCCATTCTCCGATTTGAGTGTAACGCGTATATTCAATATGGGGTCGTATTCACTCTGCGGCACACAATCCATGCGCGAGTGATCGTTTATGCCTGAAGGCAGGCCATCTTTAGCGGGCAAAATTTCTAGATTGCGCACGATCATTGAGAGCAACGCCTTCAGCTCGTACATGGCATACTTTTCGGCTGTAATTGTTGGATAAAGCAGTTCATCAAGAAGACAAAATCAATAAGAAAAAGCAATTGAAAAGTTCAAGTTTGTTTGTTTGTTTACGAAACAGAAAAATGACAATAAAATACAGGAGATGCGATGATTTAGTTTTTCTCGCCTTTACATTAAACAGAATAGACAAAACACATATATGTATATATATCTACTTACCAATACATCTCCGCGGACCCGCACTAAAAGGCACACTTGTGAATGCCTGCAACCCCATTGACTCGTTCACATTGATATGCTCCCAACGTTCGGGACGGAAAACGGTCGGCTCATTAAAGTACTTTTCATTGTAGCCCATGGCTATTAGGCACATAATAACGGTTGTGCGTTTGGCAATTTTCATTCCGTCTATCAAACCGAAAGAATAATAAAAATATGTAACCCAAAAAGCAGGAGGCATGACAAAGGACTCAAAGAACTGCCTTGCAGGCCATTTTACGATTTTCAACTCACCAATATCGATTGCCTTGCGATTGGTGCGTGCAATTAATGGCACCGACGGATATAAACGCAACGTTTCACGTATTACGAATTCCAAATAGCGCATCTGCTCCAAATGTACACATTCCACGCTAGACACATTTGCCAATTGTTCGGCTGAATCAGTGCCGAAAATGCCTTGCTGTTCGGCGTAGAGCTTCGCTTGTATGTCATTGTGGCGTGAGAGAATGTAGAGAGTGAAGGAGAGCGCGGATGTTGTGCAATTATGCTCCTGTGTGGCGAGAGAGTGTGAATTTTTACTATAGCGGGTTTTTAATAAATAAATAAATTTAAATATAAATTATTTTAAGATGGATTGATCGTTTAAATTAAAGCTGACGTAAATCAAAATACACAAAAATGTAAGGACCTTGCACTTGTGTCATGTAACATAATACAGCGGCCATAAAAAACTTGAGAAGTTCGCGGACTCTTGTAGGAACAAAGTTGGTGAACTGGTAGCCTATGTCAAGCATATACTGAACTTAAGGGAGAATACTCCTCCAGCCTGCTGAACAGCAGGAAAACGGGAAACATCCGGATGACAATGGTATGAACATTTTGTCAACTAACAATGGTGAAGTGTGAATACAAAGTGGGATATTTAAATATTTCTTCCGATTTCCGTCTATCAAGCTCCGCTAGTGGCTTTCAAGGGGGTTCAAGACTTATAAAGGTCTATAGGGGTTTATCGAATACCCAATGGAGGATGCGGAAAGCAGCAGCCAGGCGGAATTTCTGACCTTATCATCGCCACTGATGAATTACAGCGTCATCAGTAATTACAGGAAGTATTTCTGCTAGCTAGCTGGATCTCAACCCGATTTATTCGTAAACTGATGTTTTTCCAACAAATGGAGGGACCTACAATTTATATTAAGCCGCCTGCGAACCGCTGGCGGTCTTTTTTATTGGGAGCCTTTATTTGATATCAGAATTACACTCGGCGGAGAGGTTGACATTCCCTGCCGAGGGGCGACCGCAATTAGAAAATATTACTTAATTTTTTATTTAAATTATTTTTCTATAACTTTTGGTTGTTGGTCATACTAGTATTTGAACACGGGCCTTCCGAATGCCAGTATGCAATGTTAACCACTCGGTCACCACAGGCGTCAAACCTACATACATGCATACATAATAATTCAATAAATTTATTTTCATGCTCCAAAAGAACATTTTTTCTCAAATTACATGCAAAATCTCGTCCCACTACGTGCGGTTGACCTCAAGCAGCTGAATGCTTATGTATATGTACGTAATTTTGCATGCTTATATACTTACATATGTATTGTATATACTCGTGCATAGTACTCACCGTAAAAATGAATGTCGAAAGCTCTTCGAATATTTCTCTGTTGGTCAACGTACGCCTGTCCAGCTGCGCATTCAGCAGCACATCAAGGAAAGGACGCACCGTTGTTCTTGTTAATAATTTTTGCTCCTGTTGTTGCTGTTGCATTGGTGGTTGCTGAGCTGACTGCTGCAGACTTTGTCGTCGTTGATCGACAATCTTTTAATTAAAATACGAATAATAAAAGAAGAGAATATTTAAATAAATTAAAAAATAGTATATTGGGAAATTATAAAGAGAGAGCGAGAGGCAGTGAGAGAAATACAGCCTTGAGAGTATGTCTGCATTCATGGTGAAGGAAATTTCTGGCGCACTCACATATGATGGTCTGTTGATATGCACTCAATTAATGATATCCGTATCGGATTTTTTGAGTGTCAAGTCAACCTGAATTTACAGTTGCTTCAATCTATGTAAATATGTACAGGACGAGTAATACATATGTAAATATGTATGCCTGTAAGTTGCTTGGTACTTCATGCTTCTTGCTTTCTGCTGGGGTCAGTTAAAGAAAAGCTTGTAATAAATATGAATTATTACCTTTTTTACGAATAAGAGCATTTTTATAATATTGTGCGAAAGTACCGGCAAGAAGTAAAGCATAAGAGTCAAATTGGCATATTGCAAACGACCAATTTCACTACTGAAGCGCGCGTGTAATTATTTTTATTTATGCGGCGTATTCTCCTGCTTCCTCCTCCTCGATGAAATTTATTATAACAGTGAAAATGAAATTTCTTGACTTTAAAATCCCAATGAAAGTTAATTTTACTGTCATGCCAAGATCAGTATGCAGGGAATGTTTGTGTACACAATACATATGTACACATGTATATACATACTTGTTTACCTTGTTAATTATGCGTTCAAGAGTGCTGAGCGCGATGCGTTGTTTCCAATAATGCGGCGTTAATTGGAAAAGCGTGTCGAAGCGTTTTACGATGCTGAATGTGCGCTCCTTTATCACATCACAAAGGCTGTGAACAAAAAAATGAAACATAAACACATGTAAAAGCTTGGCCATTATTCAACCGGAAAAACTCTTAAAAACGATGACATTAACTCCATGCGGAGAGAACTGAAGTAGTAAACATAAAATGAAAAAAATATAAAAACCAGTGCGATTGAGCTTTCGATCTACTCACTCGATAATTGCCGCATGCAATTCGGTCCTGCCATCATTCAGCTCGAAGCTAGGTATGCCTGTTGCATTTTCTGTGGTGGAAAAATAAGGTGAACATTTTTTTTTTTCAAAAGTGTCAATCCATTTAAATTTTTTATGTTGAATTGTTATTATATATACAATTGGCGCTTTGTAATCGCTGAAGCTATTTTCGGCCAACGAAACTATTGGCTTTCCAAAAGGGTCAAAAGATCTGTTGTTGTTTGAAACTGTTCCTTGGACGCATTCGATGACTAAAAGAAAAAAGTCCGAAGAAGGCTAAGGCTCAAAAATTCTATAAAAAGATGGTGCAGTTTAGAAAATGTTCCGACTCAATAGCATACTCAAGTCGGATTCAAAGTATATGAAGATAACAACTCTCCAACCTGTTGAGTTTCAGTGGAAGTAAAACTCTGATTATGGCAAACCGTGAATTCCAATCGGTAATGGTGGAATAGACTGACTACGGAGAGCTCAAATTAAAAAATCAGCTACTTTGCAAAATTGGGTCGGAAGAGCGCAGGCTTGGGGAATGGAACCTGGGTTTGCTCTGCCCAATCAAAAAAAAAAAAAAAAATGAAACGCCGAAAACGTAAGTGAAAGTTTCAAGTGATGGTAAGATTTACGACGAAGTGCGCAGCCTCCAACGAGGAGGCACCATGCACTAAAACTTGAAAAATGCCTTTGAGCTTTGAGATTCGAAAAACACTGTTAGTCCGGAATCAGCGGTTCCACTAACAGCGCCGTTGGTTCTAACGAAATATCTCCCGTGCACTCGCATCTCAGCTCCCATGACGTCGTTAAACTGTGAAGTTGTGTATAATTTCATCTATTTCCGAACTAATAAAAACACGATTTTGAAATCCAACAAAGAATCACTCTGACCAACAAGTGCCATTGCCTGTACACAAAATATTCAGCAGCTTCATCAGTGTTTCACCAAATGCGCTTCACTCCTCTGAGAAGTATTTCTTAAATATTTGGTTGAATTAATTTAATTTTAAACTAATTTATAAAAAAAGTACACAAACCAAACATAACTTACCGACTGCAATATCCAAAGTACACTTCCCCAACAACGGCTGCACATCCAAGACTTTCGCGACGCCATCAGCAGCCGCGCGCTCGGCAAGTTTCGCCACTAAACGTTTGCCAGCTTGATGCACCACCTGCAAATAACCGTTAACGGCATTTTGCTCAAATGCAGGCGCATATATTTGTCGATGCTTCAGCCACCGTGCGCCGGCTGCGGTAACAAGGCCATCGCCCAGCCAAGGACGCAAGAACGAATAGAGATGCTCTTTGTAGAGTAGCGAAGAACTGCTGAGGATATTCTGCGTCAGGGAGGGAGAATAAAAATATAATAATAAAGAAAATACAAAGTCAAAGTAGACTTTAATGAATTTTCAAAATGAAGTGTGTAAATTTTGTGGAAATTTCAAAATTGAAAATTTAGATTTAGGCGATTAAATGCATGTGGTTGGTTGTTGTTGCTATGGAGTAGGAAGTGTCGCTTCAGTGGAATTTAATTACATATGCATATACTTGTAGTATGTACATACATATGTATACGTGTATGTATGTTTATACACATAAATGAAGTCTTGAGGGTGTTTAGGCAACCTTGCAGGTATGTATGTGCTCATGGGTATACTTATAAATGAAATTACTTGAATTTCCGCCGGATCACTCAACATGACATGATACTGGAAGAACACCATCGAACGGAAGCCCTGGAAGTTATATTTCCGACAATACTGTAAAATTTTCTTAGGATATTCTGCAAGGGAGAGCAAAGGAAGAAATGAAAAGAAATTATTTAAAGTGTGTGGCTGTTCATATTTCTATGGGAATATAAACATATTTATGTACATGTGTATGTAGATATGGACATGCATTCATATATTGGTGGTTCTGAAAAAATTTACAGGGTATACAAGTATGTGTGTGTGTGTGTGCGTGTGCGCTTTGGCGTGATTTTCTTATTTAACTGTAATCAGTAATCTGTATTAGGTAAATGTAAAAAAAAATTGGTTAAACGTAATTTTCTTTATTTATGCAGAAACGTTGCCTGCGCGAAAAATAAACAATATTGATGATTTTGTGTTGGTGCTACTTCTGATTTAAGAATGAATTTAGTAATTTAATCAAAAAGATACGAACCCATTTACATTTATGATTTACATGAATTTGGCGAGTTAAGAATTCACTTCTCTTTTTTGCTCTCAGAGACTGTCAGAGACACTTGAACCATTAAAAACAAGTTTTCACCTAAAATTATTAATATTTTTTTGGCTGTTAACTATGATTCGGTAACAAGGAGGTGGGCGATTTCGAAAACTCAAAAAAAAAAAAAAAATAAAAAAATACATAAAAATTACTCAAACTTTTGAATGAATTAGTTAATTGATGATTAGCGAAAAGTAAATAACATAAAAATAAAAATGAATGAATTGACTTAGTTGTTTTTTGCTTATCGCCGATTAGTTGAAGCGATTAGAACGTATACCGATTTTTTTATCAAACAATTTGACACAATAAATTTACCAGCTATTAAAAAGTAATTATTTATATTACTTCTTAGTAAGGGGTGAGTGACGTAATGAGTGACAATATTAAAGTCCAATATTTTTTTTTTTGTTTTCTGCACTTTTTCACTTATTTCTCATATTTATATGACATATTTTACTTTATATTATTAATATCTTGACACTGAAACTACTTACCTTCTGGCTTAAGTCCGAACTGAAATAAATTGCCAACAAAAGGATATGGAGTTGGTCCAGGTATCTTCTCCATAATGCCCATAACATTATCAATGTAATTTACGAACTTCAAACCCTTCCATGCGATTAGCGAGAATAGTAGTATTGTAAAAAGTAGTAGAAACATTTTTGTAATTGCGAAAAAATGTACGTTTTAAATTATGATATTGTATATAGTAAATTATTTTATATAGTACATAAATTAGTTTCTATTTATAACAGAGACAGACTGTGTATCGTATCGACTTTAACTCGCTGCTTGGTGGTAGCCAACTGATGCTTGATTAACGATAATATTGTTTAATTCAAAGGTGTTTAAAGTATCGCAGTCGATTTTAACATTGATAAGTGATAAGAAAACGTATCTGCCTGATATCCGTACATAGCGAAGAGTAAAGAGGGGTTTTGCTTTCAAATCTCCTCTGCACTTTAACACTTTAACACTTTAACAAAGAAGTGCTAATTTAACACACATTTATTTCTGTATTTAAATTATTTAATGTTTATAAATCTCTTTGTATTTTCGTGTTGAAACAGCAATAACGTATCAGTCGTAAAACAATTTTTTACTTTGATACTCAAATATGTAAAGTGCACGTACTACAAAATTTATGAACAATTCACAGCGATTTAATGGAGCACGCAAAGTGCAAATGACGCATCTGTACATGTACTATAACATATGTAGTTGTCCAGAGACAAAAACTTATTTAAAAAATTACGGCAGGATAAAAGCATAAGTAATTTGATAAAAAACAAATTTTTTAGTAGAAAAACTTTTGTTGTGGAAAATATATACAAAACTAGTGGTAAATCTCGATGAGCAATAGATAATCGTTTTCCGCTTTAAACCGTAGTGTCTACACACTAAATGCTCATGAAGTCTCAGCACTGTCAAGCACTCCAGACAAATTTAGTTGCTTACTTTTAGGCTAAATAATTAAAAAAGAAACTTGTTGCTGCTGATAACAGTTGGTTGTTCAATTTTTTAATATAAAATGGCAACAACTTGGTAAACTGTACACTTAGTTGATGATCAACATTCGTCAGCGACGGTTTAAAAGAGTTTCAACAATTATTCTGCCACGCATAAAATTATCGTGAGAATTTAATAAAAACCAAATAAAAAAAGTGCCAAAAGAAAATCTCTATCAACATGTGGTTTTTGCTCTTTACTGTTTTGTTCGCACCGATTCTTGTGCTATTTTATATTGAAGTAAAAAATTATAGCAAAGTAAGACAACTGAATAAGTTGCCAGGACCACCAGCTTTGCCTATAATAGGAAATGCCCATCAAATGGGCAAAACGCCAAGCGGTAAGAAAAAGAGTGATTATTAAGAGGATAAAACAAGGTACAGAAGTGGTTTGAACAGAACATAATTCGTATGCGTCACGAAATTGAATTGCGTGCAACTTAATCATATTAATAATATATTATAATAAAAAAAATTAAATAAAATTATTTCATTCCTAAAAAATAATTATGTTAAATCTAAAATAGAGTGCTACAAAATATAAGGGAATAAAATGTAAAATAAAATAACAGTAAATAAAAAATTAAATAAAAATGAAGAAAAAACTGCAATTAAATGTAATAAAAAACATAATAAAAATGAATAAAAATGCATAAGCCAAAATAAAATTAAATACATATATATAAATAAAGCAAATAACAAAATCAAGTAACAAAAGTAAAAAAAGGATAAACGCCTGAGAATCTATCTGAATTTGACAGAGGGACCGCAGTTCTGTTTTTGGTAGGTTCGCTTTCTTAGGCACCTATTTTAGCATCATACTGCCGGCTTATGAAAGCCACTGTATTCATTACATTTGACAAGATCAGCTATGTTTGGGCTTCAGTTCTCTTTAGAGTAACAGGACTCCCAAGTTTAGTGGTAGTTAGTTCATTAAATAAATATTCGATCTTGAATCAAGTGTAAGGCAGAAAATAAAAAGTCCGTAATTGGAAAAATAGGGCCATAAGCATCAAATGTTATCGAACTCTGCTTACACTTTGTAAAATTACCGTTATTGAGTTACCGAAATTAAATTGTAGGTTCAAGAATAAATTATAAAAAATATATTTTCATTCACACCTTTTTTATGGCCATAATTCTCATTTTCATCATAGTTTCGACTATAAATAGCAAAAAATTTCAAGACATTTGGCGACCTACTATTTAATCATACCAAACGTGTTGGGAATAAGTTGATAAAAAACTTAACAAATGCTGTCATTAATAGATAGATTAATAAACAAAAAATTCTCTTATCAGCGAATTTGAGTTCGAGTCTTATATTTTAGCTAATTTTAATCAAGCCGAAATTTGCTGCCGAAACTTCGCATTTATTTAATTTTTTTTTTAACAAATTAAATACCTTTATTACCTGTGTTAAAAATACCGCTGCGTCATTGCACAAAAAAAAAGTTGACTTGGTTACTGATAATTTTAATGCTATCAGAGCAACTTTTTTGTGCGTTTTAATAGCATTCAAATTTAAATAATACTTTCCAGACATACTTGTTTATGTACACATATACACAGTTTTGAATGTATTTGAGTACACGATCGCATTGATTTTTTTTTTTTTTTTTTTTTAAATGTGTATGTGTTTTAAAACCTGAGTATATGAGTAATTTATACCATAATATTAGTCTAAGTACTTTCTGTAATTACAGAATATTTTTAATTTGTTACTTATTGGAAGTAAATTAGTACAGCAACATTTAGACGTTCATACTTATTTAAATCAAGATTCGTGCGCTAAATGTTAGTAATTTATACGCCTGTACTCAACACGCAATCTGCATTGATTTGTTTCGTTGGCACAGACATAGTAATAATTAAAAAAAAATACACCAATATAACTAAACTCATATTCAAATTATTTAAAATATTTGAAATTATTAACAATACTTATCTTTTTTTTTTAAAAAAAACCTGAAAACCCGGAATGACCGCTTTCACACATTAGGCACATTTCGTAATTTATTCATCTTAGATGGGAAAACTGAAGAAAATTTGAAATTGCTTCAAAAAGCAGACGAAATTGAAATCGAAATTTTTTCAAATGAATGAACGAGGAACGAAGCGAGCAGCGAGTTCTTATTACTTGACCCTTTGGTGAGACCAATATTGGAAAATGGTTCACTGATATGAAATCCCATTTATCAAGTTCATTCCGATAAGTTAGAGTCTGTTTAAAAACACTTTTTACAGTAAGACATTTCCGATGGAGCTCTACGATAAATCTTCCTCCCCATACTAATAAGAGTATAGATGACATGCATAATTTAACAACAAGAAAAGCAAAAATCGATTCTTTTTCAGGTCATTGTTTTGTTGAATTGTTGTTTTTTTTGTTTTATTTTATATTATGGAACTGTCTCAGCCCGTCTATTGTTTTTTATTTTATGTATAATTTTCTTTCTTAAATACGAAATGATAAGCAAGTTTTCCTAGTACATACGCATATACACAAACAGACTACATACATACGAGTACACACATCTACGAGAGAAACCAGTCTTTTTCGAATTTAGTCTTGATGCTTATGTATGTTACATATTTGCTCTGGGCTTACTATAATCTATGAAAATTAATCATGCATGCCGGTATTAAGTGATCTGAAATTTTAAGCTTCTTAATTTTTGAGCATATTTGTGATCGAGCGGATGAGTTCTATGCATTTAAATTAAAGGAAAAAACTTTTCGAAAATTTTGTTGTTTTCAAATATATATGTACACATCCAACTGACTTCCCAAGTTGAAACAATTAACGCTACAAGTTAACTAAAGCAATTATAGGTGATTAATTCTATCAGACACGCAAAATCTGATGAAAAAAAAGAACACAATAAAAGTGAGGTTAAGTGCAAGATTTTCCTAACATAAGACATATAAAATAATCAGCCTATTTACTTGTCGCTTGAGGTTTTTTTTTAACACTTTCATGCTTGAAATTGCAATTTGCATTAAACTTGAACTTGAACAACAAAAACTATAATTAAATCAAAATAATGTTCAATGTTTTAATGGTTGAATTAAATGCATGCATTTATTTATGTAAAATCATACACATATTTATATTGTATGTATAGGTGTATGCACTAAAACCCGTTAATTGTAATTTAAGAATCGTTAACAGAAAAAGAGCTTTCCAAAATTATTTACAAACTGGAATCAGACTGTGGACATAAGGGAGTAAAGCTTTCGCCAACAGCTGTGCGATTTGTTTACCTGTTGAAACGATCGAAAAGCTTTGAGCGGGGAGCTTTTGTGATATGAGCGTTTAATACCTCAGCATGGCAATTGAGCGTAGAATGAATATATATAAAAGAGATGATTACTCACTAAAACCGCCAAATGTTGATAAACAAATTTATTAAAGAATACATTACCATCGGGCTGGATGTTTACAGTCTTTGCCAATAGTAATATACCCGTATATATGGGGTTTTTTATTTTAAGTCAATCTATTAAAATTTTTATTTAACTTAATTTATTTACTTTTGTTTTTTTTATTAGTTGAATTGAAATAACTTTAATATAATTAATTAATTTATTTTTATTTCTTTAACTTAATATAATTAATTTTTTACTAAATTCAATTTAGTTTAATTTACTTTAATATTAATTAACTTCATTTTATTTGTTTAATTTTTTGTTTCCTCTATTTTAATTTACATTATTTAATTTTTTATAACGTTTCCTATTTTATGTTATTTCATATTTAATTTAATTATTAATTTTATTTTTTTTGGAATTCAAATTTAATTTGTTTTGTTTTTAATATTCCACAGCTCTTTTAAGCCAACTCTTTAAGTGGTGGGTAGATGCTGGCTACCAGAACTACCGGGTGCACGTTGGGCCTTATAGAAACATTATCGTTACAGATGCGAAGGATTTGGAGGTGAAAGCAATTATCCTCTGTTTAGAACACCATTTTAACGTTGCCTGCCTGATTTTCTTTTCTCTCTTCAGTATATTTTAACAAGCAAAACCATGATTGACAAGTCCGACGTTTACGATATGCTGCATCCATGGCTGGGCACAGGGCTTCTAACCAGTACCGGTCGAAAGTGGTACACACATCGCAAAATAATCACGCCATCTTTTCACTTTAAAATCTTGCAAAATTTCCATGAAGTTATGAACAAGAATTCCAGTAAGTTTATTGAGATACTCCGAAGGGTTTCGGAAAAGGATACCATCTTCGATTTTCAGGATATGACACATTATTTGACGATGGATGTGATTTGCGGTGAGTTCATAGTTCATGGAAACATTTGTCAGCCAATAATTTAATCATCTCCATACACTCTTTAAATAGACACTGCAATGGGCGTGCATATCAACGCAATGGATAATCATGACAATATAGTGGTGCAGGCTTTCAAAGAGTGAGTTGCTTCTCTTTCTTTGAAATAATTTTAAAATCGTACTCACCTCACGTCTTATCTCTTATAGCATGTGTTATAACATCAATATGCGCGCATTTCATCCCTTAAAGCGTTCGAATGCCTTATATAGATTTTCACCAGACTATCCTGAATTCTGCAAGATCCTGAAAGTTTTGCAAGATTTCACAAATCAGGTACCATCTCTATAATTATGCACAGAACATATTAACTTGATGTTCATATATTTTTTAAACCTTGATAGGTCATAAGAAAGCGTATTGAAACCCGTAAGCTAGAAGCGCATTACACGAACGAAACTCCGGCGGATGAGTTCTCTAGCAAAAAGCTTGCATTTTTGGACACCTTGTTGTCGTCCACCATCGACGGACGTCGACTAACACAAGAAGAGATCTATGAAGAGGTCTCCACATTCATGTTCGAAGGTCACGATACAACCACATCCGGCGTAGCTTTTACAATTTATTTACTCGCGACACATCCAGAGATTCAGCAAAAAGTATACGCTGAGCAGGAACAATTATTGGGCGATAACCTAAAAGGAGAAGCCACATTTCAGCAAATCGCCGATATGCAGTATTTGGATATGGTTATAAAGGAATCTCTGCGCCTGTATCCCAGTGTGCCGTTTGTTGCCAGACAAACGGACAAAGATTACGATATAAGTATGTGGAGTAGTTAGAGCATTGTAGGGAAGATGATTGATGAGTTGGCCAAAGGTTGTAAAAAAGATATTTATTGGCTTGAAATTTGAAGCAAGTAGCAGGTTTTGGGTCTCTTTTACGGGTGTTCACCCTTCAACACTAATTCTAAAAACTTGAAAAAAAAAATGTTTGCGAGCCTGTGCATCACCCAAGTTGGAGTAAATCAAATTGTTTATACTAACTACAAGCCAAGTTAAATTGTGTTCGTTTCTCAATCGGCAAAACGTTATGTTCAACCAACCACTGAATCAAAAGGACCGCTTATCTTCCATCTTCTTTCTCATTTTGTATTTTTTAAAGATTTTGAAAATTTTTCTAATAAAATTAACTCTTCCCACCACAGATGGCTACCAGGTTCCAGAGGACACAACCCTTAATCTCTTTCTTATGTCACTCGGCTATAATGAAAAGTACTTTCCCGACCCCTACCGTGTTGATCCGGAACGTTGGAGCGCGACAAAGCGTACTCAAAATCCATTCGAATATTTGCCTTTTAGTGCGGGTCCCAGAAATTGCATTGGTGGGTAACAATAATTATTTTACTGATTCAAGTTCTATAAACTTGTATTTCCCTTTCCTTGCAGGTCAAAAGTTTGCTTTACTCGAAATTAAAACGGTAGTTTCGAAAGTTGTACGCACTTTCGAAATTCTGCCTCCGTTGGATGAGCTCGCTTCAATGGATGGTTACTCACGTCATTTTGTTGGCTTGTCATTGGCGGAACAAAAGAAGCGCTTGCTCAACCCAAGCAAGTATGATCCGGTATTGTCCGCAGTGCTGACTTTGAAGTCTGAAAATGGGATTTTCCTGCGTTTGCGAGAGCGGACTTAGAGAAATTCAGAGAAGTTTTTCGAAAGTTCATTTTGTTGTATTTTTTGTTAAATGTGGTTGCATTTGTTTTATTATAAAACATTTACGTTTCGTATTAAATAAAATGTATAAATGTGAATACGTTTATAAGTAAAACTTAAACTAATTTGTTTGGTGTCCGAATGTATGTATACTGAGTGGCTTTGTTCCTTATCTTACGAGAAGTAGTTACTAAACTAGGAAATTCATTAAGCTGCCACCAGGACAGTGCCCACATAGGCTTGGGCTTTAAATTGGGTTGGATCGATGACCTCGCTGCGGAAAGAAGAAAATGTCATTAGCTTTGATTACGGTAACATTTGAAATTTTTTCCAACTCACCCATCAGTGTATTGTGACTGAACTGAGGTAGTGATCACCTCGGCTCTGCTACCCAGGGAGTAGTGAGAGTTGATGTTGATGGTCTTATCAGTACTGCCCAGGTTCAGCACAATGACATAGAGGTCGCTGCCAGCTTTTTGGCTATAGAAATGTACGAAGAGAGTGACAGAAGATGAGTAAGCAATAAAGAATAGTGAGTTAGTTAAATAAAAATATCTGAGCTGTTCCACCTACCGGGAGTAAATGATGACATCATCGTCGGCCGCCTTGATATTGAGTTCGCCATCCTGGAATGAAGGCTCCTTGCGCAGACGTACGAGCTTCTTCAAGATCTGCAAGTGCGACTGTGGTGCACGAAGTTGGGCCAAAGCGTTGTTCTGTTTGTAGTCATCGGAAACCGGCAGCCAAGTGTGATCACCAGAGGTGAAACCTGCAACGATTTCAAGTTAATTGTTTTTGCTTAGCAGTGTATCGATGAGATTTCGAGTTAGTGTAAATAAAAAAATATAATGACGTTTGGAAAACAACCATACAATACTATCAATTGCAAGCAGAGATAAGAGTACTCAAGCTCAGCAAGTTGTCGATACCTACCGGCGTTCGGTGAAGCATCCCATTGATATGGTGTACGCGCCGGGTCACGTGATAAGCCGTAGTAGCGATCCGGATCGGAGTTACAAGCCTGTGGATCGACGGAGTCCTCCCAACTGATGTACACGTCGGTCATGGCCAGCTCTTCACCCTAAAATAAGCTATAATTAGTTGGAAAATCAATGAGAAATCACGCTTTTACTCACATTGTAGGTCACCGCGTTACCCGGCAGTGTTTGTAGCAGTATATTGAAGAGATCCGCGCGTTGCACGCCATATCGTGAGGCCAAACGCTTGTTGTCGTGATTACCCAACACCCAATTGGCGATCACGCCACTTGGCATAGCATTCAACCATTTCTCAATGTGCTCCACTACCGAGGGTGCCTTGGTGTCATTCTGCAGATTTGTCAGGAAGTCAAAATTGAAAGGTATGTGGGAGCCATTCAACACGCCATTACCATAGTAGAGTATCATGTTATCGAAACTAGTGTAAGCCTCGGTGAGCAGTATGCGCGTGTCGCCGCCATGCTCCTTCTTGAACTCATCGGCCAACGCGCGCCACTGATAGACCATATCCAAAGTTTCTGGCTGATCTTGCGTGTACGGATGCTTCAAGTGACAATGATCATCGGGATCAGGGCAAGTGCTCACATCATCGGACAGCGGCTCGTCGGGATAATTATTGTAGCGATCCAGCTCAACCTCGAATAGGAAGGGCACTGCATCAATACGGAAACCAGCTACACCCTTACCCAGCCAAAAACGCATAACATTTTTCATCTCGTTAACAACAGCTGGGTTGCGGTAGTTGAGATCGGGTTGCTTAGTGGCGAACTGATGCAAATAGTATTGCTGACGCACATCATTCCATTCCCAAGCGGAGTAACGGAAAACGCTGATCCAATTGCTTGGTGGTTCACGTTCACCGGTCGTTGCATTGATTTTACCATTGTGCCAAATGTAGAAATCCGCATAAGCTGGATCACCATCAACCGATTTGGTGAACCATTCGTTCTCGTCACTGGAGTGATTTGGCACAAAGTCCAAAATGATTTTAATGCCGACTTCCTTAGCTTTTTTGATCATGTTCTCAAAATCTTCCATTGTACCATACTCAGGTTGAATCTGGTAGAAATCGGAGATGTCATAACCGAAATCTGCCATGGGTGATTTGAAAATAGGTGACAGCCAAACGGCGGTGAAACCGATATCCTTCAGATATTGCAATTTCTCAGAGACACCTGTTGAGCAAAGTAATTATATTAAATGTTATGAATATTTACTTCTTTTTCATTTCTCTTGTCTCATTCACTTACCGTTCAAATCACCAATACCATCACCATCGCTGTCACGAAATGAACGCGGATATATTTGATAGTAATTGCCATTCTCCCACCAATCCTTGCCCTGTGTGCTGCTGCCAAAAAGAGCCAACACCGCAAGCCCAGCCAAAATCACTGCGGTCGCCGTCTGCATTCTGTCCTCTGTGTACTATATCACAATCAATTCCAAACTAATTTCCAATATACTTCACTAAAATGTGGAAAACCGCTGGTTAGGGTAGGGTTCGTAGGGTTCTCACAATTAAACCGAAACTGATTGAGCTTCCGCACGCAGGGGGTTTTTATATCGAAAAATTCACGCAGCGATTTTCTTTTAAATTAAGTGGAATGAAATAGTATAGAAATTAAAATTAATATCAAACAATAACAACTACAAATATCAGATAATTATTGAGTGTGGGTTTTGTGATTTTTATCGCCCAATTGCTTTGTAAACACTAAATTGGGAGATACATACACACATACGCATTTGAAATGCCTTGGAGAGGCGCGTAAAGTCACCCGACATATATAATACATAAGTGTCGATCACTCTGGTTCTCATGGGTTGGAGTTTAAGTGGCAAGCAGGTATTATTTTGTAATGATTTGCTTTGCATTGACGTCGCTTTCTTATTTATGGGAAAAGTTTCTCGATTTGTAATGTCAACGCGGCACTTCAAATTTGTTTAATAACTCGATTTGTTTTTTCCTTCTAGTGAATTGTTCTGTCACCTGAATTAAATTTTTTTTGCTTCATTTATTTTTATTCCATTTTGAAAAACTTTATTTTTATTATTTTAATTTATTTTTATTTAACTTATTATTATATATTTTTGAAAAGTTTTCCATTTTATTATTTGTTTAAAATTATTTTTATTTTATTTATGTATCATAGCATTGAAATGTTAAATACGAGTATGTATGCGAGTTGTAGGCTGTTGAACTTTTTGGTTTGCATATGCACTCCCTAGAACTTAATTGACGCAGACTTACACGTATGTATCATAGGTACATATGTGTATGTGTTTTGAGGGAGCGAAAGGTTTGAAATCGAGATATAGAAGTGTTTTGACAAGGAAATTAAGAAATTTATATTAAATGTCATGATAAACCATGGATGACAAGATTATCTAAGCCCCTTGAAAATGCTGACATACGAAGCAGCGATGCGACATGGGAGTTCAAAACTTGGTACTTCAGATTCTAATCGTTGTTCGGGCAGCGGCTTAACTCACATAAAGAGTCGTCAGACGTACCGCAGCCTTACGAGCCTTCTCTAGCTCGCCGATGAAGATTTATTCGACTTGTGCAATGAAAAGGAAGAATAAACGCAAAGCGTTGAGGAAGGTCTTTATAAAAACTAAAAACCACCTTCATGGATTTTTACTGAAAAATTCCGTTGAGTGAATAATAGTTTTGCAAACAAAGTTGAATTATGATCTAATCGATTATAGAACAACAAATACAAGTTAGCTAATAATAATACTATATACGTATATCAGTAAGTGATCTTTGTGCCAAGTCAATAATGCCGCTTTACTTTAAGCAGCTGTGTAGGGGAACAAAAGGCGAGCTAAAATAGAAGTAAAAAGGCAGCACCTAGAAAATAACCCGAATAAAGCCCAGGTGCCATAATAAAGAAACACAATACCATTATTCATTTCACGAAACAAACGATCTTGACGTTTGAAACGCCTATAAATTGATACCGAACGCGTATTGACGTTAGTAATAAATTACTTCCCGAAAACTTGATGATGGGAAAAACTATCGGACTACTTCTAATTGCCTTCGCTCTTTGTCAACTGAGTCGCGGCGAACGGGACTGGTGGGAAAATGGTAATTTCTATCAAATCTATCCACGCTCCTTCAAGGATAGCAATGGCGATGGTATTGGTGATTTGATTGGTAAGATCTAGCCTTCACAATCTTGGCAGGTCAACAGCTTATTATTTGATTTTTAATCCACTCATGCACAGGTATTCTCGAAAAACTGGACTACGTTAAGGATATTGGCATGAATGGCGTGTGGCTTTCTCCCATTTTTCAATCTCCAATGGCTGATTTCGGCTACGACATTTCGGATTACACGAAAGTGCAGCCCGAATATGGCACTTCGGAGGATTTATTGGCCTTAATCGACAAGGCGCACAGCCTCGGCTTGCATCTTATCCTCGACTTTGTACCGAATCACACTAGTGACGAGCACGAATGGTTCCAACGCTCCATTGCCAATGATTCTTATTACCGCGACTTCTACATCTGGCATGATGGTGTGATTAATGCCACAACTGGCAAACGTCAGCCGCCAAGCAATTGGATCTCACAATTTCGCTATTCCGCTTGGGAATGGAATGAGCAGCGCCAGCAATATTATCTCCATCAGTTTGGTGTGAAGCAACCCGATCTGAATTACCGCAATCCAAATGTTGTAGAAGAGATGAATAATGTGTTGCGTTATTGGTTGGCGCGTGGTATTGATGGCTTCCGCATTGATGCTGTGCCCTTCCTCTTCGAAGCGGACATTGATCCCGCCACCGGCACTTATCCCGATGAACCAGTAATTGCTGACACAAGCTCCTGCCCCGACCCAGATGATTGGTGTCATTTGAATCACATCTACACCAACTCCCTGCCCGAGATTTTCAACATAGTCTACCAGTGGCGTAAGGTTGTCGATGAGTGGAAACGCGAGCACAACACAGACACTAAAGTGCTACTCACGGAGGCCTACACCAGTTTCGAAAACTTAATGCGCATGTACGGCGATGGCGTACATAACGGTTCGCATATACCATTCAACTTCGAGATGATGGCTGAGCTGAACAACAAGAGCACGGCCAGCGACTACGACTACTATGTGCGCCATTGGTTGGACAATATGCCGGCGGGTGTGTATGCAAATTGGGTGCTTGGCAATCATGACAATCCCCGTTTGGCTTCGCGATTTGGCGCACAACGTGCTGATCTAATGAATATCTTCCTGCAAACGCTTCCTGGCATTGCGGTCACCTACAATGTAACTTCTAGCTATAAATTCCATTACTTTTCGGCTTACAAATTTAATTCTTAGGGTGAGGAGTATGGCTTGGAGGATGGATATGTGTCATGGGAGGAGAGCGTAGATCCACAAGCATGCAACGCTGACCCTTCCACATATCTGAAGTATTCACGTGATCCGGAGCGTACGCCCTTCCTGTGGGACAACACGAAAAATGCCGGCTTCAGCACAGCGGATCGCACCTGGCTGCCTGTAGGTCAGTCATATGAGACGAACAATATCGAGGCACAGTACGCTGCCGATAATAGTCACTTGAAGATTTTCAAAACCCTAACGAAATTGAGGAAGTCCGAGCCTGCTTTCACCGATGGTGACTACAAGTCGGCGGTGGGCGACGGTTGGTTGGCCTACGCGAGGTGAGTTTCTTCCGAAGACCACTGTTTCGTTTAAATGCGAAATTTTTATCAGTTAAATACTGCATTTCCAGGAAAGCTTCTTCTGGTTCTCCCCATATTGTCATTGTAAATATTGGTGACTCAAAGGTGACTTTGAACTTCAACGAATTATTTGACAATATAAGTGCAAATTTAGAAGTTGTTACTAGCTCATTGCAGTCAGGCTTGGCGAACGGGTAAGGAAAATTTGAAACCTGCTCCAGCCGTAAAGGTTCTAGTTTCCTGAAATGTGTTTATATTAAATTTTACAGTCAAAGCGTGGATGCATCAGCCTTCGAGGCGCAGCCTTATAATGGTTATGTGCTCCGCGTGAAGAGTGAGGAATAAGTGAACGCCAGAAAAGGCACACAACAAAGATGGCGGCATTATTATAAAACAGAGAAATCTTCAAGTTAGTTGGTTACAAAAAAATTTGAAAAATAAATTTATTGCTTTCAAAATGAACACTTTTATTAAATCTCTTTTTCATAGGAATTTAAAAATACATTCATATATATTTTTTTAAATTATAATCAATGAGTGCAATTAACTACGAACTCTCATCATCTCCAACCAGATGAATATTACACCATATTGCAGCTTGTTGAGCCCTTCGCTCTCCTCGCTCTCATTCTGTGTTCCTTTGGCCTGCAGTACCTCTACCTACCTTTTCTCTGAGCTTACTCCCGCACGAGAGATATATTGCTCTCTTCAATCATCTCCTGAATTGATCTGCAATAGTTTAGTACAAGTTTAGAGTTTGTCAGAAGCTTTTACTGCTGTTTGACCGTCACTGAAGATGAAGATGACTCTTCCTCTTCTTGAGTAAGCGTGTCCAATGTGTTTCAACAGCTTCTAAGATTGAGGAAATTTCATTCTTGAACAATAATCCGGTAGCTAAAATGAGAGTTCCAAAAAAGAGTTACGCGAGAAAACACCTCCTCCCACCATTCCATCATCAAGACTTAGTTATTTATTTATTTGTCATTTCCTCAGTGAAAGCTACAGAGGTGCCAGTGTCCCACTCTCACTAATAAAAGCTGATGTTTTTCGCTATTATCGCGTGCGCTTGGTAGCTCATTTTCGGCTTAATAGGTGCGTAAACGAGTAGAATTATCGATTTTGGTGTGAAGATCAGCCAGCAATATTGCAAGAGCTAACAGTGCATTTAGAACAGTCACAGTTTGGCGCTGTTTATGGGCTGGTGGCATCATTGGGTCATTGGGTCATGGTGAGCGCTACCGTGAGATGATATCAAACTTGTTTTTTGCCCAAAATGCAAGAGCTTGACTTGCATGACAAGTGATTTCAACAAGACGGTGCCACTCGCCAACCAGCACGCGAAACAATGAACTTATTCAGAGACTAGTGTGGTGAACATTTTATTTCACGTTCGGGACCGACTATTTTTTGTGAGGCTACGCTAAATCTAATGTCTATACAGACAAGTCCCCTTCAATTGACGTATTGGAGGACAATATTGAAGCATTTATTTGTGAGATACCGGCCGAAAGAATGTTCCAAAGAATATTCCAAAATTGAACTAAGCGAATGGATCATTAGAGACGCTAACACGGTCAACATTTGTATGAAATAATCTTCAAATATTAAATTATATGGACCGTACTATCGATTTCAATAAAGATTTCATACATCTTTCCGATTTTTATGTGTTTTTTTTTTTTTTTTTTGAAAAACTTTCCTATAGTTTTAAAAAAATCACCCTTTACTTACGGTATTATTTGTTAAGAGGGTTGCACTAAAAATTATACTAAGGTGAATTTGTTTGTAAAATTAAAAATATTTATTTATTTTTCTACATCGATTTTGTCGCCTTTTAAATAGTCCCCTGCCGATGCCGTGCACTTATGCATTCACATTCTGTTATATCGTAGTTGATAGCAAAAGTTCGTTATATGTTGCATATAAATATCTTCTAATGCACTCGAGTTCAAAGTAAACAAGATTCGAGTACAAAGTAAAAAATTTCTGAATAATTTTCCATTAACTTAAGCGGTAAGTACTTTTTCTTGTTGTAAGTAAAAAAAATGTTATAAATATTGATTTATTGGAAAAAGAACAAATAGTGAATGAACAAGCACAGCCAAGCACAGCAGACTGACACGGACCATTTACTCAGCTTTCCTCATTACTAAAGTGTAGACTTCATAGTATATCCAGGTAACAGCAGAGTTGCACAGGAACTGCAATCAAGCTTGCCTTTTTATGACTTACGGCGGGGTCCACTTCACACTTGTACCGCCGGTTATCTCACTCTTAAAGTAAGAGGGTGATTAACTTCAATCGGTTAATAAATACTAAACTAGAATTATATAATCCTTATCTATATCTGTATTTATCGCATGCACTGTAAAAGCAGCTTTGCATAGAAATTGTTTCGATTATCAACAGGAAAAATGCGATAACGCCGACTTATTGGGCACTAGCTATCGCAGTTAAAATCTTAGTCGGCCTTTGCGACCACCAACAGTTTATTACGAGATGTTGCCACGAGTATTGCTAATATACATTGCAGCACTGCTGCTCTACTGTGGCTCCACTGCAGCTGAGAGCACAGTTGATTGGTGGGAATCCGCCACACTGTACCAAATCTACCCGCGCTCCTTCATGGATAGCGATGGTGATGGCGTGGGAGATTTGAATGGAATCACTTCGCGCTTGGAGTATTTAAAAGAGATTGGCGTTACAGCGACATGGCTATCGCCCATTTTCGAGTCGCCAATGGCAGACTTTGGTTATGACATTTCCAACTTTACAAAAATCGATCCGAGTTTCGGCACACTGGCGGACTTCGACGCGATGATCGCGAAGGCGCATAAATTGGGTGTGAAAATCATTTTGGACTTTGTGCCCAACCATTCGAGTGATGAGTGTGAGTGGTTCCAGAAGTCGATACGGCGTGAAGATGGTTACGATGATTTTTACGTTTGGGAAGATGGTATACTTAATGCAGAGACGGACGAACGTGAGCCCCCAAGCAATTGGGTATGTAAATATTAAAGTGTAACTTGGTTTCCATAATGAGTTTCAGTTATTCTTTTATGCCTTTTAGGTGAGTGTTTTCAGCGGTCCGATGTGGACATGGAACCAGCAACGCCAACAGTATTATTTACATCAGTTTTTGGCTAAACAGCCCGATCTCGACTTTAGTAATCCCATGGTGCGTGAACATATGCAGGCGGTGTTGAAGTTCTGGGTAAATCGTGGAGTGGATGGCTTTCGTATTGATGCGGTGCCGCATATTGGCGAGAAGCGTTTTGCGAATGGTACTTATCCGGACGAGCCAGTAAGTGGCTGGAGTGATAATTCCAATAGTTATGACTACCATAATCATATCTATACAAAAGATCAACCGCTAACGCTTGAAGTGGTTTACGAGTGGCGTAAGTACTTAGACGAGTACAAAGTCCTGCATGGACGTGACACAATGTGAGTGAATATCTTAAGACTTTTTAGAATTTCAACAAGAATTTATTCTTCAACAGCGTCTTGATTGCTGAGGCTTATTCCTCTGTTGAAGTTTTGAGTGATTACATCAACAACGGCAGCCATGTGGGCACCCAAATCCCTATGAACTTCAATTTGATGTATTTGAATGGCTACTCCACGGCGCGTAATGTGGAAGATTCGGTGAGGGGTTGGATGAATACCATTTGGCCAAAACATCAGTCCGCTAACTGGGTGGTGGGCAATCACGACAACGATCGTCTGGCCACGCGTATGGGTCAGCATAAGGTAGATTTGATGACTATGCTAGTGCATGGGCTGCCGGGCACTTCTGTGACATACTATGTAAGCTCTCCGCATCATTTATATTAAATACAACTGCTATCTATTTCTATTTTCCCACACTTCCAGGGAGAGGAGATCGGCATGTCGAACGTAGCTACCGAATGCACTGCCATCTATTGTGAAGACCGCGATCCCGAGCGCACGCCTATGCAATGGGATACGTCAAAACATGCAGGCTTCTCTACAGGTCCTACCACTTGGCTGCCAGTATCGCCTGCCTACAAACTCTACAATGTGGCAACGGAACGCGGTGTGGCGCGCAGTTCTCTGGCGATATTCAAAGGCATGACACAGCTGAAGGAAACTTCCGCTTTCAAGTCGTTTAAGGAGCCAAATGGTTTTACGTTCGCCGCTATTACAGAGCAGGTTTTTCAAATTACGCGGTAAGTCTTACGTGATTTTTGATCTTAAATAAATATTTCAACGCTTTGCATCGTCCACAGCACCGACTCCCACTCAGAGGAGTATCGCATTCTAATCAATATGGGCAACAATATCGAATATTTGCATGGACTGGCGAAGAAAACGATGGAGTATGTGCTGCTAAGTCCACACTCACCACATAGTTTTGGGTAAGTGAAGTGGTCGTAAAGTATATTTTTATTGAATTTTTTTAGTTTTATTCATTTTTTATTTTTTATAGCGATAAAGTGGATTTGAGTCAGCGCATATATTTGATGCCTTATGAGGCGGTTGTTTTGCGCGGAGATGCCGGGTCATATTAGAAGACTGTCCTACTGTTGAGACTTTTAAGATAGACAAGCGTAATTTAAGGTATACTTGATATATAACTTATAAGAATATCGTAAAAATAATAAAACAATAATAAACAAACTTTTGTATGGAGAAAAGTTATTGGGGTCATCTTCATTGGAAGACGGACCAGGTTTCAGTAATAGTACCGCCTCATGCGGACTAACTTCCGGTATAACTTCTTATGTCTTGGCCTTATGAAAAGAGGAGGAAAGTTTTGGCTCACCGAATGAAATTTTCAATTAACCCTCGAGCTTAGACGTGTTTGAAAGGGACTTAAGACTACTAAGCCTTATCTGTACGGTAAAGGAATTTTAAGAACTTCAAAAGCACGTTTATTTTTCTGTGAACGATCACAAATTTCGTTCAAATATGTGAGGTAAAGTTGTGGTGGCCACCAACCGGAATAAGAACCATTGTGATACTAATCATACAAGACGATTAGGCTTCGCTATCTCGCCTTTTCAATTTTCATTAGATGCGTAATGGATAGAACAGCAGCTTCCATAGGAATCCCTTAGTATTTCTGCACATTGTCGAATCAGCCACTGACCTATTAGAACTCGCTTTTGAAGGAGTACAATTCTACTGATCTATTTTCATCCTCAAGCTTGTCTGGATTTGCGACTGGTTATAGTTTTATCAAAGCTTGAATTTGCCTCTTCATATGAAAGCTCCAGCTTGCGAGTGGCAGAAGGCATGCCTATGCCGCATAGTTCACGAAGATTTGCCTTAATACCTTAATGAATTTGATGGGTATGATGTACTCATAAGTGCCATCCTTAAAGCCTGGACAGGTCTAAAAAAACCTTTATTATTATACTTAGTTCATCTAGATGTCGTGATGTGCCATTTGGAAGGATCTATGGTGGCAGCATTTGGCCGAAAATGGGATGGGTGACTCCGGTACGTAGAAAAAACCTGTTGTGAAGATAATCGTGGTTCTGAGTGCATCTTTCGTTGTCATCTTTCCTTGTCACAGCTACAGCAAGCTTTCTGAGTATTTTATTGTTATGTTTAGAGTTCAATGTACCGTTATCTTAATAAACAATTTCGCAGACAAGAAAAACATGAAATAATTACGTATAAAAGTATTTATTACCATATTGCAATCAAACTGCAATTTCAGAGCTTAGAAATTACAAAAATCGGAATTTCTTAAAATTACAATATAATTATTCGTTTTATCTCGGACAAATAGTTTTAATTCTAAATAGGTTTCAGCCTAAACTTAAACTAGTCAAAAAATGATCAGACTTAAATCAGTGTGCCCAATACAACGGCTTCCTTAGGCAACAGCACAATAGAATCCGCATGGATTATGTCACTGTGGATGAAATTAAATTATAATTATTTTTTTTTTTTTTTTACTGAAAGCCGGCGGTTTCTACGCTAAAAACTCACCCCTTGCGACGAGCGCTTCTATCCGTAACTAAGACGTATTCTAATAGTGGCGTAAGATCGCCGAAAGCTGCATTCAGATTGATCGCCTCCAAATTGTTGTTAAGGTTCAACAGAACAATGTAAGTGCGTTCACCAGCGAGGAAACTAAAACATCAAAGGGTGCATTTAATGGATTTAAGGCCATCGAGACGCTTTGAACTTACCGTTTTACGCCCAAAACATCTTCACTAATCGCCTTGATATCGGCCTCGCCTTCGCGCAACGTCTTGGAGTCACGCAAAATCTGTAGCTGTTTGTAGACATTCAAATGGCTATTGGCAATGCCACGTTGACGTTTGACATTCACCAATGTGTAGTCGCTGGCAATTGGCAACCAAGTGGTTTGGCCTTCAGTGAAGCCGGCTTTATGTCCATCGTTCCATTGGAAGGGTGTACGTACCGGATCACGTGTGAGTCGCTCATACTCCTGTGGATTTGATTGACAACCTTGTGGATCGACGGTCTCCTCCCATGAAATCCAAACATCCGACATGCCGATCTCTTCACCTTGATAGGTAACACTAACACCGGGTAGAGTCTTCAATAAAACATTAATCAAGTCAATGCGATCTTTGCCAAGACGCGCTGCAATGCGAGTTTGGTCGTGATTTCCCATCTGACGAAAGGAAGAGTGTTTAATTTCAAAGCAAAAATAACAGCCAACAGATTGCTCATACTTACCACCCAATTCGCCACTCTTCCTTTGGGCATTTGGTCCAACCAGTTGTGTATAAATCGCGCGTAATCGTAAGCAGTGGACTCATTATTCACGTTGCTGATCAACTCGAAGTTGAAAGGTATTTGTGAACCATCAACCGTGCCGTTGCCATAGTATTGCATGAGCACACTCAGCGGACCATAAGCTTCGGTTAACAGTATATGCTCATCGTCACCAAGTTCCTCATCCAACTCCTTCAGCACCTGACGGAATTCGTAGACGACATCTAGCGTGGCCGGCTGGTGTGTTGTGTAGATGTGTTGCAGATATTCATAGTCTTCTGGGTCGTTCACATCGGGATTGCGCGGTTCATCCGGCCAGTCGCCATTGGCATCAGCAGCGATCTCATAGACGTGGGGCACAGCATCCACGCGAAAACCAGCAACGCCTTTGCGTATCCAGTAGCGGAGCACATTCTGTGTTGTTGTTGGGCATTAAATGCAATTAAACTTTGGAAAAAGGAAAAAAGTACAAACCTTCATCGCCTCGCGCACTTTTGGGTTGTTGTAATTAAGATCGGGTTGCTTGCTATGGAACTGGTGTAGATAGTAGGCCTGACGTCCCTCATGCCACGTCCATGTGGAGCCACGGAAAACACTAATCCAATTCGTTGGTGGCTCTCTTGAGTTATTCTTGCCTGGATGCCAAACATAAAAGTCCTTATACTCAGTATCATTCTGCGCTGACTTGATAAACCACTCGCATTCGTCACTCGTGTGATTGGGCACAAAGTCCAAAATAATTTTTATACCAAGCTCCTTGGCTTTCGCTAAGAGCTCCTCGAAATCCTCTAGCGTGCCGAACATTGGATCGATTTCAGTGAAATTCGCGACATCATAACCGAAGTCAGCCATGGGTGAAGTGAAAATAGGAGACAACCAAGTGGCGTGAATGCCGATCTCCTTCAAGTAGGCCAACTGTTGTGTAATGCCTGTGGGAAGCACGAATGTTAGTGTCTGACAGTAGCGTTTCAAAATATTATTCACCTTTCACATCACCAATACCATCACCGTCGCTGTCTTTGAATGAGCGTGGATAGATTTGGTAAAAGGATGCGCTCTCCCACCATGCTGTTCCCGCGGCCACCGCGCTTGTGACTGCGAGGATTAGCGTAAATAAAGTTAAGAATTTTATCAATATACGCATTTTTAAGTATATAAATGTTCTTTCTCGGTGAAACTCTGTACACAAAGTTCTTTTACTCTGGCTTTTATACAGGGTTTTTAGTCTTTGGCCACAGCCGGATAATCATGCCTCGATAAGGAGTCAATAAAATTATATTAATAGGTACAACTTAATTTATGAATGCGCCATTAATATGGTTTATGAGGTACCGTTATAGGCCACGTTCGGTGTTCCCGATTTTGGCGCTGTGGGAGGCAAATGCTTTCATGCAATCATCTTATCTTGAGCCCGTTCGTGGAGGTACTGATAAGCGACCTGTCTGTCAGCAGGGTTTGCATATGGTTTGCATATGATTTGCAAGTATTTTTATAATGCCTTGAAGTGGTTAGATTGAGAAGCGAGATTAGTACATGTTTTTCTTAAACTAACAGAAATATCACAGTTCTCAAGTGTTTAGAAATTCGGGGTACTTTATTTTCGTTATTTACATATGTATTTATCTGGATGTTTTATTTACGCTGGGAGACTCGATTTGTCCATGGCTTGCTGCCGGGCATCTGTGAGGAAATGTAAATTTCTGTGTTGTGATGTATATGTGTGTGTTGAAGTTGTTTACCACAAAAATTTGACGCAGAAAGTTTGAATTTCTTAACTTGATTATTGACATACGAATGAAATTTGCGAGTATTTTTCGAGAAATCATTCCCCTTTCACGTGCTTTCTGCGATTATTATTATTATATACGAGTCAAGTGTTCTGGCATTCCAAATTCATTGATATTGGTTGCATAATATTTTATAAGTAATTCTATTTAATGCAATTTACTTTACCACCCTTATACTCGTAATCAATGAAAAATTGCAGTCGCTGATGGCAAATGAAGACCAATTAAGACTAAGGCTTTCTATTGTAGTATGCGAATATTTCCGTGTGTACTCGTACATGTCGGCACTTCTCAACGACTACAAGAAGGTAAAAATTAAAATAAACCCACTGAATCAGATTGCATAGGGCTACATTTGGCAGATGACCGATGACGAGAGGGATCAGTGTATGCCTGCTTTTCGTCTTCAGTTAACTAGTAAACATTTTATATCTTACAAACTCAGTTTTCCTGTTGGTAGGTTCACTTCACATACAATCATTCACTAGACATTTAATTTTGGTATTAACAACTTAATAACTCAATTATTTTGTTAATTTCATTTGATCGAGACGAAATCCTGCTGGTTCTGTTATGATATTAATGGTTTTGCTTTTCGGTACTTTAATTAAATCAATCTACGTTCCGTTATGGATAGTGATGATAACGACGTTGGAGATTTTGGAATCATCATAGCGTCCTAAAGGCAGCTAGCCATATCTGTAGCAAATTTCACAACCATCGAACTACTTTTCGGCACCTTGGAGGATGCCTGTAGGTCTATCGCAACAAAAGGCGTATTTCAATTGGGAAAGTCTTTTTCTTTCATCCCTTCCAGCTTGGGCTACTTCGCTTTTCTTGAGGAGCTTAACTTTATCCCCAGCCGAATAGATTACCATATTGCTAAGGTGACGCCGAGTAGCTCTTATCAACGTGAGAATTTGAAGGGACAAAACTATCGGATGAATGGATCAATTACATCTGGGCGGAAAAATCTGCGTCAAGAATTATGCAATCATTATTGGAAGCCACAGCGGTGACGGACGAAGCTGAAGACAGCCCATTTTAAGCGACCGCTTCCAAAATCGCATTGTTCGTAAAAGCGAGGAAACGTCACACTCGTTTCTGATGCTTTGTGTCGGTACTTTCTTTCATGTTCGATTCAATTTCAATCAGCCAGCTTATAGCGCTTCCCTAACATACTTTTTATGCATAACGAGCGTAGTTGGCAACGCAAAGCAATACACTCTTTATTTAGCTCAAATCTCTTTAACCGCTAAGAGATTCTCTTAGCTTTGATTTTATCAATATACATTACTGAGTCATTTAATTGGTTTGTTAAAGCCGCCAGAAAAAAATATTTATTTATGCAAAACATTGGGGCTTTGTCAGTAGCTGATAGTCTGCTGAACTTGTGCTGTTGGATTGTTATTATTCAAGCCGGTCGATTGAATGGGACCATGAAGAAGTGAATAGGCTTGTTATCAGCGAGTCATTTGAACAAAGCAGATCAGTCACTTACATGCTTAAATATACTTACATATACTTACATATTTATTTATATTATTTGTTTGTTTTCCACTTAACGATCAGCGATCAGCGCAGAGTTCACAAAAACTTAAAATTAATAAATGAGCTAAAAATAAATAAAAATTAAGAAAGAGAGAGAGAGAGACTACGCTCCGTTAGCTATTTTTACTGTAGATCGCTCATAGCTCGCACACGCTCATGTAAATATTCACTTTTGCTGTTGCAGCAGTTCGCTTTGGATAATTGCGGCGTAAGCGTTTAAGGCTTGACAGATTAGAGCAGTGGGGTTTTGAAATTCAAGTATTTACCAAGTGCAGTGCAGCTGTGCTTCTTCTTTGAGCTGAAGATTATAGCGAAGTACTTGACAATAGTTTCGAAGAATCACCGTAATGACCCCGCGGCGCCTGTTATTGTATTTACTCGTCGCTATTTGTGGTGGCGTTGTATATGCTAGCGGCTTTCCAAATTATCATGCACACTTTGATTTCGTCGCCTGGGACAAACATCGCACTGCGGAGAAGCTGGATGCGGCGCAGAAGTGGTGGCAATCCGCGGCGATCTATCAAATCTATCCAAGGTCATTTAAAGACAGCGACGGTGACGGCGTGGGCGACCTGAAAGGTAAGTACTTGCGCTGAGGGGAAAATAACGAAAAATGTGTTATGTGCTTGTAAAAAATATCATTGATCTATTAATATATAAAGAGTTTTACATATGGAGAGAACCAAGGGAAGATCGATCAATCAAGCGATAGTAATAATAATAATAACATATTGTACGGTATTGCATATTGTGAAAAATTTCAAATTGCAGGCATTGCCGAGCAGTTGCCATATCTAAAGGAGATTGGCATCGCCGCGACATGGATATCGCCCATCTATACCTCTCCCATGGCCGATTTCGGTTATGATGTTGCCAACTTTACTAATATCGATTCTGTGTTTGGCACACTCGACGACTTCGATGCGCTAATTGCCAAATCGCGTGAGGTGGGCGTGAAGATAATTCTAGATTTCGTGCCAAATCATTCGAGTGACGAGCATGAATGGTTCAAAAAGTCCGCCGCGGGGGATAAAGACTACAAAGACTTCTATGTTTGGCATCCCGGCCGTATGGTGAACGGCACGCGTCAGCCCCCAACAAACTGGAGAAGCGTCTTCCGTGGCTCGGCGTGGCAGTGGCATGCGGAACGTAAGGAGTATTATCTACATCAATTTCTAAGTAAACAGCCCGATTTGAATTATCGCAATCCGAAAGTGCGTGCTGCGATGAGTGTAAGTATATATAATGTCTGCGTTTTTTTTTTTGTTAAGAAAACTGACAACAACGAATGAAAATGATATCTACTCAATGATAGGATGTCTTGCGGTTTTGGTTGCGACGCGGCGTCACTGGTTTTCGCGTTGATGCTGTGCCCTTTGCTTTCGAAATTGCACCCGATGCAAATGGCAATTGGCCTGATGAGCCACGAAATGACTGGGTTGTCGATCCGGATGACTACAACTATGTCAAACATATTTACACCGCAGATCAGCCCGAGACGTTGCACTTGGTCTACGAATGGCGTCGCGTATTGGACGAGTTTCAGAAAGAGAATGGCGGTGATGAGCGTGTCATGCTAACCGAAGCTTACTCACCTCTCGATGTGGTAATGAAATATTACGGCAATGAGACGGCAGAGGGCGCACAAATGCCTTTCAACTTCCTGATGATCAATTGGCTCTCGAACGACTCCGACGCTTATCACTTTGCGGAGACCGTGAATGCATGGTTGCAGAATATGCCCGAGGGACGCACGGCCAACTGGGTGGTGAGTTGAATTCACATTCAAAATATACTAAAAATCTATGCAAAATATTTACGTATATACATAATTTATGCGCAGATTGGCAACCATGATCAAAATCGTGTAGGCTCCAGACTAGGCGCTGATCGCATTGACATGTTAAACATGCTTACAAATATGCTGCCTGGTGTGAGCATATCTTACTACGGTGATGAAATCGGCATGACCGACGTGTGGATCCCTTGGAATGACACACAGGACCCCTCAGCTTGTCACACCAATCCGGACATCTATGAAAAGTTTTCCCGTGATCCTGAGCGTACGCCTTTCCAATGGAGTGACGCTGAAAATGCTGGCTTTAGTACAGCTAACAAGACATGGCTGCCCGTTGCTGACAATTACAAAACGGTGAATGTACAGCATGAGCGTGTAGCGCCGTTGAGCCATTTAAATATCTATAAGCAGCTGCACGCCTTGCGAAATGAGTCAACGCTCAGGCATAGCAGCGTCGAGTTGAAGGCGATCAATCAGAATGTGTTGGGAGTGAAGCGGTGAGCTTTAGAGAGTGATTTCCAAAGAACAATTTAAAGCTTTCATATAATTTTTTCCATGCAGGATGTTGCTTAATGATTACACTTACGTTTTCCTGATGAACTTATTTGACTCCACGGAGCAGGTGGACTTGACGCAAGCTTTCGATAACTTGCCTTATGAGGTTGAATATGTTATTGTGACCCCACAAAGTACTGCGAAAAAGGGGTAAGAAGCGGCTGAAAATATTGATTTTTATTTGAATTTGTTTTATGAAATTTACTCGAGATTAGTATGAACAGAGCTTTATGGAGCAAAATTTGAAGGTAGTAAGAGAAAAATCGACGACTCTTGGTAGATAAAATGCAGGATAATATTAAGAATGACCGTAATCAGATGCAGATCACAACCAACTACTCTCTTGAAGCGAAATAGGAATTCTCTATTCTGAAACTGAGAGCCAATAGCCTAACAAGGCACACCACGACTAAGAAACGAAAGAGTCGAAGTGGGCAGTAAAACTAATAGGTACTGGGGATAATATCTAGCTTTTTTTTGTTAAATTCTATGCAATTTATAATGTGGAAATGCTCCTAGTAAATTTACTTTTGGGTCATGTTGAGACGAAGGAAATAAATAGAACTTCAGAAAGCTTTGACCTTGCGTGTTGCCATATTATTAAGATCGCCTATCGGTATGGTCAAGTCTTCCAAGCATGTGAGAGCTTAGCAAAACTGTTTGAGTAACATCATGATAGGAATCAGAAATCAGGGACCAGAAATTATCTGGACCAGAAAGCGTAAACTTTAAATGTATTTGAATCAAAGTAACATCATTTTTTTCACCTACGAACCTTTTCTACCGTAATTTTATTGACTAAATTCGAACACCACTCAAAACCTATTTCTGACCACTTGACTGCTAGTTTAAACGAATCTATATTCTTCTATCTTACAGTGACACCGTGAAGTCGAACAGCCTTAAATTGCTACCTAAGGAAGCCGTTGTGGTACGTTCAACCACCAAATTGACCACTACAGTGGGCTATTTTGCATATTATGTGCCAAAAAATGAAAAACATAAGTAATAATAGATATTTGATAGTCTGATTTTCCTCATTGTGTTACACTTGAAAAGCTTTTTATTTATGAATGCTTAGCCGTAGTTTTGAAAATATGTAAATGTTAATTATTATGTTATGGTTTTGTTAATTGCTCTACAAAAAAATTGAAAGAGTAAATAAAGTAGCTTCCTTAATATATTATATCTTACGTATACAATTGGGTCTATTCATTTTCTTTGATTTCGTTGTTTATCAAAATTATATTTTAAAGCAGCCACTTGAGCCGCCGTCAGCGGCTACTTCACAGTCAATAAAGAAACCCCCCGGCCAATCCCTTCAATTATTAAATACAATTGAATTCATGCTTATCAAACACTTTCGAAAAGTTTCCAATAGTACAACACTTTTACACAAATATCGGTGTGATATGCTTGAGAGCACTTGTCAGTTAACGCTGAGTTTTTCGATAAAATTAAATCGATCTGCCCACCAGCGAGCGGATGTCATATCGCCAACCGAAACACTTTAAATATGCGCTTTTTCAGCATTCCTCAAAACAGTCTACTTGAATACACCCACCACAACAGTTCTGGAGCGCTTTTTCCAATCGAAAAATGCTCAAAATAATATCCCTACTATTGCTTTTTGCTCTGGGCCAAGAGCGCACCTTCGCTTGTGACGATTTGGTTGGGCAGTCTGGCAGAGCGGCGCCCGTACGCGAGTGGTGGCAGTCAGCGCAGTTCTATCAAATTTATCCACGTTCCTTTATGGACTCGAATGGTGATGGTATCGGCGATTTGGCAGGTATCACCTCGCGGCTGAGCTATTTGAAGGAACTCGGCGTCACCGCTGTCTGGCTCTCGCCCATCTATACCTCGCCAATGGCAGACTTTGGTTACGATATTGCGGACTTCTTCGATATACAACCGGAGTATGGCACATTGGATGACTTCGATAAGTTGGTGCAGGAGGCCAATAGGCTTGGTCTTAAGGTTATTTTGGACTTTGTACCGAATCATTCGAGTGATGAGAATGACTGGTTTAAAAAATCGGTGCGCCGTGAGCGCGGCTATGAGGACTATTACATGTGGCATGATGGTTATAAGAACGAGCAGGGTGAACGAGTGCCACCAAATAACTGGGTGAGTTCGCAGGAAGCTTAAGCACTAAATAATATCTTTTAAAAATCTTTCACCTTAGTTAACTTTGAATGTTCCTTAATTATCACTTTTCCTCCTCCATACAGCTTCAAGCTTTTCGCGGTTCAGCTTGGGAGTGGAATGAAGAACGCCAACAATATTATCTGCATCAGTTCGCTGTCAAACAGCCTGATTTGAATTACCGCAACCCGGCTGTGGTGGCGCAAATGAAACGCGTGCTTACCTACTGGCTCGATCGTGGTGTATCCGGCTTCCGTGTGGACGCCGTACCTTGGTGCTTCGAAGTGTTACCTGACGAGACCGGACGCTATCCAGATGAACCGAAGAGTGGTTATACAGATGATCCAGATGACTCTAGCTATTTACTGCATATCTATACACAGGATCTACCGGAGACCGTCGATATGGTTTATCAATGGCGTAAATTACTAGATGACTATCAACGCATCCACGGCGGTGATCGACGCGTGCTGCTAACGGAGGCTTGGTCGCCACTTGATTACGTAATGAAATTCTATGGCAACCGCACAACCAAGGGCGCTCAAATGCCATTCAATTTTCAGTTTATAGTGGGTGGTAATGGTGATAAGAATAATACTAATTTGCCGGCGACGGGTTTTGCGAAAATAATCAGCAGCTGGTTGGACAAAATGCCGAGCGGTCAAGTGGCTAATTGGGTGGTGCGTAAGAAATGTGGTTTACTTTTAATTAAATTCGCCAAAAAAAAATTAATTGACCTTCATGCAGATGGGCAACCATGATCAGCGACGTGTGGGCAGCCGTTACGGAGAGGAGCGTATTGACACAATGAACATGCTGCAGATGTTCCTACCGGGAGTTAGTATTACATATATGGTGAGTTCAAGCTCTTCTGAAAGAGTATAAAAAAGTTTCAAAGAGCCTACACACTCTTAACTTAATTGTCTCTCTTACTAACTTTTGTCTTTATTTTGTTTGTACTCACACCCTCCTTCTATACTTTTGTTTTTTCTTCTCTCTCTTTCTCTCTCTCTCTTCCTCTTTCTCTTAGGGCGAAGAGATTGGCATGACTGATTTGGATATCTCTTGGGAAGACAGCCGCGATCCCGCCGCTTGTAACTCCAATGCAAATATCTACGAACAGTTCACACGCGATCCCGCTCGCACGCCCTTCCAATGGAGCAGCTCAGCTAATGCTGGGTTCTCCACCAATGCCACCACTTGGCTGCCCATCAATCCAAATTATGTCACAGTGAATGTGGAGACCGAGAAAGCGGCAACCAAGAGCCATTTGACTATTTACAATCAATTGGTGGAGTTGCGTAAGTCAAGAACACTGCAAGAAGGTGGCACCAGCTATGCCGCTGTTGGTGAGAATGTGTTGGCGATTAAGAGGTGAGTTAGCGGAAGAGAACTAAAATAAAGCTGACTGCACGATAGAGACCATTGAAAATAAATTTCATTTGCTTGCAGATCTTTGCAAAACGAAAAGACCTACCTCTTGTTGGCCAATGTGCTGGACACCGATGCAACGGCTGATGTGACCAGCGTGCTGAGAGTGAGCGGTAACTTCAAGACTAAAATCTCCAATATGATCTCGACACGAAAAGAGGGGTGAGCTGGCGGAAGGTGTATATTTTTTTCATTTATTTAAATTTGTTTTTTTTTTCAGCGACACTGTTAGCGCCGATAGTGTTTCGTTGCGGCCTTATGAAGCAATAATTGTGGAATCGGACTGAGGAGGAATGTGATATTAATAAATAGTGTACTTGTATATGTGTATTCATATATAAAAATAAGGAATTTCGTATTTTTCCGAAGCAAAACAAGTAATTTTGAATGAGAATAAAATGCTGTCGACACCTAACTACGAGCATCAGCATTTACCAGCCGATCCGGCAAAGATCGTTTGGTTAACCTGGTTTGATATTAGTTGCTTAGAATGAAATTGATGTCGGTTCAATAGAATTTCACCGAATTGAGTTGCTTTAATGAGGCTTACTTCGATTTGATTCATTTCATGTTGGTCTCTTTTTAATTTAATTTGAGATTAATTAGCTTATATGTTATTAAACCTCTTGTAAACTTTATTGAATTAATTCAACAAATTTTCCAGAGCATGCCTATCCTTCCCAAAAATATATTCATTTCCTTCAAAATTATGAATTTGCACTTTTGTTTGATATAATTTTCATGGTTTTTGTTTGTTCACAAAATGATCGGTTCTGGTTCAGGCTATAAAGAGTGATTATTAATCAATAAAATACTGCACGCAAATATTTCATTTTGTGGAATAAGAATCTGCATTAACCCATTTGCGCTACAACAAATTAGATGTATGTCTGTGTGCGTGAGCAAGTACACATTTCACAATCTTCGTAAACTTTGGGCGAACTCATAAAGCATGATTTAACTCATGGAAAACAAATCACGCTTTTGTTGTGAAAGAGAAGCAAGAAAAATTTGGGGAAAACTCATTATGCAAAATTTGTATTTATGGCTACAGAAACATACACAAGAGAACATACTTTTATAGTATATTCTTTTGTAGCACGAGCACCTTTACATCCTTTAAGAAAATGTATGTGTACCAATAATTTGAGTGCATACATTTACAAACATTCTTCCTGCGTTATTTACGCTTTCGGCTCACCACGACGTATGAGCGCCTTGCTTGTAGCTTTGGATGTGCATGGTTTGTGGGACTTGGAAAATTTGTCTATTTGAAAAATCTTTGTGTGCGAAAAGTTAGTTTTGTCAACTTCGTCCTCTTCTCTTTGCTGCTTCGGTTAGATATATTGTATATATATATATTATAATCATCACCATCATCTTCTGCTGCTTCTTTTTGAGCACCAGCCGTTGCAGAGCGCACCGTAATCAACATCGCTATTGACATATACATTTTCGCTAAATATTCACTTCAACGACAGGTCGCTCGGTCGGTTGGGTCGGTCGGTTGCTGACTCCCGCTTTGAGCAGTCACCGGATGTAGTAAATATTAGTTGAAAATATTCTTGTTGAGAATTTGTTGTTGTTGCATAATACATTCTTTTGTGACAGCACGTTTAGGCTGTGGTTTTGAATTTTTTGCTTTTGGTTTTTGGCTTTCGGTTTTTTCATTTGCAGATGCAGTGAGCTTCCAGCCAAACTTAACATTTCCATTAACTTGGCGAAGCGAAAGAAAACGTATTTTCTTATTTTGCATAAGCATTGGTTGTGGTAAACATTTATGTTGACCACGTCAGTGGTAATATTGTACGTGTTAAATTATTGCTTTTCGAAATTCATATAATTTTATTTAAAACAAAAACCAATTATCTAGTTTTCCCATTTCAACGAAAATTCATCTTTTTCGCTTGTTGAACGAGGATTGGCAGCATAGTTGTTGTGTAAAAATTTCTAGTGGCGGGTAACTTTTCCACATGGGCTCAAAGTGTTTCTTGAAGATCTCAATAACAATGGCTCGAAGTATGTCAAGCGAAACATTGCAATCTGGGCTTGTTCATACTCAAGTTCAACCCGTAGCCACAAAATACTAAAAAACCGAAGCGAACATACCTAAGCAAGATCTATGCTAAATTCTTGCCAACCTGTCGGTGATCCTGTGAAGAATGAGCAGATCGAATTTGGCTCCAGATCTGTGGTCCATGTCCGAGGGAAAAAAGTGTTTCATCTATCTGGGCATAGCATCCAAAACTTTAACTACAATGAACCATTAATACGTACATATATATTTTCGAATAATTCGGTCTCTAGTCCACTTCCCGGTTAACCAAAAATTGCATAAGGTTTGAACCTTCACAAAACATCTTCATTTTGAGACCCGTTCGTAAGTGCCTTTAATATTTACCCAAATCTACAAATTAATTACGAAACCGTAATTTAATAATGACAAATTATTCACTTCAAAGCGTCAAAGAGTGAGTGAGTGAGTAAATGAAAATGACATGTACAGAATTTTTTTTCGCATTATACTTTTTTTCCATTTCAATCGGATTTTGAGGGCAAGTGATTGTGGTTAAGAATTAACAACAAATCCACACACGGGGTACAAGAAGGCGCGCATAAGAAAAGCAAATAATTATGAACACTTAAAAATGCCAAAGACGATAAGCGATGGCGTGCTGAGAGCGCATTTTGTGGCTAAAGTAAAGTAAAAGGAAAAATGTAATTAAAAATTATACGAGTGTTTTACATATACATGTCGGTATATGTGTATGCGTATGCGTGTGTGTGTGTAAGAAAGTGATGAAGAAGGTGTTACATACTTCTCTTTATAAAACGAGATAATGCGTGACTGTTTGTAGATGTTAAAGTAGTTAAAAGCAAGAGGAACACGCACACGCACACGTACACAATTACACAGACTCACACACACACAGGCAAACAAGGTATTAAATTTAAGCGCTTACCAAAAATACAAAAAGGATTCAAGCTGCTCATTTGCCGAGCAAGCCATCAAGCGTTCTCGTATGTGCTTATCTATGTACCTATGTGTGGGTAAGTAATTAATTTCTTAAGCTTTGATGTCTGAAGAAACAGCCGTAGGTGAGGACACGTGAAAATAGTAAAAGGAATACAAATACAAGAGAGTAAAATAAAGTTGTACGTAGTTTGTTTATGAGATATAAGTATATGTATATCTATTAGGGTTGTGGGAAAGAAGGTCGTTTTGAATTTCTTACACTTAACAACAACAAAAAAAAACTAAAGTACAGTATGCTGTAAAAAAGAACAAAAAAAAATTATTTAAATATTTTACTACAAAAATAATTATTCAATTAGAACTTTTTTTGAAAAAAAAATCACACACGAACTACTTCAAAATTATCACTCGAACTATTCAATGTTCAGAAAATTTGCTTCTATCTTCTATATTAAAATATTTTCCTTTGTTCTGACATGCATCTTTTCACCCTAATGAAGCATATTGATGTGCACATAATTGTCATTGATTTCTCGCAAGTCTTCTTCCCTAATTCCTTATGCAAGACACATAAGCTTGAAAGTCATAAAGTTTGCGACGCATTTTAAATACACGCAGCAAACGCCTCTAAGACAACCCTCATTGTGCGGTTGTGTGCTTGTAAAATTGTGTATTTAAAAGCATTCACAGAGCATTACCTCCACAATCACAGCGTGGTTAGGTGCCGTGTTATCCGTTATCCTCTTAACACTCACGGTAAACTGATAAGGGTATTTCTCAAATTGTGTTAATTTCTTAAGACGCTTTTCGATGACCTTTGTGGGACGGTATATAAATTACGAGTACATGTATATGTATATATGTGTGTGTATGTAAGCGTGTATGTTTATTAAGTTGACTCTCGGCCGCTGTTAGTTCTTGCCTTAAATTACTGTCTGCGTTAAGTGAAGCGTTTTGCTTACGCGCCTAATCACTGCACTCGCTCAGCGATTTTTTTGACACTCTCGTGAGCCTTACTCGAGCACCATAAGCCAGTTCGCCTGTCTGGCGCATGACATTCTTGCCGACGTGCTGCTCATACAAAGTGATGCAAACGCCAAAATTTGGACCTAAAAAAGGTTACACAGCAGTGTCTGGATTCAGCTTGAGCCTCTCACGCGTACAAATGTTTTTATGGCCTCTGACTTTTTGGTGATTTTTTGACATTTCTGCTGGACAACTTTATCGAGGTGACCCACTCACCAGATTTTATGGTATCGAAAAATTTACTTTTGTCCGTTTGTGTTTTTTTTTTTATTTGGCTTTATGGAAATTAGGAATTTTTATTTTTCATGTTGAATTGAAGATATTTCTTATTTTAATTATTTAATTGCGTTTTGGGAAATTCAGCATGAATTTTTAACCCTTTAAACTGATTGAAAAGTTTATGGGAGTCAAAACTAAAATTAAAATTTAAATTTTAGTGAAATGTTTTCATAACACCGTTGTAAGTCACTCGAATACGCACCGGCAGTGTTTATAATTAATTGAGTAACACTTTAGATTGTTTATGATAGCGGTGTTTATATACATACCCTTTGGAGAAAATATATTATCAGTAAAAAAATTTAAGTACAGGATTACATTGAATGCGGGAAGATAAGGAAAAGTGGTTAATATATTTGCCCTCGCAGCGATATACATATTTGTATGTGTGTACGCACCAATGTATTTCTTTATTTGTATATGTATATGTATATGTATATATCAATATCCAATAAGGAGTTGGAGAAATTTGCATTTTTATTAAATTTGTATTTACATCTTTTAAATGGTTATTATTGTTTGAATTCGTGTTGATTATGGTTAACGCTTGCGGACGACAGCGAAAATAAGGCCATCAACAAAAATATAAATTAATATTAAATAAAATAATAACAAATCTGTAACGAATACTATTTCTAATTATATAATTGCACTACAAAAAAAACTTGCTCAAATAAAAGAACCGGCAAAGAGAAAATGCACGCATAGAAATGAAGAGCCACAAAGCAGCTAAACCGAGTGACAACCACAATAAATCGCATGAAACGATAGCACTGGGGGATCTATGTTTGTGTGCACTGTTGCCGGTTTTCCTCAGTTTTCTTGCTATCCCCTCTTTTCGCCTTTGTTTGCGTTTACTGTTGCTTTGGTTTCTAGTGGTGGATGTGGGCCAGTTGCTAAGTGACAACTCAATAAGCATACAAGGCAAGCACAACGAGCTTCGCATTCCGGATGCTCCATGCCAACTGTCATCGCGCATCTACAAACGTTCGCAGCCGCTGAGTGTTTTTCTTTTTCTGTTGACATAACTACTATTATTTTTTTATATTACATATTAAAGTTGTTGTTTTATATAAATATGGCATACTCAAAGTCAATGCGAGAAAAAAATAAAATGAAAATATATAAAAAACAAATAAAAATAAATAAAGAAAAACGAAATAAAATAAGCAAAATATGGCAACATAAATGTAAATTAAATTTAGATAAATTAAATGATATAATAAAATTAATCAAAATAAGCTAAAATTATCTCAACTGAACACTAAAGAAGCATAAACATACATGGTAAGTAAAGGAGGTTGATACGCAGGTCCTGTAAGAATTCACTGCAATATCCAAAGCGAGTCTAAGCTGCAGAGTCTTTTCTGTTTAAAATGCATATGCATTAAAGTCAAAGGCTTTTTGTCTTACATTTTCCTTTATGGTTTGATTTCCTTTGCATTGTTTCAGTGCTTACGGCTAACCTATTGCAAGTTTCATTTGTTTGCGCTACTCGTTTCATGGCGTTCGCACTTTTGTTTTCTTTTCATTTTCACATTTCGCTCCCTCATAGTTTCTATCCAGTAGTTAAAGTTCGCTTTGTGTTTATTTCCTTATAATTCTGTGTGCGTAAGGAAAGTGAGCCAGGAACCTTTGTCGATTTGCAGCATCTTCTTTTTATAAAAGGAAGAAAATCTCAGCTGCGTAGAGATATGGATGGTGGTAAACATGTCTAACGTGCTCAACGAAAAGGCAGCAGAGAGATGGAGTCCATGTATGAAGCCATAAATGTTGTTATTTGAGACGAAAATATTACTTTTATTTACTTTCAAAATTCAGTTATTTAGGCCTGCTGTGCACTTCCAAAGTACTAAGTAATCTACTTAAAGTCTATCATGTAAATTACAGTAAACAACATAATTAATTTTATCACAAATTCACAGGAGAGATATTCTCCCTCAACAATATTCGCCACTTCAGAAACGAAATGTTTCCTACAACAAGCCTTCAAAAAATATTCTCAAATATGCACTTCAACCTTATCAGGAAAACATTTCTTTTTCTCCTTATCGAATGTAAGTTAAGTGCTTGATATTATTGCATATTTGTTATAGAAAAATTACAATAACAGACTGTAAGAAAGCAAGCGCCTATAAAAGCTGTCATTCTGTGCAGTTGCATTCATTTTAAATATGAAATCGTTACTGCATTCTCGGAATATCTTTCTGTCCCTCTTGGCGGTTGTCCTTTATGCACATAGCTCATGCTGGGCGTGTACATTGACGAGTAAAAATGCCGCACAAGCAGAGGAGAAGGACTGGTGGCAGACGGCGCAATTTTATCAGATTTATCCTCGCTCCTTTCAAGACTCTGACGGTGATGGTATTGGTGATCTGAAGGGCATTACCTCGCGCTTAGAGTACCTAAAGGATATTGGTGTGACGGCTGCGTGGTTGTCACCCATTTTCAAGTCCCCTATGGTAGACTTTGGCTATGATATTGCGGACTTTTATGAGATTCAGTCTGAGTATGGCACAATGGATGATTTTCGCGAGCTGATTGCCAAAGCGAATGCGCTGGGTATTAAGATCATCTTGGATTTCGTGCCAAATCACTCCAGTGATGAGTGTGAGTGGTTCCAAAAATCGTTGAGACGTGAACGCGGCTATGAGGATTACTATGTATGGCATTATGGCAAATTAGATGCCGATGGTAAGCGGATACCACCGAGTAATTGGGTGAGTAAATAAAGAAACAGAACGTTACAACGTACAACGCTCCATCGCCAGTAAGTTCTATACACTGTCGTTTAATTTCCTCTCTCGTAGCTACAAGCGTTTCGCGGCTCCGCCTGGGAGTGGCGTGAAGAGCGCCAACAGTACTACCTCCATCAATTCGCCGTACAGCAGGTCGATCTAAACTACCGAAATCCAGCGGTGGTAGAGCAAATGAAACGTATACTACGCTATTGGTTAGATCAGGGCGTAGCCGGCTTCCGCGTTGACGCCGTGCCAGTACTTTTCGAAGTTGAGACTGACGAGAACGGCCAATATCCGGATCTGGAAGTGAGTGGCACAACCGATGATAAAGATGACCGCACTTATCTGAAAAACAATTTAGTTGAGAACCGTCCCGAAACCATCGATATGGTCTACCAGTGGCGTCAAGTCATGGACGATTATCAGCGCATACATGGCGGTGATACGCGTGTTTTGTTGATTGAGACATATGCGCCACCCGCTTACACAATGCAAATGTATGGCAATCGATCGGTCGAAGGCGCACATTTGCCTTTCAACTTCAATTTGATCACTGTGCTAAAACAGGGTGTCTCGGCGACGACTGTGCAGGAGGCGGTCGATGAGTGGATGAAGAATATGCCGGCCAAACGCACAGCCAATTGGGTGGTAAGTTGATAAAAGAATGAAAGAGACAGAAAAAAAGAGAATGATAGAGAGATAGAGGGTGAGATTTACGCATACACGTTTTTTTCTGCAGATCGGCAATCACGACCAGCGACGCGCCGCTAGCCGTTATGGTGTGCAACGCACCGATGCTATGAATATGCTCGTGTTGACTTTGCCGGGCGCGAGTGTAACCTATCAGGGTGAGGAGTTGGGCATGATTGATGGCGAAATCTCATGGGAGGACACAGTCGATCCTGCAGCGTGCAATTCAAATAAAGATATTTATGAGAATTTCACGCGCGATCCATCACGAACACCATTCCAGTGGACCGCCGGCACCAATGCGGGTGGGCTAAAAAACATGTGAAAAAAACTATAAATGGTTCTTAAATACGGTTTTTTCTACTTCAAGGCTTCTCCACAGCATCGAAGACTTGGCTGCCACTCGCACCACAATATCAAACGCTGAACGTTGATGTAGAGAATTCCAGTGCACGTTCCCATTTAAAGATATATAAATCTCTGGTGGAGTTGCGTAAAAGTTCAAAAACTCTACAAAATGGTTCATATAAATACAAGGCACTCGCCGAGGATTTGTTCGTCTTGAAACGGTATTAATTGGTGAATAAGTGTAATTAAAAATATTTTCTAATTATTATTTTTTCATTCCTGATAGTTTTCTGAACGGCGATGATACCATTATTTATGTTGCCAATTTTGGCGATAAAACTGTGACTGTGGATCTGCAGAGCGAATTCGATGCCACCTTACCAAGCACAATGACCCTGAAGATAAGCAGCTTGGATTCGACAAAAACTCTTGGGTGAGTGATAGTTAGTAATTCGGGGGTAAAGTAGATTTATGAAAAAAAAAATTGAGTACAGCAAGGATTTCAGTGGGAAATATCGAACAATCCTTTGAACGATTTAAAAAATGAAATTATAATTTTTTGAGATTTTGTCCGTTACAATGGAAAGGGAAATCCTTTTTTTCATTGACTGATACAATATTTTTTAATGTTTGTAAAACATATACCAATCCTTTAACTGTAAATCATGTTGCTATTTGCTTTTAGCTCCGACATCAATCCGAAGAGCATCACTTTGGCTGCCGGTGAGGCGTTGATTTTGAGTAGTCGCACTAAATGAGTTTGGAGAATCGATTTCAAAAGTATTTATAAGAAAGCAAATAAAACTATTTTTCAACAATAATCTATAAAGTTTTGTGCATTTCATTTCCAAAGCGCACTGAAAACGCACTGAAAAAAAAAACAATTATTTTTAATAAAATGAAATGCAAATTTTTTAATTTAAATTTATTTTATTCTGAATATCAATTTATTTATTTTTGCCTTCAATATTTTCATATGCTACATATTTATCTTTATATTTAATATATATATGCTAACTTGTATGTAATTTGCTTGCGGGTGCGATATTTATTTACTAACCCATTATTTGCATGCTTACATAATTATCTTATGTAGACAAAATTTGCTGGTTTGAATAATTTCAAGTTTATCTATGCACACCAAAACATATACAAACATACAATGCATACATTTTAGGTACTTATTTTCATATAAATATACTCTATAACATACAAACATATATATGTACAACGTGTGCTTTTGATAACAGTTTATGCATATACTATGTACATGTTTATTTATCAACAGTTAACTGTTTTTGTGTAACGAACTTCTATTCGGAAATTAATCAGAATTATCATTATTAATTTTAATTGAATTATATTTGAGTTATATATTTAACTACAATAGCTTAAGTCCATTTTTTATTATTTAGTAATAATACATACATTCTTTAAATACTAGTTTTTAATTTATTACGTTAAACTAGTAGTGGAGTGTTTGTTGTTGCTTGTAAACAATTTAAAGCACCATTTATTTGAATTATATTTAAATAGCTGCATTAAGTCTAGAATATATAACATAACTTACTATTTATATATTTACAGTTGGCCATATTTACATACACCAATTTTTAGTCATTATATTTACACATTTCTGTACTTAGTTTTTTACTTCAAAAAAAAAAAAAAAAAAAAAAAAATGCTTTTCTAGTATTTTGCTCAGCTTTAAGCTATGTTGCATTCAATATGAGTAACAAAATGTATAGACAATTTTTGAAATTGAGTTTCATATATGAAAGCTCAACTAGAGTTGTAAAAACTTCAACTGTTTTATATTCGTTAAGGCTTTAGCTTTCCTAAAAAAATCAGCTTCAGTTATTTGTAAAGCTTCCATATATGAGAACTCCATTTTCACAAAAAAATTTGCTGCTTAAAGTGATCTAAAACTTTTCCCCTAAGCTGGGAGATAAATACAAAAATTTGAAAATTAATTCATACAGGTTTACCACTTATCCGAAGCTAGTGTAAGCCATTTTTGACAGATGAAGCTTCTCCGAAGTAGAGAAAGGGAGAAACGCGAGCAAATATGTATTTATACGCAAATTAAAAATACTAAAAAGTGTTTTCACTTTTTGAAAATTATTTCTGCAATCAAAATCATTATGTTGTAGGGCTCAAACAACATAATAAATTTAATTGCGTGGCTCTATTGCACTTATGAAGCTACTGAAAAAGCTTTCTGCAATAGAGGTTCTTGATTAGGTTGCAGAAGGGATAATATTGACTTAGCTTGATTCATTATTTCTTTAAAAATGCTTTGAAAAATCTACTTAAATTTAATATCTTTTAACAACTATCCCTTTTGTAAGAAAATCTTTAGCTTTAAGTTAAGCTTGCATGGTAAGCTTTTTTCTAACTTATTATTAGACTCCCTGTTAATACTTTTACTAAACTCCTAGTTTTTTTTCATCAGAAAATCATTCTAACTAAGACTTTTGCTGCACTTAATATTTTCCTAAGTTTTCACTCTTATACGCAATGTTTATCGTTAAATCCCACCTACATAGTTAAATAAATGCCAAAAAATATACTTATCATATTGCGTTATTTATTTGGCCTCAACACAGTGTAATTTGCTGCTTACTATTTATTTAAATAATATCACATTTGATTTTTAGTGCAATATCAGCTTAGGTTGCTAACTTACAGGTAATTTATAACATTTTTGTTTTGGAAATATTTTGAGTATAATGATTTTTTTCGTTAAGGTATAGCTTTCGGTTAGGCGTTTATTACAGACTGTTTTTTTAATGAACTCTTTCATTACAAGAAAAAGGAAAAATAAAAAAAAAAATAAAAAAATAATATTGAATGAAAAAATACCTTCATTCGTCTATTATCTTTTTCTAGGCTATCCTTTCAGCTGACCGCTGTACACTTTTTGGGTTAAAAAATTAAAGACAATAAAAAATACCTAAAATTAAATGGTAATAGCGCCCTGGTATATTTTTTAACCGTATACCAACTTTTGGTAATTTTTTAATTTACTTTTTGGAACTATTTTCCACCGACTAATTAAATCAGCAAAAAGTTCTTCAGAAATTAACGTTTAATGTAGTTTTGAATGGAGGTACAGTAGCCAATTCTTTTATTCGATTTAAATTTGTAAGAGTTCTCAGAAATTTATTGAAAAAGTTGCGTGCATGACTAACGCACTTCTTCTTTTCGCATTAGACCATAAAACTTTGTTACAAACTAAACCGAAATATATGTCGTAGTATAATTTTAGGCGTCTACTATTTCACTCCATATTTCGTGTTGACACAAATTCTTAATGGCTTTATATAATGTTTTTGAAAATCATTAAAATCTTTTAGTAATTTTTTAAGAAAATTTAGCTGTAACTGTAAATTTTTTACCATTCCATTTACACACACACTGTCTAAGCGGGTGGGTGAGAATGTGAAATGTATTCAAGTTGAGCACAAGGCTCGTTACAAAAAGTTGTAGCTTTAACCCAATGCCATAGAAGGCACCTAAAACTGCGCAGACGCCAATCGCTTATTCAAGGAGCATATATGGGAAGACGCAAACAGTTTAGATAACAAGATATCTGACCTGGACCATTAGAGGGTCCATTAAATTGCAAACAATTAACACTTTAGCCTCATCACTGCGCTTATCATTTGAGAATTGCATGAATGCAGAATCATTCATACATATATGCTAGAAAGCAGAAACCCAAATAACAGGAAGCAATTAGCCAGCGCCCAAAGTTATGCAAGGATTTACGCTCATCGCGTGAACACACACGTTTTGAGTGTACCCAAACTTATTTTACATTTGCTTTTATTTTATATTTTACACTAACTTATGCATTTATTTTAAAACATTTTCTAACTTTCATTGAAACTTGTAAAATTATACAAATTGTAGATACACGAACTTTTGTAAATTCTTCAACTAACATATTATATTAACATATTTAATATAATATATGCGTCAGTTTTTTTATACCTATGTAGACTTGTACGGTGCGGAGCAAAATTTAGCACTTGACTTTTAAAATATGACGAGATTCTACGGCTCAAAAGTAATATTAATTTTTTTTTTTTTTTGGAAACATTATTCACTTTAACCATATGTACAAATTTCATTAATCAGATTTAAAAAAAAATGGTATTAAATTCAAATAAATTAGTTAAACTTTTCTTGCTTTAAACAGACTCCAGAACTGGATAATTCTTTTTTGCGGTCCTTACTTTTTCTATTGATTCGAATTAGCTGAAGAAAAGCTTTTAAAGCGCTACTCTCCAAAAGTCTTAGGAACATTAAAATATATATTTTTTGCACTAATTTTTGCTCCCCACTGTTTGTGTGACTTGCCTCAAAATCTAACTCATAAGCAGTCAATTGTTGTTTCCTTCATAAAAAAACCTAACTTATTTTAACGTATTTTTCGTGTACTTGTACTTACATATATGTATATGTCTTTGTTCGTGTACGAATGTATTTAGCCTATTTTAAGCGCAAGGGTAGCTTTCACTCTCTCACATCGGCCTTAGGCATATGCATTTACTCTCTCGCCCGCTCGCTCACTCTCACACCGGTATGGCGCAACGTTTTTTACTGTTATTCGTCGCGCTGCCATCATTGCTGTTGTTGCTACTACTGTTACTGTTACCGCTACTGCTGGCCTCTAACACGCAACCACTGTTGTTGTTGGAAGTATTATTGCTGTCGTTGTTGTTATTGTGCTTCCGATTCTCACTGCCTTCAGCAGCTGCTTTATTACCGCCGCTCCCCACACAACTATTACAGGCAATCTCTTGCCGTAACGGGCTCACCGGTATCGTCTTCACTGCACGCTCCAACGCTTTTGCAGTTTCACAGGCCACAGCAGTAACAGCGACGGTGGCGGTGGCGGTTACGGTGGCGGTAGCATTGACAACTTTGGTTTCTTGCGCGCTTAGCTATAAATTTGTGTTCGCCATTTGTGGTGGTTGGATCGCCAATAGTTCACCGGCAGCGGCACTGACACCGCCGACCGAGCTCGTTTTGTCGCCGCTCCAAGTTTGCAGCGCAACATGTTGCTGCAACATTACGTGATTGCTCAGCGCGTGTAACGTTGGTGGCGTCGCTGTGGATATTGATGTTGTTGGCGTTGCTGATGCTGTGCTAATTGTCGCCACCGTTGTAGCTGCTGGTGCCACACAAGTTGTCGTTGTTGTTGTTGCTGCAACCGCGGTGGCGGTCAATGTAGCATTAGGGTTGCTATGTTGCAATTGATTGATTTTATTATTATTCGCCACAATTTCAGCTAAGTTTGTGGTCGCTAGCGGATGTGTCAATGATTCTTGCTGCTGTTGTTGTTGTTGTTGCTGTGGCAGATGATGATGATGATTGTTATTTGGCACATATTGATCGGCGTAGGGTATCTGACTGTAGGTGATGTTATCCAAATTGGTGAATATATTTGTGATTGTGATGGTCTGGGTGGCCATCTCGCAGAGTTTTTTCGCTTTTGTGCTGTGCTCTGCAGAAAAATGCGGAGAAAGAAAGAGAGAGAGGGAAACTAAGTTGGCCGTCTATAAAATGTGTAAGATGCACTGGAATATATGTATAATACTAATTTCGAGAGTTTTTATATAAATTTAACGTTCAAAATTGTTTAATAGAGTTGCCACCAGCTCAAGTTTTGTTTCAACTAACTTAGGTAAAAATTTATGTAAGAAGAGTAAATCAATCCCTTTTATTTATTTAATTTAGACAAGTTCATATTTAAAAATTGCCTTTTTAAGTATTTCTGCCACGCATAAAGCGAACAATCAAACTGACAAATACATTTTTCGAAATTTTCTAATTGTATGGAATTTTTAGGCAATAAAGCGATAATCGAAAGATTCTTCAAGACGGTTAAGAGATCAGAGAGAGTTTAGATACGTTTCAGCTGAGAAACGTTACTTTACTTTGCTGCCATCATCTTTCTACAAACACATTTATATATGTATATACATAATATGTTGCATTCCTTGAAGCATGTAAACATTGTATTTTATGAAATTTTTTGAAATTGTTACTCCGTTTCCTACCTGTATTCGTTGGTGTGATATGCTTTTGTATTTTCTCCTCTTGCGCGCACGTCGCTGCCGTCACCACAGCAGCAGCCATCATTGAAGACGGTCCCGTACCAGCTGTGCGATGCATGTTGCCATAGCGCGGCGGCATCATGCTCTGCCGAACATTACGTTCGGGTCGTATGAGTATTATATAGAGCTGAAAAAGAAATTAATGAAATAAAATTAAAGGCATAATGAGAAAAATATTAAATTCAGTGCGAAGAACATTTTTCAGAATTAATTTATATGAAATTTTAGTGTCTCCAAATATTGGGAGAAATTCTGCAACTAAAAACTTGCTTCAACTGTGTTCAAGCTCATCAGCGAAGTTTTTGAAATATTCTGAAGTTTTTAATTATTAAAGTTTGGTTTCAATACTTGTAGTGCGATGTTTTGGTTATGAAATTTATTTGTAATAATTTTTAAAAAAAAAAAGTTCTGTATGCATTTTCGGCACTAACTTCGAGTTTCATATGTAATTGGAAAATTGCGCTTAAAAAATATATTTTTGATATTATTATTGTAACAGTAAATTCATTATCATATAAATGAAAATTTAACAATCGCAGGAATTTTGTCAATCTAAAGGGTCTCATTTTACACAGCAGTCAATTAATATGGATTTAATTCATATCACATTTGGTTCTAAGAACTGCAAAGTTATTCAATTTCAATTACAACATAAATATTCAAGTTAAGTTGTGTCACAATATAAAATTAAATATCATGTTTCATGCGCTTTTGTTTGTATTTAGCCTACGGTCGTTTATTTGCAGTGTGCTTTGAAAGTTGTCATGAACGCTGAATGGGCATACGCGAAATGAATTTTTTTACATTGAAAAAAGCATTAAAATTAATTTTATATAAGTGTATTCGTTATTTGCCGATGGAAAATTGAAAATAATTGTTAATTTTTTCAGTCTTTGTTTTGACCTATTCATATATTCTTTGTCTGTAAATTATCAGATTACGTTTTACTGTTTTTCAATAAATAGATTACGGCATTCATGTGATTATATTTTATAATTTGTTGTCGTAACTTTATAGGAAATTATGTGTAAATTTTTACCTCAAAAAAAGAAATATTTTTTTGTATATTTTAACAATTTAAACTATACTTTTTTTTGATTAATCTTTTCAAAAATAGGGAAGCAGTTTTTCTAAACCTGCCTAAAAAATCATTTAAGTTTAGATAGAAAAAGTAAAGCAACTTTAAAGAATTTTTTTTAATTCTGTCGCACCTTTACAATTTTTATGCTGCACGTATTGATTGCAAAAAAATACTTGATGAAACACAAAATAAATTGCATGATTTAGTTTTATTTTGTTGTTTGGAATTTCGTCCAATTTGATGCTAATTTCTCAGAATAATATTAATTTTGTTTACTTGCACGTGGCTTAATTTTTTATTCATGAAATTTTTGTTAATGCAGCTTGTAAAAATAAATATAAAATCGATTTATTTTCCATGAATATCGTTTACTGGAAACTTTCTCGAAATTCCCTATTGGGCTAATTTTTTTTTTAATTTGATTTAAATAAAAAATAAAGCAATACAGTAATAACAATAAATTTTTTTTTTGCCTTGAAATTTCGTTTTTCATGTTTTTTTTTAAATATAATTCAATGAAATTTTTTCCTCTTACTTACCTTCGGCGAAAATAAACACGCAACTGTAACACTCGCCGACAAACTAATAGTCACCGACATGGAAGTGATCCTCAGCGGTACATGATTCGCTGTGCCGAAATAAAGTGGCACAAACGCCAGCCAAATGACGCAAGTCGTGTACATGGTAAAGCCTGAAAGCGGAGCCAAAGAGTGTTTATTGTAAAGAGACAGGGAGCGGAAAGTGTGGAAGAAAAAAAAATTATAATAAAAAAATAGAAAGAAAAATGAAAATATTAGCAGTAAAAGTATAAGAGAAAAACGGGGATATGAAATTTTAATTTTTTTTTTAATATTTTATTTCATTATATTTTTTTCCAACGTAAAACGTACAGCAGCGTAAAGCATTGACAAAATTAATGATAAAATTAGAGAAGAATACATAAATTGTAATTAGAATAGAAATATATATGACCTCGTATAATAGAAACCAATGTGTAAGCAAATGCAATGCAGCATAGTAGTCTCCTTTTAAAAGTTAATTGAATTTACTATTAAAAGCTACTTTACAATTTTCCATAATCAGATTAACTACTACAAATAATTAATTAATTAATTAAAATAAATAGCTTGCTTTTTATTTCATATGAAACCCTCTCTCATTCAATCAATTTCAATTGCTATTGCACTAGCTCACATATAAACACACATATACATACACAACCGTATATATTCGCTCTTCAGTACTCACCAATATGTTTGGACTCGTTAAATGCTTCTGGTATTTTACGCGTCAGCACTGCATACACCGTGCAAATCACAATCAAAACGATGGGATAAAAGAAAGCAATCATGTATGAAACATCTATATATGAGTCGCAAACGAGCATATTATCCTCGCGTGTCGGATGATGGTACATGGCATGCGATGGGGCAATCACCATCCAAACGCCATTAATGAGAATCTGCGATGGAGCGCAAAAGGGAGAGTTAGAAAGAGAGAAATTCAAAAAGAATGCCATTAGAGTTGAATGTATGTAAATATATATGTATGTATGATTAAATAATTTTTAGTGCCCATTGTGATGCTAACTTGTGGGAAAAAAATAAAATAAAAATTTCCCATCGAAGTTATTGGATATGAAAAAAAAAATTCAAAGATATCGTTGAAAACGGCTAACCGCAACTTTCAGCAGATATAACGTATAGTTAGAAAAAGAAAGAAAAGAATCGTAATTTTTCCACATACACAAATACACTTTTGTTATAAATGTTCAATTTTATTAGGGCTCTCAAAATTGTCGGCGATTAGACGTGAATTCACTACGTTAACAAAATTTTAGTACTTCAATACTGAGTATTGTTGATATTGTCATGCTGCGTAAATAATTAATTTTTTTAATCATAATTTAATTTTATTAATTTTACTATTTTAAATATTGTACACATGCGACCGTCTCCAACAAGTTATGAATACCCTTAATGTACTCTTGTCCTCTTAACTAGTTTTTGCTTTATTCTCATATGATCATCTTTATTTGTACTCACTTGTATAAAAATTAGAAAGAAGCAAATCACCAACTGTGACTTGGGACTTATAAAAGAAGGTCGTTTGGCTGATTGTTTGCCGGCTTTGAATATGCGTGCTATGCGATTGGTTTTGGTGAGAAGAGCGGCATAGACGACGGTGAAACAGAAGCCAACGCTGAAGCTGTGGAGAGTGAAGTGAAAGAAGAATGAGACAAAATTAGGCGAAAAAATTAGTACCAAAATTAAAATACAACAGAAATTTGCCTGGGATATTGAGATAGTAACGTTTGCGTTAATAATTGAAATTGCATAACTTAAAATTTTTCTATACGAACTGCAACTAAAAATTAATTGCTTTATTAATAGTTATAAGCATATTTAGTTGAAATAAGCCTAAATGTAGGCAACAAAATTTCTTTACAATGAGTTAAACCCCATTCGAAGGATCTTGAGATAAGGGATAAGTCCAATTAATCTAAACGCGAGCAAAAATTTTAAAATATTACTTACAACAAAAATATTATATTATTTGATATGTTTGTTGTGACTTTTTCTTAAAATCTCTAGACCTTCTGCGGAATTTTGCTAAGTACATCCTAAATGTAGATAAGTAACAGAGGGCGGCAATGCGTATACTATTTTCGCTCACACTGGAATATGGAATATTCTAAGTTCTCTGCTCGAGCATACCCATTGCAGCTCTCTGGTAAGTAATTGGATTCTCACTAAGGCAGCCATTGATATTTTCCTGGATTTATTTCACCAAATTGTTAAGAAATTTTTAAGATGAAATAAAACTCTTCTTGAATTTACTGAGTGAATTTTATAAACAAGCCTGAAAAAGTTGAGAATTCTAACTGTGCGATCGAATCTCTCACGCGGAACATTTATTTCGGAAATTGAACTTTGAATTCGGTCTAAAAGTAATTCAATTTTCAATTTGATTCTTATTTTACATGTTTTTTTTTTGTTATTTTAGTATCACTTACCGTTGTATAGCACAAACGATGTTTGTTGGCTTTAGTACCAGAGCAAATGTAACGGCATAACACATTAGAATACCTGCGAGTAGTATATAGCTCAGCTCTCGGCCCGAGGCACGGACAATTGGAGTATCATTGTGGCTAAATGTATGAAATGAACAAGAAATGTTTGATTAATTTTCCGAAATTTCAAAACCTAAATTAAAGTAATACATTGATTAAAGTCAAAAACTTTAGGAGCAGAAAATATTTGTATTCACTTTATTTAGTTTATAAACAACAACAAAGGTTTGATATGAGAGAAAAATTTACGGAAGATACATTTCAACAGAGAGATATACATACATATACGGAAGATACATTTCTCTCTTTGCAATGTAAACGGAAAACCTGCAGTAATACAAGTCTAGCCAAGCAGGCAATTTTCCTGAAAAGGCATCAATAACTCAAAAACACACAAATAAACATTATAAATGAAATATAAACACTGCCAGAGCAAATAAAGTACATAAGTTGGTCGTACATAAAAGAGGAAGAAAATAAAAATTACATTAAAAGAAAGTAAACCAGAAAGCTTGGCAGCAAAAGGCAATCAATTGCTGACATTCGACAGTTGGCAATTGACACCGTAAATTAAGAGATGCTGAGAGTGAGAACGATCAAAAAAGTGCTAAATACAATACAAAATAAAAAAGTTTATACAAATATATATATGTATACACTGACTTTTACACCACACTTACCGCACGAAAACACCAACAACAAAGAGCGTCACCAAAATACCCGTCGCACTGAATGCCATCGCGCCAATCGCCCATGCGGACTCGGGCCGCAAATACACTTCCGGTATTGTTTGGCAAAATTGTTTTGTAGCATCGGGCAGAGTGCCCAACTGGCAAGTCAAACATTGTGTCTCATCGATGGGATGGCGTATCTAGGTACATGAGTAGATGGTTTGAAAGGACACAATAAAGAGAGAATTAAGAAAATTGAGAAACAATACAAAAGCAGAGTTGTTTAATTAAAGATTTGGCGCTGGCAAATTAATTGGCTATTGACGGAGTGAGTGGGCGTGCGTGCAGCTGTGTGTAATATATTGAGCTTTGAACTTAGAATTAGTCTTTTTAGTCAATAACTTAGTAAGGGCGATGTCATTTATTTGAAAATTCAATGTATTGTATTAAATGTAAGAATTCTAGATAATAAAATATGGCTTACAAAACGTGGTCTTCATCCCTTCATCTCTTCATATGGTTTATGAATTGTTAAAAAAATGTTAATTTTTAAATTAAAGTTTGCAAATCATGCAAAATATTATCATCGCGCGCTGCGTCCTTGTTCAGTCGACATAATCGCCCAAAAGAGTCAATAAATCAAACAATCCTGGATCGGTTTCACACCACGTTTACTCTAGTGATAATGCACAGCCACTTGTGGAGCGTATTAAGGAAACATGAATGAACCCATCCGCTGTCGCACGCTACACGGAAGGATCTTGGATCATGGAATTGCAAAATCCAACTCGTACAAGACTTACAGCAGAACAACCATCAAGCTCGTCGCACGCTTGGAATTGAATGGACACCAAATAGAAATGGCCACCGATCTCGATTTATACTACAAAACCAAAAAAAAAAATTCCTAAGCTTTTTTGAAACTTCACATTTTTGAGAGTCACTTGATAGGCCCAACGAGTAAAAAGGTTAATTTTCCAGAAAAATGAGATCGGTCATAATCTTGCAGTTAGATTAGCCATGAGTAATGACTTTTCCAAGCCTGGCATGAATATTGCTGATCAGAACGACCTTCGGTTTCAGCAAAACTTTAGCGCCGTTTAGACAACGATATGTACAATTTATTGAAGGAAACCTTTTTGGGAGCATTATTCCGCGCCGTGTTACTGTAGCGGCGCCTCCAAGATCGTGCACTATTTTTGGCGAAATTATGTGAAGTCGCTTGTCTACGCTGCCGAGCCCGAGAGGATTAATGATGATCAAACCGCTGCAAAGTGGTAGAAAATATGGACTCTCGGCTTGTCTCTATAATAGAGCTTAATTTTGTGATTTCTTTTTGAAATCCATATACAAAAACAATGAATATCATAATCCATATCAAAGAGTTAATACATAAATCGCTTCTGAAAATAAAGAAATGTGAAATAATATTATTTGCAAATTTGGAAAAATCGGCTCCTTAAATGAAATGTCTGGCGAACTGTGAGGGTAAGGCATTTTATTAAAAAAGATTTTTATGTGACATATTATTCATTCCACGCACACCCCGCTAAAGCTGTGTCTTACACTTATGCAGCGCATTTCAAGATATATTAAAGAAAAAAAAGTTGGAAAAAATAAAATAAAATTAGAGAAATAACTGAGAGTTATCTCGTCTTTGTCTCGTCTCCTTGGGTGGCGCACAATGCGATTGAATTGAATTCTATTTACTGCAAAGTAATTTCTAAATCAAAATCCAATTTCTTAGTTGCAAATGGCGCAAATATGTGAGCAAACACATATACATTCGCATACACAAACATAACTATACATACATGAACATGTATATTATTGTATGTAACGGCATCAAATATGCGCCACTGGGGCAAATGTACAGCCAATATAAAACAAGCAAATCAATTACCCTACAAAGCTTTTCAATTTGTCTGCAAATCTCAATATTTTTTTCGAAACACCAAACCCCCTCCCATCTCCTCTCCACACACGTCGCACTCAGTCCGTCTCGATATTATTTTGCGGCTGATGCATTTGCCGCTGTCACATTTGCATGGTTAAGTGTAGATAACTATGTACTCATATATATGTTTGGATGAAAAGTTTTATATTTACGTATGTATATATATATTGTTTATATGCATTTATGTCTATTGGCGTGTTAACTCTATTTGTTGCACTTTGTATTTGTGGGTATATAAAAGTATTTGTGCAAATTTGTCTGAGTGCTATGGCAATCGCTAGCACTGCTGATGCTGCTGCCGTCCGACAACTGCAAATTTGCCAGAACTTACTTGATAGGTTGAACAATTGAAGCAATGCCAACAGCAGCTCTCGCCCTCCACGTACTTCTTGGCCTGTCCACGCTCGCAGGGCAAACTGCAAACGGACTCAGGTGGCTTCGGATGCAACAGTTTAAATTGGACTTCTGCAAAATGGATGCGAAAAGCAATGGAAAAACGATGAAATACACTTTTAGCGTAGCATTGGAAAATGGGGTTGTAAAAAGTGGAGAGTAAAACAAAGCAAAAATTAGAATATAATTAAAAAATGAGTAAAAAAAAACGAACAAACAAAAATAGAACTAAAAATGCCATGGCATGCAGCTGGGTCTACAGACTTATTTCGCAGATAATATTGCAGTTGGTTAAAAATGAGCAACTGCTTGAACGGCAAGTGCAGTAGGACATAGTGCAATGAAGGAAACTGCAAAAGTGCTTGTGTATCAGATAAGTTTACAAAGAAGAGTGCGCTGTAAGCAATGGCACTCGCACGGCAAATGCATATATGGATATGGATGCACGTATATGAGTTTGAAACACTCAAATAGAATTCATCGACCAAAAAACAAAAAACTGCAATACAAAAAACAAATGAAATTGAAAGCTGAATTGCCAGCTGAAACGAATGTTATAGTTAAAGAAAACTATGGCGTATGAAAGTTAAAGTTTCAGGCACAAACAATTTTTAACGGGTTTCTTGCCAACAGAATTTTAATTAATTTAATGTATATTTTTTCTCGACTTTCTTAAGTTTAAAAAATCCAGAAACATTTCTGCTAAATATCCGGCAAAACCTAGTCCTCACCTACTAGGCCCATCTAATGTTAGGTTCTCGAGGTTGCCAAGTTCGATTCAAAAAGCAAGGGTTTCTACATTAGTGAGTTTAGAAAGGGAAGCATACAGGTAGTCGCTGGCATTGCAACTACAACAAGCGTAGGGTATACCGGGTTCGAGTTTGTACTAATAGTAATTGAGTCTAAGGCACGTCACGGCAAAGCCCGAACGCTTCTATAGGTTTGGGTCGAATTCCGATGGCGGCGTTTATCAAAAGATTTGGTGACGGCGTGGAGAAGGAGTATTTAATTCCTAGCATGCCTGAGACGGTTATGCTTCAAGGGGGGTTATGCTTCAAGGAGGTGTTTGTATTCCAACACATTCTGCTGGTACAGCGTAAATTTAAAATATGACCTTGAAACGGGAGCAAAGACATTTTGCTATGCAGATGGTGGTCAGGCAACATTGGAAGGTCCTTCAAAGCATGACATTATGATAGTTTTGTAGGTTTTTCATCGGCTTTTCGGTTGTCTAGCGTATAGTTGATAGCCTACACGCTTTTCGAATCGTATTTTTCTTACTCCCAATAACTTTTAGTTATTAATAGCCACATTTTTCACTTTGAAGTTTAGGTAGTGGAAGGGTCACTGTACTTTTGAAGTGTATTTCAGTGTAGAGGTGGATGGTATTTGAACGTACAGGTTGTCTTGGATGCCAATATTGTCTTCAAATTGGGTCTGAGAAATACCCTTAGGTGATGGCGCAAGCAAAACTTAGATGGTTTTCGAAATAAGAAACAATATTTACATTTTAAAATGGAAATATAGTTACACAACTACAGTTATGGGAATGTTATAAGCATCATTCGAAATTCATATTTTTATTTAATTTTTAATTTTATTTTTATTTTTGTTTTTTATTTTTTATTTATTTTGTTTTTATTTTTTTTTATTTATGTAAATGAAAAAAGTGCAATTGTGATACCAAAAATATAACTAAAAATACTAAAAATACAAATTTAATCAAAATTTCTGTTATCAAATTCGAGATTCCTAAAATTTCTATTAATTTTTTAAGCGTAGTAATTTAAAGATATACAATATTAAAAGCAAAAATTCTCTCTTAGGGGAACTTTGAAAGTAATAAAAATGATGATGAAATGGAAAAAACCCAATGTTTAGTTAAGTGAAATTGTCTCTATGTCCTCACCTGTCATGTTCAAGCGCAATTCGCCCTCGTAATATTCCCCAACTTTCACCCAATGATAAAGACCCGCCGCCGACTGCTTGAAATGTATAATATTGTAACGTGCTGGACCATCACCATTGACATCAAACCGAAAGTGATCACCACTGAGCCCTGCAAATACGTAGAAATTGAATTTTTTAAAGGAAAGCAATAAAAAAGAAATTGAAATTGAAATTCAAAATTTTATTATTTACGTCAATGTTTGGAAAATCACAAAAATAAAATACAGCTGGCTAATACATAATTTAAGGCAAAAAATAGAAATTAACGCATAAATTTATAGCTCAACTGTATGTTTATTTACGTACATTTATACATAGCGTATAAAAAGCTAAAAAATATGAGCTGCCAATTTCATTTACAACTTCTGCAACATATTGAATTAAGTGCACTCTTTCCAGCTCATGAGTGATTTATGTATATTTAGTTCTTTATGTGTATGTGTTTATATGGATTTATTTCCATAAAACTTAATTAATTACACTGATTTATAGGCAGCACACGCAAAAGGCTTTGAAAAACTCGCCCCCAAGAATCCAACTCTCCTCACAATAGGAAACGGAGCTAAATATTTTTTATGCTTTGCACATTTTTAATTTTTCTTTTATTTATTTCTCTCGCAAGTTGTTGTATTTTTTCTCTATTTTTTACTTTTTTGCATTTGTCAAAAGTTTGTTGCCAATTTTTCATTGACTGCACTACTTGTTGAGTGAGTTAATCATGCTTTGGTTGCTTTCTTCCTTTCCGTCTTTCTATTTCTCGCTATCTTCCTGCTTTTCGCCTTCCTTTAACTCTTGTACACTTCATGCTTTTGAAATCCTAATACGCCTATTTATTTTCATCGTTGCCAATTTGCTTTATCAGCAACACTGCCATACGGCAAGCGACAATCAGCTCAAAGTCATCAGCATCCGCAGCCACGAAGAATTTGCTAAAAGGAGTAGTAACAGATGTTGCGGGAGAAGAAGAAGAAATGAATGAATTTTCAGTGAACACAAATCTAATCGCAGCACAAGCAAACATACACACACGCACACATATATATAAGTGTACATAAAAGCAATTTACGCGTTGCTCTTGTTATTGTTGCTCTGTTTTTTTCTTTTCGCGTTGTTCATTTTTCATTTAGATTTTTTTTTTCATTATTTTTTCATTATTTTTTTTATTTATTTTTTAGTTTAAATGCTAAACACTTTTTATCTTAGCGCATGCAGCGCTTCAACGCCGAGCTCTTAGCGACGACCCTTTCCGAGCGAGCGGTCGAGTATTTTTTTACTTCTTACTGTTTGCTACATTTTCTCATCTTGTGGCTTTTTCGTTTTGCGATTTCTTTTTCCAGTTTTTTTTTGCTACTCTCTTCTGATTATAAAATAATTTATTGAGTTTCATTTTCAATTCAATGAGCGAAGAAGCAACAGTGGCCGGGTCAAGGGGCTGGGCGTTTGCTGGTGGCATCACTGCTGTGTGCCGGATTTTGTACGGCGGTGTGTGTGTGTATGCTAGTTGAATGCCAGTAACGATGTAAATTTGCAAGAAACAGAGCTGAGCTAAGTTGAGTTGGGCTGAAATGTGTTGAGTTACGGGAGGTGAAGCGGCGAGCAGCGAGCAACGCCACAAAGCCAATTTTCTACTTGAATGACTCACTGTGTCAATGACAATGGAGCGCATCAGCAGCAGCAGCATCCGCATTAGGAACAAGAGCAGCAACATCAGTAATTGTAGTGGCAGCAGCAGCAGCAGCTGTTTATGTTGCCTTCGAGCGAAAAACACGATCGTAATACACACACACACACACACACACACACACGTACAGCCAAACACCCAAGCACATCAAAATGATACAAAGCGCCATTAATGGACGTGCATTTAAGTAGATATAGCAACATGCGCGGCAGCGGGTGTTGGTGGGTATGTGTGTACTTGCATGAGCTTTGTTTGTCGCATATTTCCACTGCCACGCTAATAACCCTTTACTTAAAAGGTTCATCACACATATCTACTCGCTTACATACATTCATTTCCTCTCATGTGGCATTTGGGTTGTTATCGTAATATAACTATCTGCAAACTCTTATATATGTACATGCGCTCATATGTAAATTGCCTACTTTATTACTAGATTATTAAATTAGCTTGACAATTTACCGTTACTTACCCTGAAATTGCACTTTGCGCAAATATTTGAGTAAATCAGCGCCTTTTGTGGGCCGCATGGCGTCACAAAGTGAAGGGCGTCCGCCGCAAAGGTCGCGATGCATATCGCTGTGAAGGTGTTGGAAAGCAAAAGAAAAAAAATACGGAATATGGTTTGGAAATTTTGGTAAATAGATACAAGTAAAATAATATAAAAAATTAAAAAAAAAAAAACAATTCGGTGATAGACCAGACCGCCTGGTACAATGGTTATGAGATATACAGGATGATTCGGCACTTTAAGCGAAGTGATAATAAACTTCTTTTGAAATGGTTGCGAACTTATTTAGGAGTACTAGGTATGACTATTAAGTAATGAGATTGATTCCATAAAAACCGTGAATTCCAAAATTATTCTATAGCTCTGTCATCCCCTTCAAAGTAGTCCCCTTGGTTGGGTATACAACGATTCCGGCGCGTTTTCCATGCGTTGCAACATTTCAGGAACGCTGCGACTGGAATTTCCGCGCGTAGCCTCGTCACGGTCGCCTGGATGTCCTCAATCGACTCAAAATGGGTTCCTTTGACCAACGAATTTGTTCTAGGGAACAAAAAAAGTCACAGGGCGACATATCGGTTGTTGCAACAGGGTTATCTATTTAGAGACCAAATACTGGGACACGCTGAAAGCGATGTGGCGCGGCGCGTTGTCGTGATTAAGGATCCAGTTAATTAGCCATAGTAGACTTGACTTACGGTTTGCCCCGGTGAAAAAAATTCAGTCCGCACCTCGACTGGTTTCCCGCTCCGCCCGTTGTCTTCCACGCTTTCACGCCTCTTCTCTTTATGCCATCGAAACATCTGGGCACGACTAAGAGCACTATCACCAAGCATTTTGACAATTTTAGCGTACGTTTCCGAAGCTGTTTTATCGCAACGCATTGCGCTTGATTTCGTTTTTCCATTTTCGTGACGGCACAGCACGATCTCAAGTTTACTCAACATGGCACAGCACGCGAACTAAACAAAGCTAGAGCGATGGCAAATATATCAATGCAGAGGATGCTGGGAGAAAGAAAAGGGAATTTCAAGGTCGCAGGGTCACCACAGTCGCGGCAATGTAATCAGTCTCATTACTTCATTGTCACACCTCGTAGTTCTAAATTCATCTTAACCTAAGGTACTGCTACTCAAAGCTCAATGGCTCAAACCTGCTGAGAATAATTTTCAAAGAGACTTAATATTGGTCTTAAAATCGATACAGAAGCACTTTCAAACTAGGCCTTAACTTATTTTGAGTCTTCCTAAGTTAATTTTTTTTTTCAATATCCTTAAAACAAACTCACCGTAGTGCATAGGCGAAAGCCATCACGGCATCGCTTACGAATTGCAATTGATCCTCAAAATCTGTATCCTTCGAGAGACGCTCCTTAGTGGTACAAGTACTATTATAACCGTTATAGGGTGTGCCGAAGCTTCCCGGATAACGACATTGGAAGTGATCTTCCCAGAATTCTAAAAACCAAATTAAGCAAGAGAAGAAAAAATCATAATTGTTATTAGAATTGCAACACTTTGAAAACAACAGTGCATAACTGAACTTTTTATAGTTATTGAAAAAACGTTATACTCACCCACAAACCACGGATTGCGTTGATTGTTCTCGACAGTCAAGTTTAAAAAATATTCCTCGAAACCTTTCACAGGATTCGCTTGTGGTTGTACGGATAACGTGCCCTCGACCTTTACCAAAAAAAAAATAATAATAATAAAATGAAAAATGCAAGAAAATCACTGTTGATAGAGACTAAAGCGTCTCTTTCAGTTTTTGGATAAGCCCTGAAAATTTCTATTCTTCGCGAATGTTTCCCTAAGCTCCTCAACTAGTCAAATGTCCAATGAGTTTGCAGTACAGCACAGCTTTAAAATTTGCTTTTGGTTTCGTGCCAATTTTTCGGTGAGCTTGACCAAAATTCTCCAATTTTCATTTGGCAGCGTGCCAACGAGATTACCATACTATGAACTTAAGTATGTCTACGCACGAGTTAAATTATATTTCATAACGTCTTAATTGTTTTCCAGCGTTTGTATCGCAGGCTCATTTACCCTCCCTTGACTAAATTTAATATATAATATGCATAGTGCGGTTGGAGCCTAAAAGCAGGCAACAATTTAAGTTTTTTTATATAATTTAATGCTAAAAATCTATGATTGGCTGTAGAAATATATGAAAAATATATTTTTTAAATATTTATAAATATTTAATTGTAATTTTTCCGGCTTATATATTTTTGGCCTCATGATAAAATTGCGAAACTGTCAAATAAAAAATAAAATGTAGATATAAAAAGAGATTATGAATCTAAAAAAGAAGTTATATAGATACTTTTTGAAATTTTTTAGCCGCAAAATGAATATAATATTTCTCCTATTCCAGTCCACAACATCAGCGTAGTTGTTATTTTGAATATTTTGGTTGATTGTTTATATATGTAGTGCATATTGTCAGTTAATGATGAACTACATTATTTAATTGCGAGCTTCACAAATTATTGAAAATATTTTCATATAATATAAAAAAATATATATATACCAATAATGACGTTTACCCACATAATGAAAATAAACTACAGATTATTGAATTAAAAAAATAATATTGAGTAAATTGCCGAAGTCTAACCTTATCTTAATCAATTGCTTATATAACTGTAAGCGTCACACTGATTTTCATAATAATTTTGTCAGAACAATTAATTTCAATTATCCTGTCATCAATCAAATAAAGCATGTGAATGTGAATAAAATACGCACACAAGTGTATTTCCAAATGCCTTTGTCTTTTTTGAATCTGTACGTGTGTATCTTGTATGTGTCTTTTAAATAGATGCAAATTATATATTTTTTTTCCACAGCCAAGTTAAATCCTGATCAATCAAATAATAAAAAAATTTGACAAAAGAAATAAGTTCAGAAAAATAAAATTGAATAACATAAGTTGAGAGAAAAATAAATTAAATTATATTAAACAAAACTAACTCAAATTAAACAAAAAAATATAAATTTACGAACAAAAAAGTAAAAAAAAATAAAATATAAATAAAAATTAGATGTACTTAAAGTGAATAAACTTAACTAACATTTTATTATGACAATTAAAATGAAAATAAGCACAAAATGCCAATAATTAATAAAAAACGTAATACAGTTAAAAATAGTGTAACAAACAGTTTATTATTTATTTGATTTAAGTGTATAAAAACGAAGAAATGTAAAAATAAACAAATAGTATAAAATAAGATAAATGGAATAAATGAAAAGAAGTATATATAATTTCAGTAAAAAGAAACGAAAGAAAGAAAAATTAAAAAAAAATTTAAAAATGAGATTAAATAGAACGGTAAAAAATTGCATACTTAAATAAAATAAAATTAAATATACAAAAAAAAAAAAATATAACCAAATTTAAGAGAAATATAATAAAATATTTATTACACATAAAGCTAAAATTGTTTCACAACTAAAATTATTTGCCTTACTTATAATTTTTCTCACAATTCTTATCTTCTTACTAATTTATGTTGGCCCTGCTGGTTTTGAGAAAGGGCTTGGCATATGCATGCGCTACACAGTTGCCATAACACACCCACATTTACTTCACTAGACATCCCTGCTGTCTATATGTATAACTGTCTACAAGTATGTGTGTACGAGTGTATATATGCAAAATGTTATTACTTTAACTAAATAGTTTACCAGTTCTAAGTGATACCGACAGCAATTCATTAATCAATTTGTACCTCATGCCGTACTCTAATATTTTTTACACACACACTTACGCACTTACATAGCAACTACAATAACTTTGAACATAATTTCCGCATATACTTAGTTATACAATATGGCGGGGAGAAAAGAGCATTTATGGGTATAGTGTAAGTGTTTATGATGGTGAGCATAAAGGAAATCATAAAGAAAATACTATATTATATTGCTCTCTTCCTCTCTCCCTTATGAGTATTACATGCATTTCTACATGTTCGTGTAAGCGCCTTAATCTTACCACCGGTATAAGTGGTTATATCCCGACTGGCGCTGTCACGTTTATTTACATACTACAATATACTCTTTCGTCTTGAGTGTGCGTTGGCATAAACTACGTATTCATTAACCATACAATTACTCACCTCCGGTTCATTGCCGTCGGACACCAGGTTGCGCGCACTCCAACCATCCGAACCGATCCATGAAAAAGCGCCAGTCGCGTTATTACGTCGTACTGCACGCATCACCTCACGCACTTCCTGATCAGAGCCGAATATAATGGCTCCTAGAAAGAGAAGGTACAGAGAAGAGTGCAGAAAATAGTAAACAAAATATTTAGTTTTACATTTAGTTGGTAAATGCTGTGGTAAGCGTGGAAAATTCCGTTTACTTTGCCTCGCTTTACATATTAATTTATATTAATGAGATGACTTGCAATAACAATTTTTGCTTTTCTGATTATTCTAGTAACAAATGTGTTAGATACTTTCCGAAATCCAGTTTCGTACTCTAGAAAATGTTATTCAAAAAAAATTTCCTTGCAATTTTACTATCCATAAAATGATTACATGTGACTTTAATGCATGTATTACAGAGTTCTCAGAGAAATTCATATATAATGCCAATTTTATTTCTTAGAAGGTCACCCTAATGCTGCTACTGAAACTAAACTTTCATGACACTGTTATGGCTTTTTATAAGTTTACCTACTTTCTTCAGAAGACATTTAATTTTTTGTCATGTTGCAAATGTTTTAAACAACTCCTACATTTTTGCCCTCGGCATGGAATGTACACCCCCCGAGTGTATTTTGGATATGAAATAAAGCTACTCATGAAAATGAGCCACCTTAGCGGCATAGTATAAACTTTTGGTTTCTTCATTTGTTGGAAAAACATCAAGACGCAAAACCAAAAATAGGAGGAGGAGCTCGGCCGAAAATCGCTTCAGCGGTTACAAAGCACCAATTATATATATATATATATATATATACACACATTTTTGCATCCCTGTGAAAAAAAAAAAATATTTATTTACTCGAATATTTACGTAGCCCAAACATTCAGGAGTGTGTTCTGGCTTCAATTAAACTTGAATTAGGCACAGTTCACACTTTTCTTCAATCAGTACAACTCACTTCTGTTTTCTAAGTAGTTACTTACATATTTTATATGTAACGCTTATGTTCGTGTTTTTTCTAGTCGACGGTTTTGGCTCTGCCTTACTGATTACAATGAAGAGCGTTTGGAATCCAACCAAATTTGTGTGGAAAATAAGCATTAACCACCTCATGTTTTTGCTTACCAATAAATTTTAGACTTTATAAACACACCGCCTGTTGCTCAGTGCGAAATGAATTTTAGAGGCTTGTGTTGGCGGCAGTTTAAAGGTAAAGGTGTTAAAATTTTAAAAAGAAAAAACGTCGCATTTTTCGACTGGCATTTTCGCATGGCTACCTATTTGTAACGCTAGAAATGTTCGGAAACAAGTTGCAGGGCAGCGAGGCGTTAAATTTGGCCCAGGAAATGCGGGAAATTTATAAAGCATTTTCTTTGGTCGCGCAAAAACTAACAAAATTTCTGCGAAGAAAGCGTCTTACCGTTGCCGTTATAACACCTTTGTAATTGCAAAAGCGAGCCTGCTTGCCCCTGAAGGTATGCGTTGACAAGAAAGTAGGTTTAGGCTCTACGTGTGAATGTTATGCTTGGCTTAAGCGCGGCAGGCGCACTAACGCGCAAGTGTGTATGTATAGAGGTATTGGCAGCGCGCATGTAAAAATAAAGAAGAAGAAATTTCCTGTGTGACATATGAGTTTTGATGACTATCAACGGCTTTGGTTTGGTTGGGCTTGCATAATGTGACCTACTTTGGGGCGTTCGACTTTTAAGCTCAGTAAATGTCTGCGTGAAAGCATACTAAGTCAGCTGAGAGTGTGTAAAGATGTAAGCGCAAAAGGTTGTAGCACACTTTGCCGTCAAAAGCGTGCTGAATTTGCACGGACGACTTGTTGATGCCAGCTGTCGGAGCGAATTCCGACACCGAGGTGCCAAAAAAATTTGCATTAAAAGTTACGAAAAGCGGTATTTGTAAGCTTTTTCCAACAAAGAAACGAAGTCGTTTTTTTCTAGGTTTACCACCTTAATTTACTGTAGTCAACGGCAACTTTGACGGAAATATGCGCAATCACCTCTTTTGGTTGTTTTAATTTCTTTGGGTAATTACTTTGAGGTTATTTTTTACACATTTTGTGCAGCTGACATATTCAAACACAGTTTTCTTCACCAGCGCGCAAACACACACAGACACGCATTTGCAAAACGCGAATAATGCCGCAAATACTATCAATGCTACGCCTCAGTAAACATTAATTGAACTTGGAACCCTTTTTTCATCAATTTCTATTGTAGATTCCCTTTGTGTATGTATGAAAATAAGTAAAAATCGAAAGAAAGTAAAAGGTTAGTTTCTTACACGAATCTACAACAATCTGAGGAAGGTTAACCAAAGAAACAAAAAAAAATATGAAAATAAAACGCAAACTCAAATTATATAAAAAAGGAAAAGAAGCATAATGACTTCACACCTTTTGCTGTGACGATGTGTGCAACTTCGCAGTTTCGCGAACACTCGACCAGCACCAGGAGTACCCCATTGATCCACAAATGTTGAAGAGCCAAAGCGCTCAAATAAATTCGCCTTTTAACAAATGGAATGGTCACCCCATACCATCTGCACCTGAAGCTCGGAATGACCATTTCGCACCATCTCCATTTTTTCCATTTTGGAAGTCAGCTCCGAACTCCTTCAGGAGCCATTGGGCTATATGAACTCTTATATGGGTATCATTTAGTATAATCTTTCCTACTCCTAAACATCCTCTGCCCCCTACCACTTAAAGCTTAGACTAAAGTGGTTAATATAGATTTTAATGCGATTTAATAAAATTAAAATCTATTTTTCTCTCGTTGCAAACAATAGGTAGGTCCCATCCTATATTCTATTTCACCATTGGCTGAAATGTTAATGATTTCTGCTAATAATTTCCAAATTTTTATAAAAGGGGTGTAATAATACAGCGTTGCCAATTTTCTCTTTTAAGATTTTTGGCTATATTTACAACGTGGAAATAAACATTCATTGCACAAATAAAATTGCTGCTTCGGTCTTTCAGCATTCTGCAATTATTTTCATCTTGTGCACTGTTGCCAATTTTCTTTACTGAAAATACTCGATATTGGCTGCGAGACGTGCAATTTTTACTACTATCATTATTATACGTATTTGTAAATTTTCTTTTTTTGTAACTTTTTTTTATTAAATTTTGAAATTGCTTTCTCAGTTTGCGTCATTTCATCCATTTGAATGGCTTAAATTCATTTATGACTCTTATCCTCTACTCAAACACTTCAAGTCTTCCCGATGCTTGTTATTCCTTCATTCTTACACCAATTTTTCAAACCTAAACTCCTTCCTTTTGCCATTTAAACAACCAATTTGACCAACTCAATGGTTGTCAGAGATGGAGAGTTATAAATGGTACTTTCCGATTTTTCTGGCATTTCTATTGAGCTCACTCTCCCATTTTACATTGCCGTGAAAGGCAGAGTCTGGGTGTCAGGAGTGACACATTGGTGATTGAAATGAGTGAGAAAAAGAATGAATTGCAATTTCATTGATACTACGTACTTTTATGGGTTCAGTAGCCAATATGGAAGGATAAAGGAAAGGATAAGCATCCGCAGAGGTAAGTAATTTGAATGAACGGATAGGTGCTCGTAGAAATGCAAATGAGAGGTGATAAAGAAGAGTGTTACAAACATGCCTAGCGAGAATGATGACAAAATGTGTGTGTTTCTCATTCAATTTTTTTTTATAATATCTTCTGCGACTGTTGTAAAAATAGCGCAGAGTAACTCCGACATAGCATGGGGTGCAAAAAATAAGATTTTTTCTTTTTTCTAGAAACAACATTAATCACGATTCCCGGTGCATATTTGATCTTCAGAAGTGCAAAATAACCGCCAACAATAAAAATGATTTATAATACCAAGTTCAAGTGTGAAAAGCATTGTCATTTGAAACAGACGCCTTTCTCTAGCTGCATTCAATGCAATTTACGCTTGACTTTTGGCGATTGTCATTTTATAATTACTTTTTATTTAAATTTATTTTTTACGTAAATTATTGAGTTTCTTATTTTTAATATTTTTTTAAGTTCTTAGCTTTCACGCATTCCAAAGAATTTGCATAATTTTATTGCAAAAAACCCATCTTCCAAACTTTTCACTCCTTATCGCTCTCTCTCTCCTCTCTGTCTCTCTCTTTCTCTACCTCTATCTTGCTCCGGTTTTATATCAACTTTTTATTTCCTTACGTTTTATTACAGCATTTCCTGGCATAAATCACAAGCAGACAATCAACGTCTTCCTTTCTCTCGCTTTTTGCTTTTCTTAGTTGTTTTTCATGCACTTTACTGCATCTTGTTTTCTCATTCCCACAAAGCGTGACTTTTAGCCCCCTGTCGTTTGGCCAGCTGACTTTTAGTTATTGCTCCCAATAGTTTGCTTTTAAAGTTGACATTTATCATACGATTCATGAGCTGCAGACTGCAGTTCTACTCTGTTGAGTGTGAAAATGTGTAATATATTGCTTATGTATGTGTGCATATATGGATGTGGTGCATTTCTGATTTATCAAATTGACTGATTGTATGCGACATTGATGTGTGTCGCAGAGAAATGTATGTGCGAGAAAATTTAAAAGTGAGCTTTTCAAAATGAAAGGTTATTCGAAAACTTTATAATTCTTTTCGAAAGTGGACCATTTTGGTAACATTTCACAGCTATTTTGGACTGGTTAGCGTGAAAACCATTTCGAAACCCATTTTAGTTCTGAAATGAGTCTAAGACCGATTAAACAGTGTTCGGTCATACTTTTGGTATAATTTCAAGCACTGCGTAGCCTTTAATACATACACAAAACACCAGCAAAGCTTTGAGGATTTCAAAAATCTCCAAAACCTGGCAAACGACTCACAAATTTGAATTTTTGCTTTTATTTCCTTTTTCACTACTTTTGGAAGCTTACAAGCAGAAAACAGCTGCAAGTTTTTATACAACTTAAATATATCATTCATCTTGTTAGCTACTTTTCTCATGTACTTGCCAAGAAAAGTTGTTCCCAACTTTGACTAGAAGCTTGCATGAATGCGTAAAGAAATCGGCGAGTAAATCAAATAAATAAACGGTTGAGTGAATATCTGAATGAGTGGTTAAGTTCATGAAAAAGATATATATATATATATTGTATATATATATATATATATATATATATATATATAATTGGCGCTTTGTAATCGCTGAAGCGATCTTCGACGGAGCTCCTCCTTCAACTTGATGTTTTTCCAATAAATGGAGGTATCTACAGTTTATACTAAGCTGCCTCCGAACGGCTGATGTTTCTTTTATGAGGAAGAGGACATGTCAGAAATAGATCGGAGGGGTAGACATTCCATTATGAAGAGTGTGGGAAAGCCAAGTGCTGTTTCATCCAGTAGATTAGCTTAAAAGATTTTATCTCGTTGATTAGAGTACCAAATGAGAATTATGTAGACACTAGTTCAAGATCGATTCGTAACAAGTTCCGAACTTGTTAAAAATTGTATTGAACGTTTTTCGTGTTTTCCGCAATGTGACTATTTCAGAACTAACGTCCGAATAATTAATTATTATTATAATTATACCATTTGTTTAGAAGCATCGGCAGCTATTTCATTATCTGAACAGCTCCTGCCCACCTGTTAATGACCGTTAGCTTCAAAAACTTCCAGAAATATGTGCGTAATAAAACGTCATATTTATACAGTTTGCTTAAAAAACATTTCTCAAGAATACTTGAGCATTTAAAACTTTTCATTTTTTAAACTTAGAGTAAAGGGTTTAAGAGTCAGAGTTTCTTTCCTTATATTTGGCTTTTTACAAAGTAGAAAACTGGAAATGTAAGTGTTTTCATAAGCTCTTCTGTAATGCGTGTAAAACACTTTCCCAAAAAAAAAAAATGAAAAAAAGTTTTGCGCAAATCCTTCATATGAAACACACATAACAAACTCGAGTAAAAATGTGAAAAGTGTTCAGCGTGAATATTTTGTGAAGAAAAAGTAGAAGTAGTAGAAGAAGAAGAAAAAATGAAACTAACGCCAAAGTCACACCACTTGCACGAAATCATTTATGACGATTATCACGTACTGCACTTTTACACTATTCTAAATAAAAATCATTTCTCTTGGCATGTCTACTTCGTACTTTGTATGTCTACTGTACAGTACTCCTATATCTTGCAATAAAAACTATAAAGTTTCATGAATTCCCAATGCAAATGAGACTGCTGCACCAAAAGCTACCAAATTGCAGAGCTACTCACCTCGTGCACGTGGCTTTGTCAGCAACTTAAGTACGATGTTATCATAAGCGTTCTCGTCGGCGACACCAGAATCCTTGACGAGTTTCTCTTTGACAGCAATGCAGATATTATTACGCGCCAGCAGCTCTTCCAGCTCCTCAAAGGCCTGTTAAAAGAAGCAAATAGTAAGGAGAAGGGTTTAATAATAAGGAAAGTTTCGTGTTACTAAATTAAGACAACAGGTGCAGCCAACATTTTCGTTTATTATATTTTATAAATTATTTTTACCAGTTTTTGAGCAAAAGTGCTTTTATGCGAAGCATTCTTCATCGGTACGCTTAACAAATTTTGCCTTTGCCATTAACCCCTCTTTAAACTTAACCACTTAACCCATCAATAGACAAGCAAGGAGCACGAGGCTGAAGTGAGTTGCTTTAAGAGTGGCAAAATGCTCATTATAATAATTTGTCGCCAGCCACTTAGCTAAGTGACACACAAATAATTACATAAAAGATTGAAGTTAATGAATTATAAGTGCAACGGGCTTTCGTGAAAGAGTGAAAAAGATAGAGAAATATGGAAAGTGAACAATTTGACAACAGCGGCAACACACTTCAATGGAAAGTCCTCAAACATATTCCATTAAGTATGCAAGTCACTTGAATAATATGCAGCTATGCAGTCTGGTTCAATTGAGTAGGACTAAAATGGAAATGTTGTGAAATTAATTAATAAAATGTATTTTAAAGCAGTACTACTACGACTACTAGAGCTTTTACCAGTGCAGAGGTAAAACTTTAAACTTTTATGTACTTTAGTATTATTTTTATTTTATTTTATTTTATTTTATTTTATTTTATTTTATTTTATTTTATTTTATTTTATTTTATTTTATTTTATTTTATTTTATTTTATTTGACTTCCCGTTGGTGAAATAAAATGTTTAAACCATTATTTATAACTGAGAGTTTTTCAGTTTTGATACAGTCGAAATTTTCCGTAATCCAAATCGCAAAAATAAGATGTTGTTTGAAAGTACTACTTGAATTTCACTAATAACAGATGTCAGTTGAAACGTTTTTGTTGCCAATTAGTGAAAATTTGCATTCCTCTCAGACACTAGTACATATATTTGTTTGTGTATATACATATAAAAATGTGCTTTGGTTAGAGTTTTTATTTAGTTTGATCTCAACTCACACTTACCTTTATGCCGTAGTTACTCTCTTCGTATATTATTGAAACATAGCTCCAGCCCATTCGTTTTACGATCTCAACCATCGCCTTCACTTGATAATGATCGGAGGGTATGGTGCGTGAGAAATATTCGAAACGCTGTTTGTTGCTCAACTCAGGACTGGTGGAGAAGAAAGAGACCTGAAATAACGGAGAAAAGAAAAATTAAAGCTTTTTGAAAGTTTGTAATATGGAAGTAAAGGGCAAAAGTGCCTAACGACTGTTAGACTGCAATCAAATCTAGACCTCCCTAAATGTTATAAAATGTACTGTACTGTTCACCTGCGCTTTACAGTACACTGATCGCCCTGAGCGGATACACTCATACTTGCATATATTTTTGCTCTACTAATAAAAGGTACTGATGCTTAGCGTGTAGATTGTTGCAAGAAATAATGCATTAATTGTTTTATTTTCAGAATTTTTTTTTATCCCATTTGCAGTATACAATTGATTTATGATGTATACACATATATCTTGTTTTTAATTACTACAAACCAACTTGCTGCTGCTTCCCTCTGCGGCTGCCATGCGGCAGTGCTTGGAAAAAGAGAGGATAATGGCTACCGCTGATTAAATAAAGAGCAATAAAGAGCCATTATATAAGTATGTGTGTGTAAAATGGCTTTCCTTATAAATAAATATTGTATTCGCTTTCTTCCTCATGTATTGCTTTGAATGCGGTCGCCGTTCAGTTATTGATTTTCTGTCGCAACTTATTCTCGCCATTTCAGTGAGCCGGTGTCCATCAACGAAAAGCATTCAATTAACTCATAATTAAAGTTTATTGTTTGAATGTACGGCATTTAATTTATAATTGAATATATGTAAGTATGTGTGTATGCATATTTATTTTTGTTTATATTCAAGCACTTGCAATCGCCTTATTGTGATTCGCCAGCAATTCTGGCGGTTGACTTTTCCCTTGAAGTGACTTTTCTCTGAAGTATACAATATTTAATGGCGCAAATCGAAATGACGATTGAGCCGCTGCTGCTGTTCGGACGTTGTGGTAATTTAATAATGCCAACTAAAGAATACAGAATAGAAGAAGAACAAGCAAGGGTAAGCAGACTTAACAAGAGGAATTGCTTTGCTGGCAAATGTTTTTCCAAGAGTTGTACGTGTTGATTTTGGACAGCGAAATAATTAAGTATTTATAATAAGCGATTATTATTGACTTTTAAGTGCTTTGCTCTTTCCTTGTAATCGCTGAACTTAATTAGGTTTAACTATTTAATGTGCATATAAAAGTTAATCACTAACTACACAAGCATTCAAGCGTAAAGTGAAAATCAACATAAATTACTAATCATAAACTTGTACATAATAGTTTTATTACGTGCTATTATATATATATACCTACGCATATGTATCACATAAATATATAAATATATGTAATTATTTTAAAAAAGATTAAATGTCTCTTAACTTCTGTCGCTTGGCATTTGATACCCTCTTTTCCAATTTCACACACAAATATGATAATATATTGTACATGCAATTTTACATACACACATTTTATAACGCTTAAATATATTTAACGCTTTATCGCTTTTATTACTTATGCGTGATACTCATTTATGCATATACAAGTACACATATGCATGTTTGTGTGTATATATGGGCAATACAAGTATTTGCAAGTCCATAAAATGCGGCAAAGAAAATGAAAGAATTGTAGAATGGAGTTGAAAATAGGATGACGGTGTTGAGGAGGTATGCAAACAATGTCTAGCGAGCGAATAACACAATGTGGCGTTTACGAGCTGTGTGAGATATGGAGGCTAGAAGTTGACCAAGTGATTGTTCATTTGTATGATAATGATGTTCATATTTGCGAAACTTGGCGAAACCGGTTTTATGGGTTTGATTTTCAGAAAAATTGAATATTTAATAGTAATAGAATTTCTGATTTAATAAGCTGCATATATCTGCAGAAATAAAGCTTCCTTTGATGTGATTTGCTGTCATCAATTGAAAATTTTCATTACAAAAAAAGGTTAAAAATTTTATAGGAAAAAAGTATTAGCTTATTTTAATTAAAGAAAATAAAACTTCTTTTAAAAAACGCAAAAAATATATGAAAATTTGATAAGGTAAATGTATCAAACGAGTAAAAGTTAAGTTTCCGGCCTTTGCGGTCTCTTTCAAAAAGTAATAAAATAAAATACGATAAACTAAATGAACTATCATAATCTCGTATAGGCATCAATTGCAATTTGCCACTTGTTTAAACTTAAGAAAAAGTTATTCATTATAATTGATTGTCGTGAAATGAAAATTATTTAATAGACTTGAATAGTTGAATATATTTTTAAGGTAGATGCCGCTATTTTGAAATTTTTATTTATTTGTTTTTATACGGAAATAACTAATTTTCTTTAAATAAAGAAGTTTAAAAAGCCTTCTAGATAAAAAACTATAAGTGCTGCCAACCGTTTATTTTTTCATTAGATTTGTCTACGATATTTTCAACGATTCGGTTCAAAAATGAATGTTTTTTTTAATTAAAAAAATATTGACGAAGTAAATTAAATAAAAATATATAAAAGCCAAAAAATATGAAAGCTTACAGCACATAAATTTAATAAATTGTCACTTGGTATGAAACGGAAAAATGAGGGCTGTCCGGACAAATCTACAAGTTGACTTGCGAGACTGCAAAATGCAACGAAAATTGCAAGGTTAGCGATATTTAACTTTCCGCGCGAACACTTACTTGCTTGTCAGTTATAATTTCAGAGTGTCAGTCTCTACATATACATACATACATGCAGCAATCTATATAATGGCCAATATATACGGATATTTGTAACCCCTTTAACCGTTCACAAGCATTTTTATTATTTGTGCTGGCAGCTCAGTCTGAGAGCGATAAATTCGAAAGTTTTATTATATTTTCTTAAGTAAATGCATGAGTGTGTGTATGAGTGAACGGGTATGTGTGTGTACGCATCATCAAATAGTTGCTCATAAAGTACAAGTAGCCATGTTAGATGAAAGAGACAAGTATTATGTTGTGAAAAGCGCATTTTATGTATTTGCAGCGAGGAAGACATGGCGTATGAGTGACCATTAATAGTTGGCTACCAGCTATAAACGCACTTAAAGTGTTGGCGTTTTGTGTGAAAGTACGATATTAAACGCATTCACAGCAACGCCAATTTTATTATGTATTTAGCGAGCATATTTAACAATTTTTATTTATAAATTCTCTTGTGGTAGCGGCAATATGTATTTCAGGATTTAGTGGAGAGTATTCATGCTATGCATAGAAAAAATTTTATTTATAAAAAAATAAACATTTATATTTTCCTACAAATTGTTTTACTGCTAACAATTTATTCTGGGCCAATTATTTTTTTTTTCTTCATACTTTTCATACAGAACTTTTTGTGATCTTAAATTAATATTTCTATATCAACTTACCTGTGGTATTCGAAAAAGTCGCAATAAATTTGCCACCTGTATCGATGTTACCGATGAGGCAGCACCGACGACACCGGATATGACCTTCCTTACTTGTGTTTTATTGCAATGGTATTCCGCATCGTCAATATTGCTGATGGAACCTGTAATTGAAGGAAAAAGCGGTCAATACTTAGTTAAGCATATAACGCAGTTTTTATTATATTCAAATTTCAAACTATACGAAGAAACAATCATATCCCTTTGCAGGCGAGCACACGTTTTTTGATGATTTTACTGATATTTAAAATTTTTTAATTTTGATTTAATTCTTTTTGTTATATTTGATTTATTTTAATTATTATTTTCTTTTAATTTTTAACTAAATTTAATTTTATTTTATTTCAATCAATTTCTTTGTTAAACTGTTATTTTTTATTTTTTTTTTCAATCTTATATTATATTGTGTGCATTTAATTTATATTAGTTCCATATTATTTTATTTGGTTTCTGTTCAGTATCATATCATTTTAATTCTTTATTTTTTTCCATTATTTTAGAAATATCTTATTTTTTTGCCTCACTTATGAACTGCTTACTGCCCTTGAACTTTGCTTGACCCAAAAGGGGTGTGTAGGTACTTACTTGTACATACATTCTTTTATCGCAAAACGTATTCCCACACAAACAGATTTATTTTCCACACAAATTTTATCTGTCTGCTGACATTTTTAGTTTCATTTTAGCTAAAGTGCTTACTTTTTCCATTACGCACATGCCCCCAAAGTGTATACCGGAGCATAGTGCATATAAATTGCTTGTGTGAAACCTCAAATGTAATTAAAACTGACTCCCAGACGCTTCGAATTCAATTTAGCGTACCACAAGCGCTTGGCAGAGCAAAGCAAGCGTGTTGCATTAATACATAGTGATAGCGGTAGCGACAGTCATATGATATTTCATTATACGGTATGGGGAAATATGTATACATATTTGCGTAAGTATATCTATCAAACTTAACTGCACACTGAGTTAGTTGCGTTAAACATCTTCAACTACACTTTCTCTTCAATAAGTAAGTCTACCCTCAGCCGCCATGGCTCTCCCCTATTTAAAATGCCTATGCAAAAGTGTTTTTAACTATTTGTGATCATTCCTCTTTCATGTCTTTAAAATTCTTTTGATAGCCTTCCATATTTTCCTTCAAGAATTCTTAGCGTACACTACAAGGAAAGTATGTTTGAGCATATTATGAATTTCTATTAAAAACATTTAAGATTTCATATAAATGCCGGCACAAATATGTCTTGCATAGCTGCGAAGGCATTCATATTATGTTTTGTTCTATGCATTTAGGTATTTCTGTTGTTTACTAAGAAATGAATGACATTATGAAAGTAAAGAAAAAAGTATTTATTGTATAGTTAGCCTTTCTATGCCCGGAAAATGCCACACCATTTATGATGTGAAATAAAAGCTAATTTTTTTGTTTGACAAATGGTATGCCAGCTTTCATTGTGCTCATGACTCTCCACCGCAGGCTATCGTTGATATTTTATTTCGAAATTTTTAATATTCGTATTAATGTATCCATTTACTCAAAAAAATCCATTGCAGTTTGTTGTTTAAATAAAGAAATTTGTAGCTGAAAGCCATGTCTTGCTGAAAGTTGCTACGAAAATATGATACTTTACAACTATATAAGCAAATATGTCTTCATTATTTAATCGAACACTTGACAGTTGGCTTAAAATTGTTTGGAATAAGTGGAAAATGCATTTTAAGCTTTTGTAAAGAGATTGAGGATGACCTTATGCTTCACATGCTTTCAGTGTTCATTTGAAAATAATAAATATTTTGGCATCCTCTATTAAGCAACAATATTCCTAAAATAATTTCTTTGCAACAGAATGTGATTTGTGAATTTTTTTTTAAATATTGCCAACTTCCACGTTGCTATTATATGTCAGTTGCCAGTTCTTTAAATGCAATACCTGAAATTGTTAGAAAGTGTGCTCAAAACCGCTTTAGGAGCAGATGAGATACTTTAAAAATTTTTGGAAATTTTGACGACGGTATTTATATTTAATTAAAAATCAATCTGCGACTATTTTAGCCACGTTTGTATTGTATTTTACAGGCAGGCGACGATTAGTTTAGAACAAATTAAAGAGTAGCTTAAACTCAGCAGGATGAGTTCATTCTATACTATGTTTAGGGAAATTCCGTAAATTTAATTAATTATTATTATTTAATTTATTTTAATTAATAATCACTTTCCACTCAGTAGCTCGGAAAATTATATGTGTGAAATGTGCACATAACATATGCAGCAAGCAGCTTTAGACACATTCATGTAATGGATTATTACTAATTTACATAAATACCACACAACAGTTAGGTTGCTTGCTGGAAAATATTGGCAAAAAGCTAAATGTCATAAGTAAATACTGAGAAGCTTTCTAATGCACATACATATTCGCTCACTTACATACACATGCACACATACATCTTTAAGACATTCGTATTTTGTCAAATGCAATTTCCTGTTCCCAACCCTCTTATGGCCTAAAGTGGCAATTTGGCCATTGCTACAAATTGAATTGCCACAAAAGGATATTGCATGGGCAGAGAAGAAATTTGTTTATGTACGAGTATTGCGTGTGGGAATAATTACGCAAATTATTTGTTAATAAAGTTTTTGTTATTGTGTTTGTGGGCAGTGGCTGATATACACACAGATATTATTTGTTTTAAGAATAAAATTATATATTTAAATTTATGAAAAACCATTTGATTAATAAACACTTAATTCTTATTAATCGAGAGCTTGTTCCTGTTTCTTATTCGAATTTTTTTCCTGCATTTTTCATATTTAGTTTCCAATTTTTCTTAACATTTTATTTTGAAATACAATATGATTTTTTCTCTTTTTATTATTGTAATTTTATTTTGGCGGCCGCGGTGGTCGAGTGGCTAGCAATGCGTACTGCCATTCGGAAGGCTCGTGCTCAAATTCTGGGTGCGACCAACATCCAAAATAATACAAAATTATAGAAAATTAATTTAAATAAGAAATTAAATTAAATTTCTTCGGTCGCCCCTCGGTAGGGAAAGTCAACCCCTTCGAATGTTTTTCGGACATGAAATAAAAGTTCCTTATAAAAATATTCACCCGTTCGGAGGCGGCTTAGTATGAACTGTAGGTCCCTCAATTTGTTGGAAAAATATCAAGACACAAAACCACAAAATGGAGGAGGAGCTCGGGCGAAAATCGCTCCAACGGATACAAAGCGCCAAATTTGTTTTATTTATAAATTTTTATTCTTTACACCTTTGCTTTTTGTTGCGTTCAATTTCTATTTTTTTTTTTTCATTAAATTTCTTATTTTATCTCTTATTAATTTGTGTTTAGTTCTTTTTGTTAATTTTTTCTTTTCTTTGCATTTTTTCATATTTTTCTATATAGATTTTCTGACTTTGGGTTCTATTTTTATTCTCATTAAATTTTTTTGTTATTTTTAAAATTAACAATTTAGTTATATGTTTTATTTAGATATTATATTATTCTTAAATATATATTATATATATATATATTTAATATTGTTTTGTCTTTATTTACTTATTTCCGTTTTAATTTTTTATTTTGCGATAATTTACGTTTTTATTTTTTTGTTAATTTTATGATTTATTATTTTGTACTTTACTTTTTTACTTTCCTTTATTTAATTAAAAAAAATTCGTTACATTTTTTCTCATGTTTACATATAAACTTTTTTTGTTGTTTTTCCTTACATGCCCACCAGTTGTTTTGCCAACTAATTCAATTTTTTTATCTAGATTACCTTTTCCATGTTATCTTGTTGTGTTTACCGGCCGCCTTTATGAGTTTGCCATTGCACAACAGAGATTTTATACAAGTCATTAGACGAACTTAATATCCCATTAGACGATAATGGTATGAAAAACAAACCAAAAAATATAAGAAAAATCAAGTAGGGATAAACAATAAAAATGGGCAACATAAAGAGCAAAATTGTAATGAAAAGTTTAAGTAAAACAAGGACGAAAATAAGAAACAAATGTATTTAAACAACTGAAAAAGTGTACAAAAAAGGGCGCAAACACCGTAGAGTCAAAAGTAATGAGAAAACTTAGTGAAGCAATTGAAAAAAGAAACAAAAGAAGAAAATAATACCAATTTTTGAAATAAAGTTTACACGCTGGCCGCAATAACTAATCCAGTCTCTACTTTTACTCACTTACGAGCACGCACACATATACACGCACATACACACAAACGAGTAATACCACTAAATGCCCCAGGTCATATTAACTGAAATTAGATGAATGAGAAGTAAATAGAGTAAGTTATACACAAAGTGAGAAAAAAATAGCAAAACGGTAAACTTGGCATAGAAAACCAGCGGCCGAGTGCGTGAGTGAGCGTGGCATGCTCCCAGTTGCCAATAAAAAGGAAATTAACTACACAAAGTCCCACAACAAGGATCAGCTAAACATGAGCTATGTGTGGCCTGGTGAGCTTAGACGCCACAAGACTGCAATCGCGAAAGCTCAATGCACACATACACATACATAAATTTAAAATAACCCAGCTGGGAATACCAACTAGTATGCAAAAAATCTTGTTCAATATGAGTATGTTGAAGATGAAATCATACCAGTTCTTTATTTATAGAGAAGTCCACTAGTAACGGTAGAAATGACAATTTCCACCACTGTCTGCAGACCGCGGCTGAACTCCTTTCTGTGCTCTGTGTTGTTGAAGTGCGCAAAATGGCATTGATCGTTGCCTCGTCATGATAGCAGAGAAGTTACCGCTGTAGCGCGTTAAGTCCCCGGTTCGACCTCCGTTAGAGGCAAATTAAATTTTAATTTTTATTTTTATTTAATAATTGGTGAAACAAAATTTTTTAATTTTTTTTAATTATAGGTGAAACAGAAATTTTTACTTCCACGTCATTCGTATGTTGTTTTTGTTTTTAGATTGACACGACTGAGTTTCATTTCCTAAAGGTCTTCATTGTGGTGCATGACATCCTCTGTTCGAGTCTCGCAGCTGGTAAACTCAATTTTATTTGATTTAGTTTTTTTGGTGAAATAGAAATTCATCGTGCCTAAATGAACTAGTATTAAACTAGTA